TTGAGCACCGAGGCGACATACTCCTCGCCAGGCAGGCAGCACTGGGCGCTGCCGTACTCGAGGAGTGCGCCAAAGGCCCAACAGGGGATGCTTTCAATGCCTGCGTCGTATTCGGCCACTAACTCAGCGAGCCTTTCGGCGGCCGTTCGGAGCCAGTCGTTCAAGCGCTCAGTGAGGTGGGGGTCGGTGGTCTTGACTCGTCCAGGGCATGCCTCGCACACGTGGTGGATGGCGGACGCGAGTTGGATGAGCTCCTCAAGAGCAGCGTCGGGTATGGCGCCTTGGCTCATTTCGGTGGCCTGAGATTCAGCGGGGAAGAGGGAGGGCCACAGTGAAGGACACGGGGGGAGCGACTGTCAGGCGCGGAGGTTGGCAGGAACGCGGGGCGGGGGTTGGCAGGAAAGCGGGCGGGGGCTGAGGAGAGCGCGGGCCCCGTGCGCGTCCTCCCAAGACGTGGCCGCCCCGTGAGAAACTGCCCCTGCTGGCACCGCGCCTCACAAAGAAGCCGCCTGGCCGCCTCAAGTCCCCACCAGCCGGCCCATACGCCTTCTCACCACCATTTCCCCATCTGAAAAACGCCTTTTGCCTGACCCCATGGCTGTTGGTTTCGGAGGTATGTCGGGATGTGGCTTGAACGCTGGTTTTTCTGATGGCCATGCAGTCTCCGGCGGGCCGCAAAATGGATCCGAGGCCAGAGTTGGCCCTCTGGAGATTCCCTCGGAATGGTTCTGCACCCCTTCCGCCTCCGAGACGACCTTTGAGCCTGGAAACGAAGCCCCCCTATCATCCGATTCATGCATGAGCACACGCGATGAGCCGGGGATGCTTCAGCCTCCGGCTGACTCCGCACCGTCTAGCGGGCAACCCCGAGACACCCCCGAGAAACGGCCCACACACTCTGACCCACCAGGGGGTTCGGCTGTCCAGACACTCAGTCGGCCCCAAGTCCAAGCCCGATCGCCCATCTCCCCACCAGCCCTTCCTTGGTGGCTGTCGCTGATGGGCTTGGCTTCCCGCTGCGCCTGAAGCCCTTTCCTTCGCCGACTCGGGCGCACATGGGGGCCATTTGCTTCGATACTCCGTCTTCGACGCCGGCAACCCCCACCATCTTTCGAGACTGCCTCTTCGGGCCTTCTCCCTGCCCGTCACCGACGTCCTACAGTACGACCGCCAAATGGGAAGCAGGCCTCCCCGCGACACCCATGCACGCACAGCCGGCCCACGATAGCACGCATGGCCACGTTTCCAGTAACCCTTCCGTTGCGCCGCAGCCATCCAGCGAACCGGCCACAGGCCCTCTCGGCCCACCAGCAAGCGCCCCCCCCCATGCGCTTCCAGGATCCGATATAGCCCACCTACTCCTCCCCAAGTCCCAGCTCAGCCGATGTATGTCGATCCAGGCTCCGTCAACCCAACTTCCGGTGGTGCCCTCTTCTCCGTGCATGCACCGCTGCCCACAATCTCCCCTCCCTTCTTTCCATCCCCGCCCCCCAGGGCACGCAGCGCCAGTCGCTTCAAAGCCCCTGTCTCCCCGACCGCTCACAATGGGATACATCCGCCGCTGCCTGTCCGCCAAAATCAGTGGAGGACGAGTATTTCCCACCACCGGGCGTCACGGTCTTGGAGCTCATGGTCTGGCAGCCAACACATCAAGCCCCGGATGGCACCTCTCCAGCGGAGGGGATAGTGGAGTTTTCGAATGACGAACGGACCCCGACATCCGAGCTCCCTTTGTGGGTCTACGAAGCCCACCACCCTCGCGTGGTGCTCCCCTCCCTGCGGCAAAACCTTGACCGGGCTGGGTCGTTTCAATCCGTCATTCATCCTTCCACCCCCGGCCTCCGCCACCCTCCTTGGGCGATTGCGCTATTGCGCGCTTACGACGCTGTCTGGGGGGGCAAACTCTTCTGGGAGGAGAAGATGCGATGGATCCACCGTGCTGCGGTGAGGGAGGGGTGGGCCACAGCTGATGGCGAGTTCGCACCCAGCATATTCGACCGCGTCGATGCCCTCAGCATCCCTCTTCGCCGCATCGCAGAGGCGCTCCTTTCAGACGCACCGCTTGACGTGGAAGCTTTCTCGGCCTGCCTTCCGCTCTCCAACGCGACGCTCAAGTAGAATTCCCCGACGGAAATTTCGTGGTCGCCGGGCCCTTCGTTTCCTCTCCCCAGACTCCACCTCCCGCGGCCGCGGTTGCAGACGCCGTCGACGCCCTCATCTCGCCCCCCAGTGCCATCATCATAGCCCCATGGTATGACGAGGGGGCAGGAGGCTGGGTCGTGGTGCAGTTCATGATCGCCCCAGCCCACTGCGAACTGCACTGCCCTTTTCAGGCCGCAGGGACTCCTGGCCCGGACCTATTGGCCGCCATCCATGAGGCAAACAGAGAAATCGACCTCCGCCTGGGCCGCCCTGTCACAGAGTGGGTGGTGGCCAGATTATTTCCGCCGTTGCACAAAGATTTGAAGATCGCCTCATCTGGTGCGATCGCCTACGGCATCCTCCACACAGCGGTTAATAAACGTGGCATGCATCCGGAGCCACCGCTGGATGGCTGGTGGCGCCTGAAGATGCTGGGCGACGCCGCTCTTGTGCGGCAAAGGGTAAGCCCTGATGCCCTCCCACAGGCATAGCGGTGCTAAACGGATTTCTAGAACGGGTCTCCCCTGCACGCTGATCGCCAGGGCGCACTTGACTCAGTCTTGGCGACCAGCCCCGTGTCCAGCGATCTCCAAAATGCGACACCTGTGGCCCCTTCCCGCACTGACGTCTCCATCCCGGGCGCCCTGTGCCCTGAGGCGCCCTCCAACGCAAAAGCATCGACAATCGCGAACCCGTTCAGCCTGATCATGTCTCGCAAGGTAAAACAAAGCGCCGTGAGCACCCCCACACCACATTCTCCACGGCACCAGCGTCAAGCAAACTGCCAGCCCCACTGAAGCGTCCGGAAATGCCCGCGCTCGCAGCGATGGTGGCAAGAAATGCAGCGACGCTGGCGGCGTCGATCCCTCCAGCCCAACAAACCGCACCGTATGACGACCTGGCAGCAGTCGAAGCCCGGCTTCGCGCTGGCGTCACACGCGGCGTGGCCGCCGTTGGCTCCCTTCCGTCGACTGGAGAGAAACGTGCTCCGCCAAACGTGTCCCGGAAACGCGTTCGGGCAGGGAGCGACTTAGGAACGCCGCCACCGGCTAAGAAACGCAGGGCTTTCCTTGAGCCGCGGGGCGCTGCTCAGCAACGGGCCCTCGTTTTGGATGCCGGGGCGGCCTGGCCCTGCGTCAGCCCAGTGGACCTGTCCGGAGGCCAAACGGACCCCGGCGCCCAGACCGCAAACGGCAGGCCGAATGGTGAGCCGCTTCTTTGGTTCCCCGGCTCCCTGCTTAACTCCATCGACAGGCGGGCTCACCGGCCTGCTCAATGGCGTCGTGGCCAAGATGCAGCTCGCCGAGCAGAAGCTCCTTGCAAAGATCACAAAGCGCGGTGACGACGCAGGAGGCAAGGGTGGCCGGGTCTCCGAAGCCTGTGCGCTCATTGGGACGGCCCTGGAGGAGCTGAAAATCGCCCAGCAGGCGGCGGGCGAAGGCGCTGCTTCAGCGGACCTCTGGGCCACTGATCTAGCAGGCGTGGGGGCAAGAGGGGCTCGTCCCACAGCGAGCAAGGCAGAAAGAGAGGTGGATGAATAGCATGATGCGTGTTTATTATCCATGCATTCATATCTTGAAAAGCTTTCGAGCGCTTCCTTTGTCCACCCCGCATCCGGGCACGCCCGCGGCGATCACCCCCGCCGGGGCTCGGGTCCCATGCGCAAGTCCCAGCGCCTTTACAGCCTACGTGGCCATGTCATAAGCAGGTGCCGCAGGGCCGCGGCTCGCCCCATCCTCCCCATGAATGTGATCACCGCTTCCAGCTTCTGGCTCCGGAGCTGCATTCTTCGCAGCAGCTGTTCAAGACCCGCCCCACGACTCCACAATGGGCGATAACCGGAGGATGCGGGTTTGACAGCGGCGCCACGCCTGAGTCCCCTTCCCCACCAGAAACGCTGCGCGAAACCAGCTTCGACCCCCTCACCCTCCGCATGTCCGCTTCGAGGGCCATGTGGCTGACCTCTCGCGTCCCTCTCAAACCGCACCAGAAGCTGCGTGCTAGCAGCGCACGCGCTTCCCCGGCGATGCCTCTCACCGGCCCGGGCATAAGCCAATGTATCCCGGTGTTCCTTTGGTGCGTCATGTTTGCCTCATGCAGTATGCTACGCGCCGAAAACATTCTTCCAACATCCTTGTAGATTTGGAAACTCGAGTTCTGATTGGCTGACGATCAATGTCTCGTGGATGTTTCTCAAAAAGTCCCCACGTGAAGACATACAACATGATGCAGGCATGTAACAACAAAGAAACGGACCGTAACAGCGGCTAATGCCCGCGGCGTCTCCCAACGCTGTCTCGACCCGGTTGCGCCTCGAGCGTGGTTCATTGTATGACTCGCAGCTGGTTTAAGCAGGGCTCGGGTCATCTTTAGTTAGCACCTGTACTAGTGTAGTTGCTTGCCGCGGGACACGTAAACTATGCTGGTTTGGGGGCGGCTAAGTGACATAATCGCCCGCCTCCTCCTCCTCCTCCCCTCGAGACCGTAGGCAGATTCCCCTGCGCATCAGCGCCGATTCCCCCGCGAATTTTTTCTCTTCCCGTCTCGACCTGAAGTCGTGAGTGCGCTCTCTCTTCCGCATTCTCTTAGGGCTTCGCATCACGCCCTCTGTTGGCTCGCTTTGCCCCGTCGCTTTCTGTGCGCTTCCCTCCTCTCCTGGGCCATCTATTCATGCAGTGGCTTCCATGGCCTCTTTTTTTATCCGAAAATAGCGCGTCGTTGTCCTCCGGGTCGTGCTATTGCGTTCTTTCCCACACTCATTCCGCGACAGACATCCCAGGCGGATGCAGGTTAGGCTGAGGAGACCATGCACGGTCCCGCGGTGATGCACCGCGGCCGTTGTTCTGGTGAGTCCTCCACTCTGCTCTCCTGCACTTGCAACGCCCACCCACGCCCCCTGCCGCCAGCCAAGAACGTCTGCTTGGACGTCCTCTTCCTCCTCCTCAGTGCCGCTCTCCTCCATCCACATCGCCCGCCTGCGCCAACCCCTGCACCACCCGCCTCCGCGATGCCCTACGCTACTCACCCGCACCACCCTCCTCCTCGCCCTACTCCGCCCGCCCCTGCCGCCTCCTTCGTGCAGCCCGCCTCCTTCGCGCCACCCTCCTCTCCTGCGCCGCCCACTGCCCCGCGCCACCCTCCTCTGCGCCGGTCGCATCTGCACTGCCCACCTCCGCACGCGTCGCCCGCTTGCACGCTGCCCACCACCCGCGTCACCCTTTTCCTCCCACCTCATCCGCGTCTGCGTCACCCACCTCCACATCGCCAAGTCCGCCCGCATCGCCCGCCGCCTCCCTCAAGGCCTCACCTCCGCCCGCGTTGGCCATCTGCGCCACCGCGTTGCCCGCCACCTCCATCCCACGCTCCTCTGTGTCGTCCCAACCCACGTCGCCCACCACCTTTTCATCCCGGCCCTCCCTGTCCTCCCGCGAGCCCTCCGCGTCGCCCCCCGCCTTCACGTTCCCCACCTTCGCGTCGCCTGCCCTCGCGTCGCCTGCCCTCGCATCGCCCGGCTTCGCGTCGCCCACCTTCACGTCCCGCGCCTCAGCCTTGCCATCCCCTCCGTCCGCCCTCGTCCCGCCCACGTCCTCGCCCTCCTCCTCTGCGTCGCTCGTCACCGCGTCGCCCTCTTCCGCCCCCACGTCCTCGCCCGCCTTCTCCACGCCCACCTCCGTGCCCACCTCGCCCGCCTTCACCTCGCCGCGTTGCCGGCCTCCGCGCGCGCGTCGCTGCCTCTTGGCGCCGCCGCGTTGCCTGCGCCCACGTCGCCCGCGTCCCGCACACCCACCCACCGCCTCTGCGCCCGCACGTCCGCGTTGCCCACCTCCGCCCGTGTCGCCCGCCTGCACCCGCCTCTGCCTCTGCCTCAGCATTGTTGTGGGATGTGGTATACCGTGTTACTTGCTAGTCTGCCTGTGTAATAGTTCACTGATAAATATATTTTGATCACCAATTGCATACAAAGTGTGGTGTGAAACAAAGGAGGTGAGCTCAGGTGGCAGGGCCCAGGGCAGTGTCGCGCCCGTGCCATGGCTGGTGCCTGCGTGAGCAGGCTCGGGGGGCGCAACTGGGCCGGCCGGCACCAGATGCATCCGCACCTGCCGATCGATAGGCTTCCTAGTTGCGTGGTGAAAGCCTTGTGGCGGGCAGGCAGTGAGGGGAGACCATGGCCGAGGGGCGCTCTGGTCACTGTAGCGCCCCACGTGTTCAGTCCTAGTGAAAAGCAGAGCGCCCGTCCGGGAAGGTCGGGCCCGATGCTGGGCAGAACACGAATGTGAGTCGCGATCCCGGACGGTCCGCTTGAGCGCGAGGCCGGAGTGCGACGCGTTCTGCGCCGCTCTCACAACCAAAGCGCTGGGAGTGATGGGTGGGTGCGCTTTGAGCTGCGTGGGTGCGATGCGGGAGGAGACGAAAGGCGATGGCCTTTTGCGCGCTAGCGCGCGTCTCCCTCATCCGGCAACCACCGGCAACCCACGCCTAGAAAGCACCCGTTCGGCCGAGGCGCTCGTTCGTTGGGCCTCGTTCGAACCTCACGCTATCGCAACAGATGCATCTGGGGAATCACCACCGTAGGCTTATAACGCAGCTGTTATGGCCTGCTCCGCCGGTCTGATTATGGGCTGCAGCGCGCACCTGTAACGGACGCCTAGCATACGATCGCCCGCCACCCTGCCTTTATATTCTTGCGCCCGCTTCACTGTCTCGCCACGCGATTGCCTCCTGGCTCCTCCCCGAGGTCAAGCGCGTCCCTCTAATCCGACCCTTCTTCCTGCTCGTCTCCGACTCGCCCGACCTCCGCGCTCCGCGACCGTAACAGCAGCATTGTCTCCGCTCGGATCTACATTGGAGCAGCGGGGCCCCAGTCACTCCGCCAGTTCGGCGCCTGCACTCGCTGCCAGCCCGTTCCAAGCCAATCCAGTTTACCGGCGCCGCCTGCTGGCTTAGCACGGCTGGCTCTGACCGGGGCCTGGCCGGCCGACTCTCTGTCCTGTAGTAGAAGCGTCTGCGCAGCCAGTCGATCTTGGAACAGCTGGCGCCCTGCCGCCACCACTGCCGCTCTCGCCCAGAATGAGCCGCCTTCACGTTCGCCCACGGTACAAATTTGCGACATATCCCAAAAACATTGCGGCTAAGGCACAGGCTACTTCATGCAGCAGGCGCGCATAATAGCGCCCCAGACCTACGAATATTGGAGCTCATCTTCGTCCGGGTCGCTGTCCGGTCCGGAAGCCGCTGCTTTCTGTGAGACGGGCGGGCCCGGGGGCCGCACAGAAGGGGCGGCCGCGCCCGGGAGCAGCGCACCTCCCTGGGGCCGGCCCGCCACCGTCCCCTCCATTGCGCCACGGAGGGCTACAAGGTCATCGGAGAAAGCGTCGAGGGCCGAATCATGGCCCCGAATGTCCACCTCTAGGCCATCAATTCGCTCATCACGGGCCCGGCCGCAGGCCTCCAGCCTGTGCATCCAGCCCTGGACCCGGGACTCAAGGGCGGTGAGACGAGCCTCCAATTGCTCGAAGCCCCACTGGGGCGCGCTCCCAGGGTGTGCAGGAGCGAAGGCGGGGTTAATGGGGCGCCTGTGCGTGACAGTGTTGCTGGCGCCCTCCACGCTGCCTGGAGACGGGTCGGCCTCCATATCGACGGCCGCTCCCGTGGGCTCTACTGAGGGAGGCGTCGCCCCAGGACTGCCGTGGCTGCTGAGAGCCATAGGCGGCCTCATCCGGGCCCGTTTGGGTGGGCGTTGGTCATCAGTCGGTGTGCTATAGCCGCTGGAGCCACCTTTTGCACGCGCTCAGAGGGGGTGTGTGGGCCATAAGAAGTCCGCCGCTTACCCGCAGAGCTCGACGGAAACTCGGCACCGTTGTCCTTCTTGACGGCGGCGCCGCTTCTTCGCCGGTGCGCCATGTAGGCCGGGTGATCCTTTGGGCCGACGCGTTCATAAAAACGGCAGCGTGAAGGCAGCTTTGCGGCGCACCTTTGAAAGCTCGCCCTCGCTCATCGTGACATCCCCAAGCCTCCGTCTGAAATCCCGGGGGTACTTGAGGCCGATGACATCCCCCTGAGCGATCGCGCGATCGCGCTTGCGCTTGTCATTCCAGAAGGCGATGACATCCGCGCCCCACGATGGGATGTCGGCTCTCTTCATGCCCCACAGCTGATCAGAGACTTCCACTGGCCAGAGGCCGTAAACCTTCGGGTTTGCCGCTTTAATCCCATACCGAAGCATCTTGTAACGGCCCGTGTCGCCAGCGGTTCCACCCGAGATGGCATTCAGCTCGCAGGGCAAGTGTTTTTTGAGGCAGACGAGGCAAGTGGCCTTGCGGTCGAGGGGGTAAAACTCGCACTGCTTCCCGAACAGCTTGCAGGAGCCGCATCGCCGGTCTACGCGGTCTTGAGGGTGCTGGGGCCGCGCGTTAGCGTGTTTGCTCGATGTGACGCACCTAACTCGATACTTACATAGGGCATTCGGCCAATCGGGTATTTTGTGGTGAGCTGCAACGGAAATTCTGGAATCCCGGCCTCTGGTGGAACAAAAGGCCTTTTCCCTCCCCGTGACTGGGCAGAAGCAATGGAGGGTGCCTCGGGCGGTGGAGGCGTGGCGATCCCGGGAGGACTGTTGGATGGCCTGGATGACGACGACGAAGGAGAGGAACCTGCGGATGAATTGACCCGCCCGGAAGCGCCTCGCGAGGCCGGGCTTGCAGGGCGGACTCCCGCGGCTGGGGCACTCCAGCCGTGGCCTTTCGTCCTTGTTGTCGCCATGTTCTGGAGGCTCAGTGGTGGGAGGCGGATGGCGCGCTTGCCTCTGCTGTTGGCACTCCGTCGCGCCAGTTCACGGAGTCCCGATGGCCCGGGGGTGCTACTGCCAGTCACTTCATGCGGCTTTTTGGTTCGCCCCGCCCCGGCTGTTTCGTCACGTGCCCGCTTTTTCGGAGCTGTGCCGGATAACGGTGTGGCCATGGGACTGGCCTCCCGTGCCGACGGAGGGCTGCCGCGGCTTTCCCCATGGTGCTTTGCATCATTTGTGCCGTATTCGGGGCGACTGGACGCGGAGCCGATCTCCGGCTGGCCCGCAGCATGGCTACTGGGGGCGCGCCCCTGACGCATCGCCCTTTCATTGGGCATGCCGCCCACGGAGCCGCCAGATCCGTGAGACAGATTTGGGGACAGGCGGCGAGATACGAAGGCAATGGCTGGAGGCGCATGAGACGCGGCGGCAGGAATGGTGGGGAAGGGCGCACCTTCGGGGGCCCAGTCGACCGTGATCTGCTCCAAGGGGAGCACCCCTAGTGGCCCATCATCGCGGCCCACGAACGCCCTGCCCTCCTGCGCGCCCAGGATCCGGATGATGTGGAAAGGGGAGGGGCTGTACGCAGTGTCTTCCTGGCTTCGTGCGTATTCGGTGATGGCGCCAAGAGCCCAGCACGGCAAGGAATCGATGACAGGCCCCGCGTCCACGAGGAGGGCCCCAAGCTCCACCACGCAGCCCAGCATGAAGGACTCCCATTCACGCAGGATCTCCTGCCTTGAGGATTGCTGGTCTGGTCGATTTTCGCATAGGTGGTGGATGGTTGAGGCGAACTGCCTTATTCGCTCCACAGGAGGGGTGGCTTCTGGCATGCTGATACTGCCGTGCTGGACCAGGATGAGATAGTGAGTCACAACGATCTGGTGCCAGGCCTGCAGTCCTGTGCAGAAGTAGAGTGAGTTTGGAGCAAAGAGATGGGGCACGCGGATGCTGGCTGGCGTGCCTCTTATTGCCCGTTCAGGGGGTCTTAGGTGGCAGCCTCGTTGCTTGTTTATGTGATGGGCGCCAGCTGAGCACGTTAGGGCCTGGTCGGCTGCCCGTGGGATGGGCTGTGGGATGGGCTCTCGCGCCCACCGAGACGGGCGCGTACCCCTCCCGAGCCCACAGCCCATCGTGCTGCGGGATCATTTTGGCGGGAACCCAGCCCATCCCACGGACAGCCGACCAGGCCCTAAGTTAGGTATCCTTTCCCCGGGACACGTGCTCAGGCAGCGGTCTCGCCGCGTTCGGTTTCCGCCGGGGATCCACCGGAGTCGCCGCCGGCCGGCGTGCGTCCTGCGCCGACCGTCAATCTCCGCCGGCAACTAAGCCCCGCAGGCACCCGTGCTCCGCCGATGCCGACGTCGGCCACCAGCCGATGCTCCCCTGGTGCAGCTTGGGTGCAGCACCCATTCCGCCCTCGCGGTGCTCACTGCGAGACCGTTTTGCATTGTGGACACGGCAATGCATCGAAAAGCGCATTCTATTGATCAGTCGCTTGGCCTCCAGAGCCTCGATTCGAAAAATGATGTACAGCAATGGGGCGGTGCATACGGCATACCGCCGTCGGATGGCCCGCGCGTAGAAAGCGCCGCAGGCGTCGCATGCAGGCCCTGTGGGGCCAGGACGGGTGGCTGCAGCGCGCCACAAGACGAGAGCGCCAGCGCACCCCATCTGAATGGCGTCACTCGCCTCCCATCCCATCACTGCCGATCGCTCTGTCCGTGGCGCCAGAGGCCCTGGTCGAAAGCCCCCGCGCGCTCCAACCGATCCTCGAGGAGCTCGACGCGGGCTGCGAGCGCTTTTGTGCCGGAGGCCTGCTCCAGCAAGCGTGCCTCAAGCGCCGCGATCCGTGTCAGCAGCCTGTCCCCACCCGCGGGGTTTCCCAGTGCTGTGCTCCGCACCGAAGACCCGATGCCCCTCAAATTGCTGCCCGCCGGCATGGGCTGGGGTCCAGGAGCATGCGCCGTCCAGACACCTGCTGAGGGGTCAGTGGGGATCAAGCTGGCTCCTGCCGGCCACGCGGCAGTGCTTCTCAAAGACGGACCTCGTCTTGGGGGTGAGTCGCTTTGCCCCGCGCCAGGAATCGATGAAGCACGGTGCTCTGGTTTCAAGTGGGAGTCTGGGGAGTCGGCGAAGTGCGCTGTCTTTCGCGGGCGCTTGCGTGGCCGCTCGCCGTCCAGTGCCATATCCGAGGACGGCCCGTCATCGCTGGATCCTGTGAACGGCTCGCTCTCCTCACTGTCGGACGACGCCCTCCACAATGCATTGGCTACCGAAGGGCGTCAGGGTCATCGCGTACACCCCAGCAAAGTGCTCTTACCTTGGGCTACAGTGGTCGCTTTCGCAAGGTCGATCTTTGGAGCTCGCTGGAGCCGATCCTTGGTGTGGGCCATGTACTTAGGGTGATCCTGTGGCCTTGTCGGGGTGGGCTCCACATCTCAACGAAGAGGCTTACCTCGGGGACCTGCTTATCGGGCATGCTAACCCGTCCGAGCTCTTTGCAGAGCTTCTTCGGGTATGTGAGGTCACAGCACTTTGCCTTTCTGATGGCCTCTTCGCGCCTGTCCTTGTCGTCCCAATGCACGATCAGCTCCCAAGCCCAATCCGGGATATCCGGGTTACCAGCCATAATCCAAATGTCGGAGACCTCCACTGGCTCGTGGCCGTAGACCGTGGGGTTAGCAGCCTGGATGGCAAACCGCAGCATCTTGTAGCGGCCGATTCTGGCAGTGGTGCCCCCGGAGATGGCGTTGAGCTTGCACTTTGTGTGCTTTGACAAGCATGTGAGGCAGGTCGCCTTGATGTCCAACGGGTAGAACTCGCACGGCGTCTGGAAGGCCTGGCATGCGGCGCAGCGCATGTCAATGCCGCGGCCGGGATGCTAAGGTGTTAGGGTGATTTAGCATTCAGCAGACTGGGCACAAACAGAGAAGCAGCTGACGTAAGGCATCTGGCCCCTGGGGTACCTCTTGTGCAGATCGCTAGGGTGCCGGGGAATGCCATACTCAGGAGGCACCACGTGCGTGTCCTTCTTGCGGGGGAGTCGTTTGCCGTCGCCTGCGGTGCGTGGGACGGAAAGAGATGGAGAGGGTCCAAAGGGCGCACCTGGGGGCGGAAAGCCGTCTCCTTCGTGGCACGGTGGCCCGGCACTGGTGGAAGCCCCTGCAGTGGCGGTTTCTTCCAGCGTTTGAGGAGGAGGAAGAGACGCCCGCGCGAGGGAGGATCGGCGCGCTGCCGGGATCAGATGGGTATTTTGTTTTCCTGTGGAAAAGGGAGACGGGGTTTGGTCTTCACTGAAGCTCAGCATAAGCCCCTGCTGGTGAAGCGCTGCTCACCTTCGGGCTTCTTGGGACCCCCCCTCTGCCTCTTCCCCCTGGGCCCCGTAGCGGCAAGTTGGGCCGCCTTGCCTTCTCCAATGCCCCAGGGCCAAGATGAGAAAGGTCTCCCGAGAGCAGCCCTGGGCACATACCTTTCCTGTCGGCAACCCGTTCATCACTACTGCCATCGCCGGAGCTCCCGCTTTCAGAGCCGGAGGCGGCGCTGTCGGAGCCACTGATGCTTTGGGACCTCGACGGCACGGCAATGCCATCGTGGGCCTCACCCAGTAAAACCGCCATGACTGTCGCAGCCTAAGACACAAAGGGGCGCAGAACAGAGGAGGGTCTACGCACCGGCTTGGGCCCATTCCAAGTCAATCTGATTCAACGGGAGAATGGCGTCCCCATCGTCCTTGCAAACCAAACCCATTACCATGGCGGCATCGCTGGGCGATAGATTGTCGGGGGAGAAGCGTTCGATGTTGAAGGCTGAGGAAACATAGCCGTGGCGTTGCTGGGACCTGCCATATTCAATAAAAGCACCGAGGGCCCAGGACGGAAGGGTGGTGATTCCGGCGTCGTGGCCTCCAATGGCATCCGCAAGTTCCTCCGTTGCCCTGAATAAACATTGCTCGAACCGCTGGCGCACCTCAGAAGGAGCCTTTTGTCTGCTTGGGCGATGCTCGCAGAGATGGTGAATGGCGGATGCCACCTGTTGCATGCGAGATCTGAATTCTGGGCCAGCTTTCATTGAAAAGGCAGTGTGCGAGCTGTGGAGATTGAGTGAGGGATCGGGGTGAGAGAGAAAGAGAAAGAGAGCGCATGGGCCGCCTACTCTAGGCCACACACAGCTCCAGTCACCGTTGCCCTCGTAAGGGCACAGGCGCGTGCGGGCCGTGCCCACCCGCGTCCAACCATCGCTCGCCAGCGAAAGGAGCCACCCACGCGCTACCCCCTCCTCCTCCCTCGCGCGATCTCCCAACGACTTTAGGCGCTCCATTATAATTCATTCGGCTCATCACAGTTCTTCTAAAGGTGCGCCTGATGACGCTTCCCCAGATTTGGTACTGATGCCCACCAGTCGGACATGGACGCCGAACCTCGCCATGGTGAGTGAGCAGACCCCAGCGCCGCCTCGGCAAGAGCATGGCTGACGCGCTTTTACACCCAGCTCCCAGAAGCACACTGCGATGGGCACTTGAGAGCCCTGATAGGTCGGATTGGGACACAAGTGCGGCGTATGAAGCCCCGCGGTCCGCCATGGGCACCTTTTTTCCCAACCCCGCCCCCACTGTGGCGGAGCTCGTGCGCTGGCTGCCCACCCACTCGCCTCCGGAGGGGTTTACGGGGGCCCAGGGCGAAGTGGTGTTCTCTAGTGAACAAAGAACGGCCCCGGCGGAGCTTATTCTGTGGGTTTTCGAACTCGACCATCGCGGTGTCTCCCTCCCCTGTGAACGGGCCCTCCTTGAATTGCCGTTCTCGGCCCAATCGGTCATACACCCCGCAGCCCCACACCTTCGTTACCCCCTTGGGCAATTCTCGTATGGCGCATTTACCAACAGGCGTGGCTCCATCAGCGAGCTTGGGCGAGGGTTTTTCGGTGGGCAGCCGCTGCTGCGGATGCAGAGAACTGGCCCGACGGCGACCTTCGCTGTCTGCTCACAAAGATCGACGGCCTGCCCGCTTTCCACCTTGAGCTCACCCTGCATGCTGCCACAATCCTACCTCAAGGCCTTCTTTCGGATGGCGCCTTCGAAGACTACCTAGGCTGCCTTCAGCCGCTGATTCGCCGATCGCCCATTTCCGACCAGACGGTGCTCGCCGACACCTCCTTTGCCGCGATGGTGGACGGGCCTGAGGAAAGCCTCGCCATAGCGACGGTTCTGGGAGCATTATCCGAACCACAACAAGGACTCATTCTGGTGCCATGGGCCAGTGCCATCAAGGGCCGCTGGGCCGCCGTCCGTTTCCATATCCCCAGCTCCCGGTACACGGTCGTCGATCCGCATGCTGGTTCCGAACAGCTGAGTCCAGAGATGGAAGCCTTCGTTCATCGCACGGGGCGGGCAATCGACAACCACTTGGGCCGGTGTAGCATTCGATGGGCCCAGGAGGAATCGGCGATGGCGACGCACCTCCCGTCTGGCACGATGGAGTCCTGCGCTGTGGTCTACAACTCCCTCGAGCGGCTGATCTGCCCCAGCGTCGTCCCGTGGGATGCTGCGAAAGCGGGATGGCACCGCGGAAAAATGTTCATGGCTCTGGTTGGCCTCTGGGAAACGGTGAGCAGGCGCCGTTTTCTTGACAAACCCGACGCTGACCCGGATGCAGAACGGGCGCCCGCTGCGATGGCCTGGCCGATGCCCACCGTGTGACATCACGACAGAGCTTCGCAGATTCGACGACCCATTTACAGAGCACAGCGCCAAAAGCGACATCCTCACACCAAGCAGTGCAATCGCTTCCGAACGCAGTACTCGGCCTTGCGATCCTCGAGATGCCCAGCAGCCTTCAACCGGCAGTAGCCAACCAGGCCGCCGAACACCACCGCCTGCCCTCCAGTCACGCCCTGCATTGCCCACCTCCCTTCCCGCGCACTCACCCGCACTTCCGTTGCCCAGCAGCTCAAACGCGGAGCTAGTTTGGGCGATCCCTCAGCCACAGCACCCAGGGCCTGCTTCACGTGCTGGCCTCTTCGGTCCTGGCGGCGCAGACGGCTTGGGCCCACTGGGAGCGGGCACTGGAGTCACTGCTTTTGCCAGGGGCCACACGGCTGTGGAGGCCGCCTCTGTGGCGGAACAAGAAACGGGGCAAGTGGGCCACGTGCGCCCCTATGGCCTCGGCGCATCGCCGTTCTGGCCCAGCGCAGACACATCTGCAGGCCCTGGGCTATGGCACGGCGGAATCGCAAACGGGGCAAGCCGCGGGGGCACAAGCCGGCCCCTCCTTTTCGCAGATGACACCTCTGGGGCCTCTACGGCTGCGGGCAATGCTGGCCTGCTGGGGCCGGCAGCAATGAGCCATTTGCTGCCCGACCTCTCAGCGCTGCTCAAGACGCGCCCCGCCGGATGGCAGCTCCGAACGCAAACCCCCGTGCATTCCCGGTCGCCTGAGGTGCTCCGCGCGGAGGGCAGAGGTCCCCCACAGCAGGCCATTGGGACCGTGGGCGAGGAGGCGCCAAATCAAGACCATCCGAAAGGCCCCGCAGGCCCCAGCGGGCCTGTCCTGCACGCTGCTCCATCGGCCAAGAGACGACGCGAAGAAGACAGCGACCCGGGGGCAAGCGGTCGTGAGGCCCGCCCGCCCGCGTCGAAGAAGCCACATGGCGATGCGCATAGCGCGATGACACTGCCCCCAAGGCAGTCAAGCGAGCCATCCTCCGCAAGCCGGCTGGGAGGCAACCAAATGGCGGGCGCCCGTTCGATCGAGAGGGCGGACGGCAGCGATGGCGATGTCGCCTCCGGTGAGCGCAGCCTTCGGCCTGCATTCTCCTCCGTCCTGACCAGTTGACAGTCTTTCTGATGCGACACCTGGGCGGTGTGAGGACGAAGGTGCTTCTCGCCCGAAGCAGACTGGAGCGGGCCGTGGATAGTGGCGACTGTGGCGTCGTGGAGCAATGCGATCTGCTGCTCGAGCAGGCCTTGGCTGGCCTCAAAGTCGCGAAGGCCTGGGGCCACGATGCCCCGTAGCGGCGCCCTTCCGTAGCATGCGTGCTTCGGAGCCCCTTGCCGTTATTAGATGCCATAGTATAAGCTGCTTTCATGCCGCCCTTGAAGCTTTGCTCTCGCTGGGCTCTGGGCATTGCGTGTGCGCCGGTGGAGCTGATCCCCGGCGGCAGTTGATCTCCGGCGGCGGCCGTTGTCCGGCAGCAAAAACGCAGGCCGCCAGGCGCCTCTCTGCAGGGCGCCCGACGCCTCGCCCATCCTCAGCACACCATTTGCCTCCCCATGGAGAAGAGGCGGTCAGTCTCCCATTAGATCCCATCATTGCTACGAAAGGACTGCCAGATCGCACGCGAGGCATTGGCGGCGGGAACAGAAGAGCGTATTCGATACATACACGACGACAGCTCAGGCTGCTCAGGACGCATGCGCCCACTTCCTCCAAGTGATGCGCAGTTGACGAGGTGGAAATGTTTTCCTGCATTGTGGCAACTGGCTCGACAAACCCGAAGAGCAAACGGACGGGGGCCGCTCCGAGCTGCAGTTAGCGCGCTCGAGAGCGAGCACAACCACAGCATTCGTGAGGGGCCCCCATATGTCCTCAGCTGTCTGCATTGGCGCTCGCCGAGATGAATTTGCACTGCCCGCGAATGTGCGTTCATTGGCATCCCGCTCACAACCATGTGTGGCTCATGAGTCCCCAGCTTTGCTCCCGCCGCGAACGTGACCGGCCCCGGAATTTAATCGCGCCAAACGCAAAGGGCGCCACGGCGCTGCTCGTGGAAAGGCCGGGCCGGATACGCTCGTCGTCGTTGGCAAAAAAAGGAGCCGTCATGGGCCACAGACGTGGGTGATCACGGACGATGTGGTCCGTGCTGGTATCCCTGTGGCATGCAGACGCCCTTGCATGCGCCGTGGGACCTGCGCGGGAGACCACTGAATCGCGGAGAAGGATGCCGGGGCAGAAGCGTGACGGGTGCGGTATGCTTGCTGCCTGAGGGGGCATGGGGCCTGAGGCTGGGCGGCAGGTTTGACAGAGCCTATTGTCGGCATTCAGAAGGCACAGGTAATACCGAACCTTCACTACCGGGCGCCAATATGCCCCTTATCTGTCGATAAGGGGGTGTATTAGAGGCCCACACCATCATCTATTCCCCCACTGCCATGTGTTTCCTGAAGACAGCAAAAGGTATATACTACGTTGAGCTTGTGTCCCGCGTAGTAGAGGTCGCTGTTGCTTTCCTTGCCGAGATGATCACCGCTGACCGCTTGAAACGTAGATATCGGACGTTGCCCCGACAATATACTTGGAATGCCCAGTGAACGGCTGCGAATCGGTAGAGGTCGACTTAGACCCGTACGATGTGGCAAGTAATGCCGACGCTCCAAAGCTGTATGTGCGCTGATAATATGCGTCTAGGCATTGGTCTTTCCGCGTCCGAATTTTGGCCAAATGGTCCGGATCCGCGGATTCGTTGAGCAGGACAACGCGTTTGAGTGCAAAGAGCTCATAACGGCACAAGAGGCGACGTGCACCGACGGTATGATCTTATCGGCTTAATATCTATGTTCGCTGACCAGGCCTGATAGAGACCACGCCTCGTATGGCCCTCTTCCGGAACGGGCCTTGGCAGCTGGAGGAGAAGCAAGTCAGATTACGGGATAGGAATGCGCATCGTAAACCTTTGCATCGGAAGGCTTAAATGAAAAAATTGTTCCCGGTGTGTGCGATTGCCGGAGCACCGGGCATGCCGAAGCCTATTAAAGTGCTAAAGGGCGGAGTTTTCGGCACAGAACTCACTGCCGGATGTGTGCAATCGCTATTGCCGATGCGGATGCGTCTATGCAGCTAAATACAGCGCATAATCTGCTGAAGAGGTCTGGGATGCGCCAGACGCACGGCGCGGAGCATCTCTGCGCTTTGCCTCAAAAGATGTGTTGGCATGCGGCGGTGTGCAGGGCAAAAGAGAATTGCTGATGGGACCCCCAGGCGGCGTGGCGACAAAGGCGCAGGCTTCTGCCCGAAGCAGAGTGGCGGATCGATGGATGGCGGCGAATGTAGCGCTGTCTGGCCATCGGATGCTCTGTTTAAGGAGGCCTTGGCCGGCCTCAAAGCCGTGAAGCCGTGGAGGTGCGGCGGCCCATGATAGCGGCCTCCCGTCCCAGGCACACTCTGAGTGTCTTTCCCGCCGTCAGCAGCTATAGGACGTGCGGCTTTTGTATTGCTTTTAACAGCTTTCCCAGTTTCAGGGCCACGAATTCCGGCTGCCGTCAGCCCCTCCGTCCGCATTGGGCGCCCTATAAAGCCGATCTCCGGAGGCTGTTGATCCCCGGCGGCAGTCGATCCCCGGCAGCATGCGATGCATGGCCTCTTTTTGCCCCCCCTTTGCATGAAGCCATATCACTGCCACGCCCCGGTGAACCCCCTTCGCTTCGCTCTCTTCAAGACACTCGGACAGACCTCGAGCCGCGCGGGCGATTCAATGCGATGTACACCCCGTGCGCCACACCCGGGTGGATCCTGCGGATTTCCTCGGCCACCCGGCGTCTTCAAGGGCGTCGGCTCTCTCGGCCTATCACGGGCTCCAGGGTGCGCCTGGGAGCCACGGTGTGATCAGGGCTTCCAGGAGGTCAGGGATTCCGCTTCACGCGTTCCTGTGCCCAGGCCGGCCGGTTCAGTCAGGAATCACGACAGCGCCGGCAGGCAGGGACGGTGATGCGGAATATATGAATGCCGGGCGACACGAACGGCGTCCGATGCACACGTCCCCGAGGCTAAACCCGAAGTGTGCGCGTATGGTCCATGAGCTCAGGGGCGAAGGAGGAGCGCGAACACGACGCACCCAGATGAGCAAGTGCACGACGAAGCGCAAATCATGGTCGCGGGCAGGCGGTCGTCCGAGATCTGTGGAGAACCGCGTGGGCATGGCACACAAGCGCGCACGCGCTCGGACAGGCGGACGCACCCGAGGAGGGCTTGCTGCAGGCGCGGGAGGCCTTCGGAGGTTGGCCAGCGCTGCGTCGCAGTCAGTGGCTGGCAAGGCACGGGAGACGCACCTCGAGCACCGGCATGCCCGACGAGCCCGCCATGGAATGGCGCTATGGCTTCGAGGAACGCTCCCTCCGTCTCTTTCTCAACGCAAGGCGGGCGCAATCCATCAGCGCGGTGCCCGCAGCCGGGCTCGTGGAACAGGCTGAGGTGCCGCGTGTGGGGCGCGGGTTGTGCTCCAGCACTCAGCGTGAGCGTCAGCAGGCGCTGATGCGTAGTCAACTCCATGGAGAGTCAAAATTGGTTAGGGCGAGTGAGCGAGCTCGAGCAAGCGTGAGACGCGGGAAGTCGAATAAAGAATGAAGGGAGCAGCTACGACGCGCCGCAGGAAGAGCGAGCGCGAAGGGAGAACGGATCGGGGGATCGCGCGCAGGACGAGGAGGGAATGGACGCGGAGGAATAGACGAGATCACACACACGTGCGCCTCTGGAAGGCGAAGGCAAGATCGAGGTCGTGGGCGTGGGCGTGGGCGTGGGCGTGGGCGAAGTCGAAGTCGAAGACGAACGCGAAACGAGGCGAGCACACTGCACGCGCAGATGAAGCGGGGAAGTGAACTGTGTATCACCACGAAAAGCGCGAGCCTAAGTGCATGCGACGCACAGGACGAGTATGCAGACAGATCAGTGCACAGTCCAAGACATGAAAACGTACGGGGTCGAGACAGAGAACGAAGGGCTGGGCCGAAAACGCGGGGGACACGAGCCAAGGTCGAGGTGAAGGTGAGCAGGGATAGGTCAAGGCAGAATGAACCGAAATGGGGGACGCACGAAGTGGATAAAAGAACACGAAATGTAAGAAATGCAGAAAATGAGAGCATGCTAAACATGCAGGAAGAGGAGGGGAATGAAAATCGGAAGGCGGACGAGGTCGGCGTACTGCAGAGGAGGTGGATCGGGTGCGCGCAGTGCCGGCCTCGGTGGCGCGTGGACTGCGCCGCGGTGTGTCCGTGGGTGTCGTGTCTGGCCTGGACTGCTGGAGCGTCTATCCTGGGTGCTCGCGGGCTGATCGCGATGGCTGCACGCGGCGGAGGAGTCGAGATGCGTAAGGACGAGCGAGGTCGAGATGGGCGGCGGCGCACGGGTGCTAGCGTAGTCGCGGTGCACCGTGCATCGGCGGCATGTGCGTATCAGCGCATCAATGGGTGCCCCCCCGTTGGATAAGCTCGCGCAAGCGGTTGCCTTCTTCACGCCCGATCTCGACCGCCGTCCGCCTTGTCCCAACGCTGTCAACCCGCCACCACCGCTCAACGCGCATTGGTCCATACTTCGCATCCTCCTCCCAGTCCTTCCGGTGCGTGAAGTCGGCCGCTCCAGCTCGGGGCCAAGACATCGCAATGGCGCGCAGCGTGGGCAGGCTCGTCGCGAACTCCTCAGGGAATGAGGCCACGGCCTCGAGGAATTTCCTCTCTCTCTCGGGACACCCCTCTCCCCATCCCATGGGATGCCCGCAGCCCGCCAAAAAGAAGACATTGAGGTGCTCCAGCGCTGTCGACCGGAGTGCATCCAGCAGTGCCGACTGTGTGAGGCGTTGTGCGCAACAAAAGCATAGTCAGTGAGCCTGGTGAGAAGGGAGGGGTGCAGGAAAACTGGACTGACCTTGTAGATGACAGGCTTGCACTTTCCCTCTGTGACGGTGATCTCCAGGGAGCGCAGGCGCGGATTTCCCTGCAACAGGAAGGCCCACATCTGCCTCGCGTCGTCCGAATTGCCCGCCGGCGTCGGCTCACTCCACCGCGCCACCTCCGGGTCGTTCAAGCGCCCGCCGTGAAAACCCCCAGGGCGATAGGCCGGGTGGCGCGTACAAGGGGGGCGAGGAGCCGAGCGTCGTTCGTTTTGACGAGCGGTAAGCAGACCTCGCCCAGGGATACCAAGGGGACTTCTCCCAGGCGCTTGGCGCTTTCTGCAGGAACGCCGATGCAGCCTGAGATGCGGAGTTCCGCAAGGGGAGGGGACTCCGGGAGCCATGTGCGGCATAACCAGCGCCGCAGGAGGGCCACACCACTGCAGCTGAAGATGGCACGCTTTGACGTTGGCGCAGGCGTCAACGAGAACGGCGGCGATGCTGGGGAGGCAGCGGAGGGAAAGCTCCCTGACGGACGGGATAGTTACTGAGGGGTATGGACCAGGGATGGCCGGCCGCGCCTCGTCGGATCTAAAGCGGAGAGTGCGCAGTCTCGGGGTGCAGGAGAGGGCGGTGACGAGGGCGGCGACGTCGATGGTGATGCTACGAACCAGGAGTTGGTGAGCTCGAAGCAGAGGGAGGTGAGGTTTGGGGCGGCCAGGACCATCGGGAGTTGCTGGACGGCCCACGGCCCCGTTCCAAGGAAGACCACCTGCTCGAGGCGGCCCATGGCGCCCAGTGGGACCAAGCCGCACTGCGGACTCTGAAAGTGTCCGAGGTCGTCGAAGTAGAGGTGTTCGAGGCGTTCTGTCGCAGCAAAGAGGCGACTTATGTGGGCGAGGTCGGGGTCGGTGAGTCCACAAAGTTTGAGGCGGCGAACGTATCGACCGCGGCGGAGCTCGAGGAGGGGGCCGCTTGTCGATAGGACTTCGGACAAGGCCAGCACTTGGAGGCCGGTGGAAGGGGGCTTCTCGGGGATGTCGACGGTCAGCGATCTAAACGCATCGGGGACGTGCAAGAAATAAAGCCTTTTCGCTGTGTGGGACAGCGAGAAGGCATTTTGCCCATCCAAGAGCGCGAAGACCATGCACAGGAGCTCGTTGGGAAGGGAGAGGAGGCTGAGCATGTCTGAATGAAGGCCGTGTTCTGGGAGGGAGTCGTCGCAATAAAGCCGCTGCGGCAGGGGGGAGACGGGTGGGTTGGTGGAGGGGCGTGGTGGTGGGGCCGTTTATGTATCCGTCCCCTGGTTAGGCCACGTCGAGTGAAGAGTGCGGCTGAGCCGTCAGCGGTGTTCCTTTCTTTGCGCAGTCACGGCCAGAACAAAGGGGCCTTGCGGTGGGCAGGCTCTCGGGTAGCGAGGCATGCGGAGCTTGGCCCCCGGCGGGGATCGATTGCCGACCGGATGGGCGCTGCCACCCGGAGCCCGTCGGAATTCAACCCCCGGCGGGGCTCGATTAGCGACCGGACCGGGGCCGCCTGCTGGCATGCCGTGGGCGTAATCCGACCTCCGCCGGGGATGGCATATCGATGCCCATGGGCTTGCCGCCCACACGCGTGGCTCGAGCGGCGTTCCCCCATTCCCACTGTGGCTGAGAGCTAGCTGAGGCGCCGCCGAGCCTGTGGCCCGGGGGCGACGTATCGCGTATCGATGGGAGCGCTTTCCGAAAGGACTGGGCTTCGCGCCCCCTGCATTGTGGCCGCGGTCCCCGCTTGCCACGCGGCGATGAGCCCGTCAAGGGGTCTTCTTTGTCTTGGTCGACGCACGCTCGCGAAAGCCGGGCCTTTGTTCGCCTTTTGCAGTGCCGTCGCGCCCTGAGCATGGTCGCCCCGGCTGGCTGGCCCTCCGCTCTCGCCTCGGCAGACTGCCGCTGCGCTGTTCTTTGAGCGTCGCTCTGTGCGTAGGCCGGGGTGCCACAGACGGGCACGGCTCTCGTGTCATAGCTGCCCATTCCACACAATCCCACGCAACGCACAGCGCGCGCGTGGGTCCCCGCCTCCCCTAGCTTGCGACTGACGCGATCTAGGCCTGTGCAGCATCGAGCAAAAGACCGACGCGCGGGTGGTTTGCCTTTCGACCGGGACGAAATGCGCCTGACAGTTCAAGAATCGGCCCATCAGCGATGCAGATGCTCAGCCGGATGAAATGCATGCTTTCTGCCAGCTTCTATCCGCATTTCCTCCCAGCAGGCGCCCTGCATTGCCCATCACGATGCGCCGTGGCAGCGCCGTTTCCCTATTCGGGCCCGCGTATGCGTTGCTTCTTGCCGTTTGCCGGACGCCTGTGCGCCCACTCAGCCCGCCCCCCTCTGCGGCGACATCATGACCGGGGCCGCCGTCTTCAGCCCCTCTGAACGCGTCTTCAGCCCTCTAAAACCTTCTGAAGCCTGTGCGTTCTCACTGGGCTTCAACCACGCAACGCCCACGCATTGCCCACGTCTTTTCTCACCGCACCGCCACGTCGTTTGCGTCGCCCCCGCGTCCTCTATCTTGTCCCGCCACTGCCATGCGCCAAAGAACCGATAGGGGCGACGTCGGTTTGTGAATGCCTTTCCTCTCCATGCAGCACGCACGCCTTCTCCGAGCAGCGTGCATTCTGGGCTGTCGGGCAGCCCATGGGAAAGCGGCATCCATGTTATGGCCTGCTTCGCCGCCTGTCTGGTTACGAGCTTCGGCGCGCACCCACTACGGATGCCCAGCAAACGATCGCCCACCACCCTGCCTTTATGTACTGCTCCCACACCTACCGTCACGCTGCGCGATCGCCTCCTGGCTCCTCCCCGTCGCCTATCCTTCCCGTCTCCCCGCTACCGCGAGCCTCTCCGAGGTCAAGCGCGTCCTCTAATCCGATCCCGCCTTTCCGCTCGTCTCCGACTCGCCCGACCTCCGCGCTCCCGCGCTCCGCGACCGTAACAATCCATTGTTTGGTGAATGCCATGGCCTGCTCCGCCTATCCGTTTACGAGCGTCGTCGCGCACCCGCAACGGACCTCTTAGCATGCGATCGCTGCAGCCACTAATTAGTGTGCATGGTTCATACGCCTACCTCCGCATCCCTTCGGCACGCGATTGCCTCAGCCTCCCTCGTCATCCCCCGCATTTCCTTCCCTCCCGCTCTGCGAGCCATTCTTACACGCTTACGCCACCCGTACCCACCTAATCGACACCCTCTCCCGCGCACGTGCACCTACCCTTGTCCGCGCCCGCTCGACCTCGCCCGCGCTCCCGCGCGACCGCAACAGTGAACAGCGAACTGGCGGAAGGGTATGGATGCAGCCCAGTGTGAGGGTCTGCATACGCATGAGCAGCGGGAGGCGCGGCCATACGTATGAGCGGTGCGAGGCGCGGGAACACATATGAGGACGGGAGCGAGGGCGCACATATGAGCGGTGCGAGGCGCGGGAGCACATATGAGCAGCGGGAGCGAGGGCGCACATATGAGCGGTGCGAGGCGCGGGAGCACATATGAGCAGCGGGAGCGAGGGCGCACATATGAGCGGTGCGAGGCGCGGGAACACATATGAGCAGCGGGAGCGAGGGCGCACATATGAGCGGTGCGAGGCGCGGGAACACATATGAGCAGCGGGAGACGGGGTGCGCTGGTAAACGCAGGCGTGGCGGTGCTACATACGACCGGCAGTAGCAGCAACAGAGCGCCCGCTCATATGAGCTTATCCGAACGCCAGTAGCGGGGTATTTGGTCATTGATATGAACGCCAGTGGCGGGGTATTCTGGCGCCACCCAGTGCGCGCGCACCGCGTTCTCTGCCGTGCACACTGTTCGCGTCTTTGCAAATCGAATGTATAGCTCAATACGAACCTCTTATGCACCCCACGCGCCCCATGATTCACCCTTGAAGGAGCCCATGATCATCGACGATCATCGACTACAGCTTTCTGTTTAAGCTACTAGTGCCGGTAGTAAATACATCATATCCTGTATGGGGCCACAAAATGCGATCAAATGTCATAGCAAAGACGAATTAATGTCAGCTGCTACCGTTCTGCTACCATCATTTATCGCGCAGACAATAGATGACCTGTCCCGATATGGCGGTGTCGCGTGTTATCGGGCGCTACCATGGAAAACACCTTTTGCTGATGCGGCTCTGCCCTGTAGGGTACTATATCCTCTTGTCTCTCTCCGCTTTTGCCTCATTACACCTGCTCTCTGATGACGGACTCACCGGAAGAAGCCACGGTCGCAGCGCCGCCATTTGACCAGCCGTCTGTCGACCTCATCCTTCGCTCGTCGGACCGCGTCGACTTTTACGTCCATCGCAACATCCTTGCCCAAGCGTCACCTGTGTTCGCGGACATGCGCTCAATCCCCCAACCCTCCCCAATCTCGCAGGAAGAAGCATTCGATCCCCCCATTGTAAATGTCTCCGAGGACGAGAAGACCCTACGCCGACTGCTCTTCCTCTGCTATCCCCTGAAGAAACCCGACATCGAGTCATTGAGGGACGTCGAGCTGGTCCTGACGGCAGCTATCAAGTACGATATGGAGTGGCCCATCTCCTCCCTTTCGGATCGTCTTCAGTCTTCCGCAAACGAACATCCCCTGCAAGTGTGGGCAATCGCGTGCCGAGCAAGCCTCGAAGGCATCGCCCAAAACGCCGCGGCGAAAATGAAGGCACCTCGGCCTAGTACAACCACCATGGAGACGAGTCTCAAAACTTTGATTGGGGCGGATGGGCTGGGTGTTCTCGAAGGGATCAGTGCGGGAGTCTACTTCCGCCTGCGCGAGTACCTGAGCTCCCCCGCCTCTCACACATTTACGCTCTTGCCAATATCACCCTCCGCTGCACATCCCCATCCGATCAAGAGGTCCTCTTCCCCCGAGCTCAGTCCTGTCTTCATCTCCACCGGATCTCCCCTCGACATCATCCTCGAATGCTCCGACCTTGTGCGCGTCAAGGCACATCGGCTCATACTCGTCATCAACATGCCGGGCAATTATCATCTTGCGGAAACAACCGAAGGAGACCCCCTCCGTATCGACTTCCCTTCACGCATCGTTGTCGATTTGCTTCGAATATGCTATCTAGGCGAGCGAGGGCTGCCCACAAACGTCAATGCCATCGCTCGCCTTCTGGCGGCGTCCCGGAGCTTGAAGATGAATGGCGTAGCTGCTGCACTGGAACGCGATGGAACGAGAAGATACCACTGTATCCGTTCAAAGCCTTCTTCGCTGCGGCGGAGAACAAACTCAGCTCCCGTCAGATCCGCGCGCGGCAGGAGACCCTGAAGCACAAGTTCGTCGGCATGTACGTCAAGGCGATGGAGGGCGTTCCCGCGCAAGTGTACCACGTCTATGGTATACCACCACGGCGCTCCAAAACGGTTTGCGCTACACTCAGGAAGCGAAGACGCGATTCTACCGAAACGCGCTCACACTGCTGGGGACGCATCGATCCGCCGATTTCATCGAGGCGATTTTGGACGGTCTCGTCGCCCCTATCGAAAGCGCCTGCGAGAGAATCCTCTCGGGAGAACAAGGTCCTGCGGCGGACATCGACGACTTCCACGTACGCGCCTTGCTACGCGCGAGTGTGCCGCTTTGGCCTAACGCGGTCCGAGCGAACCTCGATCAATACCTGGACGCGGTGCAGAGTTTCGGCGACTCGTTGCGACCCGCGATCGACGGTGCGGTGGGGGAGGTGCGCCCGTTTGTCACTCGCTCTCCTACCATCTCTCATATCTTTCCCTGCCTATCTCGGCCAGGTTTCGCTTGTTTTGTGAAGACAATATGGACCTACGCATTACTATGTTTATTCTTAATTTTATTTCCGTTTTGTAGGCGAGCCGCTTGCACCCGATGCCGCTAGCTCATCAGCCATGCGAGCCTTCGTCCCGTCTGCGCATCGGAATGGTAAGGAACGTCCGTGGACGACGTCGTAGATGTGTGAAGTCTTGGAGATCGTACATGAGTAGTGTATGTACCCGGAGAAACCTTTCGACGAAAGTCAAAGGGCGGCAAGACGGCCCGGTTATCCCGAGGCCGGACTGCCAGACTTCTCTTTCCCCTTGTCTGCTGTCACTGCCGCCCGGCTCGTCGTGGCCTGCGCCGCGCGTCCTCTTGCGCGTCCCACTCCGTCGACCCCGGTGCCAGCACACCGCCGATGAAGCAGGTAGGTCAATTACGTGTGCTGTCTGCTGATCGCAGGCGATGGGGTTATGGTTGTGCTGATATCCGCGCCGTTCACAGCACCTCGTCTTGCCCGACGTACGGCATTCGTCATTCCAGTAGTATCTCCGACGCGCTGAACGTATTCAAATATTCACAGATGACCCCCACCCTCTTCCTTGACGTTTTTTTCGACATCATGTCTCACTCAGACGACGTTACCGTCTCTCGTCTCATGCAAGTCACAATCTGGAGGGCCCCAAGTACCTGCTCACTCCCTCTCCGCCCGTTGCCATGCGCACCAGCAACAGGCTTGACTCCTTCATCACTTTCCTGTCTGCGTGCAATGGTTCTCGCCTTGTCTTTCTCAAGCGCCTCTCCCTGGAAATGGAATCCCTCGAGACCTCTGTCGCGAAACGTCTGGTCGACCTGCTCACGACACACGCGCATAAGCTCGCTATCACCTGTCTGCGCGTCCTCCACATCAGGAAAAACCCAAATCCATAATGAGACGTTACTGAGCCTTGTGAGGGCTAATGAGCCGGATTATGATGTTACTCAGAAGTATTCTTTTTCGCTTACCCCTCTGCTAATAAGAGACCATTATACAGAGAATGAAGAATTAGTCGGGAGAGCGGACCCTCACCAGACGTATTTAGTATCACTCATGTTTGTAGATCGCTGCTTCACGCACCAAGGAGTAGCGCTCATCACACATACAATGTGGCATCATCGAAGCGTTGATTCAGGATAGGATATAGACCACACAGCGACATAGATGTACATTAATACCGAGGGTCATGAAGGGCGCGATAATTAAGTACTGGGCCTCCTTCGTGAGGTATGCCCAGGTGGGCGCACACGCGAATACGGTGTGCACGCCGATCGCGCCGTGGGCCACAGATGAGCAGTAGCGCCCGCCGCCGTCCCCACCAACGTGCAGACGCACAGACAGCCTTCCCGAACTCTTCGCGCACCGTCCATCCGCTGGTCCTTTCGCGCACAGCCTGGGCGTTCTCCCGCACCTTGCCTTTCTTCGCGCACTCTTCAGCCCGCCGCCGCCGCACTACTCACGCCCCGGCCTCTGCCATCCGCGTCTGCGTCCGAGTCTATGTCCGGTCCCGCCCGAGATAGAGGGACGGGAGGCTGGTGAACCGCCACAATCGAAGATGGGTTGACCTCGGGTGGAGGGGTAGGTGTCGCAAGGAGCGTGACCAGTTGTTGGACCCCCGGGGCGGGCGAGAGAGAGAGGGCGACAACATGCAATCATGGGAGTAAGGCACTCACCACCTAGACGTCAAAATTGTGGGCTCTGGAAGGGGGCTGCAGGCAACCATGGGGCTCCCGACGGCGGGGTCGATTTGCATAGGGATTGCCTTGTTTATGTCCCTCGGGCCGTACGAGTCGAGGGAGGGCTGGTCAAGTAGTCATCGTCGTAGTAATAGTCGACGGTACGCAACCCAGACGGGACCGCAGGGGCGAAGGAAGATGTGTGGCCGGCGAAGCGACCAGGTGGAGGTCTGAGAACTGGACGAGAACAACGACGCCGCCAGGGGTTGAGGAGTTTGACAGAGGAGGAGCTCGAATGTGATGGTGGTGGTGGTGGTGGTGGTGGTGGTGGTGGTGGTGGTGGAGGCAGCTTGGAGACACCTAGGCACGGCGCGGGGACGCGTGTCGCCAAGTCGTTGTGCTCGGGCGCTATGTAGCGTGCCGACTGCGTTGCCCGTGGTTGCGTCCTTCGTCTCCTTCACCTCCTTGGTCTCGTCCCCTCACGCCTCCCCACGGCTGCCGTATCTAGTCCCTCTGCTGCTCGACATCCCTCGTTCAAGAAGCGGCCATCCGGCCCTCTGGAGGCTCGGGCTCGCACCAAGTGGACGTGAGTTCCCGTGCCTCTTCCTTGCACCTTGTCTGCATTCTTAATCTCCCAACTTCCCGACAAGCAGGACCTGTACTACAGCCATGAAGAGACCACGAAGCTCTGCGCGCGGTTTTTCACGCGTTTCTTTGTTCCATGTTCCTTCCTGAGCACGCGGATGTGCTGCCGTTCAGCGCACGCTCCTCGCCCGGCTCGCACCATCGTTGATGGTCCACCTCCCCCGCGTTGAGCACGCCCCATCAGCGCCGTTCGGCGACGAGGTCCCTTGAGGTTCTCTACTACTGGTGCAGGGCGCGAAGATCGGGCACGATGTAGTCATTGACTCACTCGCGGGCGCGCCTGGGTGAGTGCCACCTTTGGACGCTCCACGACGGCTGCTGAATTGTCGATGCGCTCTTTGCACGGTCTCTGTGGCGAGTGCGACGGCTGCTTCCGTCTCAATACGATTGTCTTCGGCCGTGGCGCTACGGTCAAAGCACGCGTCCTCGCACGACGGACCGCTACGCACAGTGACAGTACAACCGCGCGGCACTCCTGCAGCCGAAATAGCTCAAAGCGTTCGTTGAGGGTCCGCTCATCTTCCCTGTCAAGTTCGCCGCGCACCTGCCCTGGTTCATCGTCCTCTTTGTCCTCCTCTCCCAGCGCGCGCTGAAGGGATTCCTTAACACGCTTGGGAGTGTTATCATCTGGTTTTCCCCCTATGTCCACGTCGTTTCCAACTACGGCCACGCGCGCACGCCGCACACGCACTCCGCGAGCAACGCCACAATCGCTGCTCCTGACTCGCCGAGCTATGCGCCGATCCCACACCGGCACGTCTGATCGTTGGGCTGCAACGTCTCCGCCTCGTTACCCACCACGCCCAGTCCGCCATCACGTTCGTCGCACAAGGCAGGCAGCCTGTACGCGGAGAGAGGTGACAGGGATATCGAGATTGCGTAGTACATATTCATTACAAACCCGTGTCATAGGTATCGCAGTACTTAGATCATGAAGCAATGACAGCTTTGTGTGGTGCTAATATGTGAGCAGTGGGGGAAGTCGTACACTGTCGCTGCTACTTGTCGAGATCCAGTCGAATGTATCATCATTGGCTAACTGCATGTACAGATATCCCTCAAACATGTTGAATTATACCTCATCCACACCATAAGCGACCAGAAGAAAGATGATAGTGTCTGTAAACTGCGGTGAGTTGGAACAGCGTCAGTATTTTGGAGTATATCGGCTTACAAATATTTTACCTCTCAATAGGGATTTGGGTTTTTCCTGATGCACATGGACGGCATTCTCCATGGCCACCCTGGGCTTTCGCTTGCGCTCGCTGGACTCACGACTCTCATCGAGATCCGTTTCGGGAACGTCGACGTCCTCGGCTCCGAGATGCTACGCCGCTTCAAGTCTAGAGTCAAATTCGTCGAGGTCAAGTGGCCAGAGGGTCCCTCCCTGTTGACGCGCCAACAAAGCATGAGGATCCCAATGCTCGTTCTCGAGAACTTCCAGTCATCTCTCGTCAGCTTGATAGCGGCTGTCGTCAACCTCCAGCGCTTCCGGGGGGACGGCGCGTTCCAGCAAGTATATCCACTCCTCAATTACATCCATCTCCGTGAGGCCATGATCCTGGGGGTCCACACCCGCAACCTGGTTCATACCTTTCCCAGCCTACAAAGCCTCATCATAGACCAGTACTCGGACGACACGACGACCAAGACACCATCGACGCGCAGCACGAACGAAACGTCGCCGACCAGCTCGCGCACGGCTCGTGGCCGTCCCTCAAGCTCGCCTCGGGTCGGCTCGTAGACCTCTACATGCTCAGCCCGACGTGCCCGATCCGCATGGTCCACATCAGGGGCCCGTTCATGCAGACGCGCGCGCTCCGCCGCGTCCTCAAGCGCACGAGCACCGTCCACCTCTCGCTCGAGCAGTTCGAGGGCGCGCTCTTCACACCCGCCCTCATAGACATGCTTCAAAAGCCGTGCGCGGCGCAGATTCAGTGCTTCGAGGTCGTCTTCCGCATCGGCCGCTCCGTCCCCGCCGAGCTCGTCGATCCGCCCGCGCTGCTCGTGAGTCCCTCGCCTCCTCGCCCCCTTGCCGATCCCATCCAGCGCTGACGATGATCTCGGGCGCGCAGGACAGCTGGGTCGCCGCGGTCCGCGGTATCCCGCGCCTGCGCGTGCTCTGCATCGGCGTATTCTGCCAGCTGCGCTCATTCCGAGACATGAGGGAGCCGACTGCGGCGGAACGCTTCTTCGCCGCGCTCGACCTCGACGTGCTCGCGCGCCGGCTCGCGGACGCAGTCCCGACCCTGGAGACTGTCGAGCTCGCTGTGAAGGGCGTGCGGGGGCGGAGCGCGCCGGCGACCGCGCGCCGTGGGCCGGAGAACAAGGAGTTCCGGACGCGCGTGGTGGAGGTGGTGAATACGTTCGAGGAGATGACCGCCCGGTTGCGCTCGGAGGTATGTGGATGTCCTGTACCCTCCCAGGGCAATTAGAACGAAAGGACCCGTTGTTTTGGGGTCTCGCGTTGCCGCACGCTGCCTAAATAGCATCTCCTACTTGTCCCACTCTCCGCATACAATCCTGAAAAGCGCCTATCTGAACGCTCCTCTGGTATCTACCCTGTCCGATTTTTCGCCAGACCCAGCGGCCATGCCTACGGATGCGCTTCCCTCTCTGTAACAGCCTCCAGCTTAGATCCGTCTCCGGGGAGGGTTTCGAGACGCAGTACCAGTTATGCGAACCTTCGTCTCGACTCTCTAAGAGACTCTCTATGAAAGATGTCCATATTCTAGCCACGTGATGCATTACGTAGCGCCGCGTCTAAAACGTACCTCACTCCGTCCACGATGACCTCTCTGACGCATCCACTATCTATCGTGTGTCTCCAACCCACCAACCACTTGTTTTCCCAAATTCGTCATGGAAAGTCGTCCACCAGATACTCAAGTCGCGGCACCACCATTTGACCAACCTTCCGCGGACATCATCGTCCGCAGCACCGACCGCGTCGACTTCCTCGTTCATCGAACCATCCTCGCGCAGGCATCTCCCGTCTTCGCGGACATGTTCACCCTCCCCCAACAGCCTCGAGGAAGCGCGGACACAGAACCCCCGGTCGTCGAGGTTTCCGAGGACAAGGAGACCCTGCGTCATCTCCTCCTGTTCTGTTACCCAGTAAAGAAGCCCGCGTTGACGTCGTTCGAGGACATCGTTCCGGTGCTTTCTGCGGCCGTCAAGTACGACATGGGGTGGCTGGTCGACCTTCTTTCCGCGTATCTCAAGCCCATGATGTCGGCTCGCCCTCTGCGGGTGTGGGCCATCGCGTGCGGCGCCCGTCTCGAGGAGCTCGCGCAAGAGGCCGCGGAGCAGATCAAGGCGAACAGGACGGTGTCCAAGAGGTTCATGCAGACGATGTGCAGATTAGTGAAGGAGGAAGGACTGGACGTTCTCAACAACATCAGTGGTGGGGAGTACTTCCGCCTGTTCGAGCATTGGCGCTGTCGTGGTTCCTTCACGCTCTACCCCGCCGTCCCCCCTGCCCCGTCATCCACATACCCGTTTCCGGTGGATAATTGCGTGGAATTTGTTCCCGCAGATCCTCCCCCTGACATTCTCCTACGGTGCACGGACAACAAGGTTGTCAAAGCACATCGGCTCATCCTGCTGCTCCACATGGCGAAGGTCACGCTCACAGGGCCGCCGTGCGAGGACCCCGACTCTCTCCCTCTCTCATCTATCGACATGTCGTCCACGCAGCTGGTTCCGCTGCTCCGAGTGTGTTACCGGGGCGAATTGGCACTGCCCTCCGGGCCCGAGGCCATTGCCGGCATGCTGTCAGACTGTCGGAGGCTCCAGATGGACGGCATGCTACCTATGTTGGCACGTAGATGGAAGGAGACGGTAGAGGCGGCACCCTTTGAGGCCTACTTTGCGGCGGCAGACCGCTTCGACCCCTGCGACGCTGCCGCGGCCGCGAGGGAGACGATCAAGCACAAGCTCGACGGAGTGTACACCCCGAACATGGAGAACGCGTCCGCGGCCGCATGCCATCACTTGCTTGAGTTCTACCGCGACACCTATGAGCTCGCGCTCTACCGCGACGAGGTTTCCAGGAAGAAACTGGAGGACGATGTCAGGCGCATTACGGATAAGTTGACCCTCAAACAGGTTTGGCGGCGCCCGCTTGATGAGGTGAGCGGGTACTTTGGGGCTGCGTGACAAGTATGTGGGGTGTTCACATGCGATTTTCAGATCTCGATCACTGCAGCGTGAGCTGTCTTAGTGGGTGGACGTTTCAATCATCAGCAGGGGCGTGGGGCACCTTTGGAAATGAAATGGGACTTGTGTGTTGTCGAGACATTCGCGGAAACGAGGGAACATATTCCTTTATGGCGTCATGATCGTTGTGGCAAGGACCTGGCACACTGGCTGTGTTTGGATTATCCAAAATGTCATTAATCCATCAGAATACATGCAGAGGCGGTATGAGTCGTGGTGGTACAGGGTGAGAGATGTCGATGCTGAGGTTATAACTTAGCGTGCGGGGACGAACGGGGGACATGTACACAGCGCGAGGGGACCGGGGTACGAACGAAGACCGAAATGAACCGGGGCAGCTGGCGCGCGGAAGGGACGAGGACTCGATAGCGGGGATAGCGAAGGGAAGCGGGGAGAAGTCGGGGATCCGAGGGGCGGGGAGGGAAGGAGGCGTCCGGCCGGGCACCAAGGAGTCGCTCGGGCACACAGTGCCAGACAGAAGAAGAAGCGGGGGGTGTGGGGGCGAGGGCGGGGTCGTGGGCGGGGATAGGGAGAAGCGCAGCGGACGCTCGACGCACGCTGCCGGCGAGAAGAGAAGAGGCAGAAGGCGGGCGGCGCAGATCGCTCAGCCGTAGACGATGCTGCGAGATCGGCGGCGTCAGCTGCTTCGATCGCGGGAGGGACGGAGTGATGGAGAGCGTGCTCACCCGCGGGAGGTCGTCGATATCGGCTTGAAGTCGGTGCGGGCCGAGTCGGCGAAGTGACGGAGGGTCTCCGCCCAGTCGTCGCGCAGGTCCCAGGTGATGCGCGCGGGCGAGTCGACCTCGACGGGCATCACCTGGCTGATCTCGCCGCACTGGATGAGGACGACGGCGCAGCCGATGCCGCCGCTCTTCCGGCAGCGGTCTTCGCGGCGGCGGATGTCGTCGCCGACGAGCGGGTCGTTGTCGGTCACGTACGTGCGGGGCACGATGTGCGTCGACTTGACCGTGAACCTGTGGAATAAGATGACGTCAGAACGGTAAGCGAGATAACGATGTGTGCAGACGCACCTCCGGAGCGAGGAGGAGGCGGAGGGGTGGTAGCTGAGCTCAATGAGGAGCGCGTTTTGGCGGACGTTGGAGGGCACACGCTTCAGCTGGAGGGCCTGGAAGCCCGCCCAGCCGAGGAGAATGGAGTGCGCGGAGACGAACTTGCGCAGGCTGTTGACGAGGCCCTCGTCGGCGGCGTGCATTCCCGGGCTAGGTTGCTTCGCGGAGGAGAGTTGGGATGCGGTGTGCTGGCAGATCGCCTTGTGCGATGGCCAATGCATCTTCTGGCAGTCAGGAGACTGCAGAGAGGCGGTGTAAGAGAAGAATGCAATGCAGCGTAGAATGGAATGGAGGGGCACGCACGCAGTACTGGGTAGTCATCTGTGCGAGGCACGGCGTGTTTCAGCTGGAGCCCGGATAGGAGAGACCGGAGGACTCACGCATCCACCGCAGGTCCTGAAGCGGGCGACTTGAGGCTGCTCTGCGGCACCGCACTGGTCGCAGACGCGATAGGCGCGTTGCTTGGCAGATGCATGAGAGGGGGCCGTGAAGTAGTTGGCAGCGGCGGGCTGGGAGTAGACTCGGGTGGCCATTTGGAAGCGTGGTAGGGAGATCTGGAGATGGGGAGAGTGCGAATGCGATCGAGGGTGAGCCGTGATGACTCGAGGCCCTTGCGGGCCATCGTTTTATAGCGGGAGGCATGGCGGACGAGCAGCGTGCACGGCGGGGAGAGCAGATCTGAGCAAAGTCTCGGGCGCCTCCGCCAATTGTGCTGCCCCGGCCGAGGCGCGCGCGGCCAGATCGGGGCCGGCGCCTGCCGGATCGGGGGGCGTGCTTTTTGTCTGGGCGTGCGCGCGCCCTCACGCGTCCGGCCTCGCACCGTCGCCCGCACGGGGCTATTGTCTTGTCTGCTCTTCGCGAACCCTGCGCGCCCGCCTCCGCCCGCTCGTCTCCGCGAGCACACAAAAGACGGCAGCCGCCCGGTTTTTGTCTCCCCCGCCGGCTGGCAACGCACACCTTCGAGAACGCGCGCGACGCTCTTAATTATCGACGTCGACCCCCGCACTCCCAGCACCCGTGCACGAAAGCCCGAGCTTGGTGCCTCTGACCACGTAGATCCGGCATCGGGGAAGGAGATGCTGACCACCGCCCAATCTTCGCCCACGGCTCCATTGCGTCCCAGCAGCGCCGAGTCCTTTCCACCCGGGCCTTCGTTCCTTGCAGAAACCTAAGCCGCCGCGTCGCATCTCCACGTTCCGCACACGCCTCCTGGAGCGCACCCAGGCCCGCGGAACTCTCGCTGGCTTCCTAAAGCCGGCCTGGATCCACTTGCGCATCAGCTCAGACAAGACCGTGCATCATCACCTTCTGTGTTCAGTGTTGTGCGGCTCGCGCCGCGCGATCTGGTTCTCGAGCTTGGACCCGCGAAAAAGAAGCACGCGGTGGGGGCAAACAAGACGCGAGCCGCGCGCGGCTGATGGGCCGGATCTACAGCCGGCGGGTAACAAGTTGTGGATGCTGATGGCTGCAGCGCCACCTACTCACCCTCCAGGTACCGCTCGGTGACTGCGACAGCTTCGCGCAGGATGTGTGGCCCACGCGTGCGCTCGTGCGGGCTTCCCTTGTTCTCATCTCTGAGGCGATGGCCAGCTCGGTGGGCGAGAAGATTTGCCCGGCTGTGCGCGTTCAGCGTGGTGGCCCGGTAAGGAGCGCGAAGTGCCACCCGCGCCGGGACGGTGATCGAGGACCCAGGAGCTACCGTTTAGGCGCCGCGCGGCCTGTGCCACTCCGGACCACGAGGGGGCGATGGACCGTGCGCGGAGGCCCAGCCTCGCGAATCGTCCGCCGGTCTACGCTCGTTTGCTGATGCGCTCTTCCACCCGGCAGAGCCGTCTTGTCTGTGAAGACACCAAAGGCGCGGAAAGCGCGCCGCACCGGCCGCAGGGCTGCACTCATTGTGCCACCGAGGTACGCACAGGGCAGAGACGCGTTCACATCCATCGCGCGCACGCCAACCGATCGCGAGGCTGCACCCATCCGTCTTCTGGCCCAGCCACGTACGGTTCTGACGGACGTGCACCGTGCCACTCGAGGTTTGCGTCCGAACCCAAGCCCCTGTGCACTTCGACAGATGGGCCCCGCCACCCCCGCCGCATCTTTCGAAGCGAGCCCCCGCCTTCGGGAACCAGATGGCCCAAACCGCCGCGCGCAGCCCCCCAGTGAACCATCGCGCGCGGCGATACCGGTGCGTGTCGCGCGCGCGACACGACGGTCGATGCTCGCTCGCCCAGCCGGGCAGCGTTCGCCTTATCGGCGACGCCTGGCGGGCCGCGGGCCTCGAGGACGTCTTGTGATGGCCACGCCCCCCGAACGTAAGTTTAGACGGGGGCGCGCGGGGCGGCACGGCGGTCGCGGGCCTCCTAGCATTAGGGTTGCTCGTGGGCAGTCCGCGGGCCGCGGACGCGAGGTGCGGTGTGTGGGGCACACTGTGGCTCGCTGTAGAACCGCATGTCAGGGCGATTTGGGGCGCGAGCGGAGACGCACCCTGAGTTACGTTCGTGCGTCTTCGCCAACAATTGAAAGGAGTTATGGCGAGTCATCCCTGCGGAGCTAGTTAGACAAGCTCCGTCCTATTGCCTTCGGGCGAGCTGATCGTCCGACCCGACGGCGACGGCGAGGAGCGGAGTCACCAACACGAAACACCGGCCGCTCCCGCCGCCAGCCGCGAAGGCGAGCTCGAATCCGGAAGCCGCAAAGGTAACAGGGAAGTGCGGACCGCGCGTCGGCCGTTTCACCTCCTCATGACCCGAGAGTTGATCGAGGGGGCGGGAGACGGTCGCGGGATGGACAACGTGTTGTTGGCGCAGCCGTCCATGCTGCATCCGTGCGCCCATTCGGCGCAACGGATTCGAGGGCGCGTTCTGCGGAGTACGCGTCCGGGCGTCCGGAGTGCGCAGTCGTTCGTGTGGGCGCCGGTGAGAAGGGCGCTGCAACGAGGCCCTGCGTTCTGTGGTGCGCGAGGACACACACATTCACGAAGGTGATGAGTGTCAGGGAGCGCGCAAGATGCGGAAAGTTTGTGGCTCACGTCCGTAAGCGTCGCCCGCAGATCTCCCAGGGACCCTGCAACTCGGGCTTCTCCATCGACGGACCCGCTACCCCGGCGATTCGAGAGCAGGCCGCACACACACACTGAGGCGCGATGGGCTCCCGCGCCGCCCCGCGATCAAGCCGAGCGGTGGGTGGATCCAATAGAAGTACACTTCGTATACAAAACAGACTCGCAACTTACAAAGCCCCTATGCGTTTACTTTTGCGCCGCATCAGACGGCGCTCAGGCGTACACCTTCTCCGAGAAGCCGGGAAGGATCTGGGCGGTCTCGTACTTCGGGTCGCCGCGAACCTTGTTGTTCGTGCGCTGCCACTTCTGCTTCGCGAACGTCCACTCTGTGGGCGGTGCATCAGGACATGGACACAGAACAGATGGTCGGGAGACAGCGAAGGGCGCGGAGAAGAGGGACCCGACTGACCTTCCATGGTGGGCACGGGGTTGCCGGACTCCTCGAACTGGTTCTTGACGAAGCCTTCACGCTGGAGGACAGGCGAGTCCTTGATCGTCTCGAGCTTGACGTCGTTGTTAGGGCTGCAGGACACAGACAGTAAGCTCGCTGACGAGGATCGCAGTCGGGACGGACGCGACCTACCGAGAGAAGTAGAGGACACCGAGACGGTCGACGTGCTCCTGGTCCTTCGGCGGCGCCACGACGCTTCCCTCATCGCATCAGACTGGATCAATGATAGATGCTGGGACGGCGTCGACGTACCGGTGCACGGTGCTCCTCACGTACCCGCCCGTGAGGAACGAGAGCGCGTCGCACGCGTTCACCGTCAGCGTCCCGTCCTGCGGCTTCACCCACTTCCACTCGTTCGTCTGGAGGTGGCGGATCTGGAGGGCGGCGACCGGCTGACGGAAGAGCAGCGTCCAGGATCCGAGGTCGGTGTGGCCCTGGCCCCAGATGCGGCCGAGCTTGGCGTTCTCCTCTGGCGTGTACTTGCTGTACTTCATGTACCGGAAGTGGTCCTCGCTCTTGCGCGAGTAGTCGTGGATCTTGAGGAAGTAGTCCTCGGGGAGCTCGAGGGCGATCGCGAGCAGGACGTGCAGCGGGTCCAGCACCTCCGTGTGAAGAGACTGGTCGAGGCATGAGACACGGACTTCTCGGATGATCAGCGGAACGCGTACCTTTGCGAACTCCTCGATCTCAGCGAGATGGTCCTGGATGACTGCCGGGTGGTTGTGGGTGAAGAAACCGTCGAATTCTGCGAGAGAAAAGGCATGAGCCCCACAGCGCATGCGCAGGCCCAGTAACGATGCTTACTAGGAAGGTTGTAGATCTCGATGCGGTCCCTGAGTCCAGACTCGGTGTCGAGACTGTAGCGAGATGAGAGGGTTGGAGAGCAGCGCCGAGCGAAAGAACTCACATGCGACGGCCCGCTGGAGTGTAACCGTTGAAGGCACCGTTGTCTGACACACAGATAGGACATGAAATGAGCGACGCACCCACCACGCGACCATAGCACTCACCAAGATCCGGAACGTATTTCAACTTTTCTTCCAGCGGCAGCTCATAGAACTGTTTGCCCATAGAGAACTGGCGGTTGACACGCTCTTGCGAGATGTTGAAGTTCTTGACGTAGAAGAAGCCATGAACGCGGACGGCCTCGACAAGTGTCTTCGCGAGCTGCTTCTTGCCTTCAGGCGTACCGTAGAGGCTGAAGTCGAGAGTGATAAGATCGGCCCAGTCGATGTTCTCCTGTCAGATTGAGTTACCGCCGATCAGCGCTCTGATGACGGGCGAACCAGAAGGAATGGCTTGCCTTCGTCTCTGGGACGTAGTTGAACTGGCCGAGTTCGGGCAAGGGGACGGCGACGGGCATGTTGGCGGAGAGCGTTGGAGACGGGTGAGAGCAGAACTAGTACGACGAACAGGGTGTACTCCCCACGGCTTTTAGAAAGCTTCAAGAAGAATATTTCAGCCGGGATAAGGGAGCTGAATAACACAGAGGTCGCACGCGAGAGTGAGAACGTATCACCTCATAGAAGCGGTTCATGACGTTGAGGAGACCATTGCGGTGCAGAAGGAGTCCGATGACCAGCGAGTCCTGATATGATCAATTCTTCTGGCTTATTCCGGTATATAAACACTGTTGCGTCGCGTCATTCGTCTCCTATGCTGCGAATCTGGCTGCTGACCAGTCGTTGAGACCGGAAACATCGCTGGAAGAGTGGCTCAGACGACTCTCTGTGCCTTGGAGATAAAGTGATAGACAACCTGCGTGCGCGCACGTCATACAGCGTCGAGGGGAGGCACAATGGTGCAAGATGGAAACATACTTACGGAGAAGGATCAAAGCCCGTTGTCCGCAGCAATGTTGGAAAATATTCGGCGCCTATTCCACGTGGCCGCATTGAGCAAGTCTTTCTCCGGCGCTTACCCCACAACAGACGTTCGCACCACCACCATTCTACACGCCGACCTTCGACGCGCTTCCATGTACACGGGGTTAATATGGTACCTCCGCCACAGCCCGTCGTGCAAAAGTACTCCCGGTGAGCATTCGGCCGGTCTTCCATATGGTGTCATCTTGCGTGCTTAAATCTGCGCACTAACGCCAAGTATAATGGCGAGCTTCCTGGAGGGTGCTTCGCAATGCCTCCCTCTTACAAGCACGCCGCCCAAGCGCGGGCAGCTAGCGTATCCTGCGCAGTACTTAGCTGGCGCCCCAGTGTGCAAGCGGTCTTCGTGCGCTCTCCCCGCACGAGATCCCGCATCGCCGTTCTCGATCACCTCTGGACATGTCTGAACAGTCCCCTGTGAAGAAGAAGACGCCGCGCTCGTGGAAGAGCCTGCTGTGGTGAGTGATATCCCGTCTCTCAGCGCGCGCGACTGAATCTCAGTCGCTTTTAGGGACACTTGGGACAAGCCTGAGGAGGAGAGGAAGTTCCTGTTCCGACTCGACGCGTGTCTCCTCACGTACGCGGCGCTGTCCTACTTCAGCAAGTACCTGGACCAGAACAACATCACGGTGCGTTGTCCATTCACCTACTAGGACTTACCCCGAGATTTGACCTCTTCGCAGAACGCTTATGTCTCCGGGATGAAAGAAGAGTAAGCCTCGCCAACGTCGTTTCTGTGCCATTGCTAATAGCTAGTATCCTGTAGTCTTGGGCTGTAAGTTATTCCATGTTACATATATATACGGACTCACCCGAGCCGATCATAGTCACGGCAACCAGCTGAACTACATTACGACCGCGTGGACGTGCGGCTACGTCATCGGGCAAATTCCTTCGAAGTGAGTTGTCGAGCTCTTGTGTGTTTTATGCGACGTTTGTTAAGCCCATTCACAGCATGCTCATTACGCGCATACGTCCTTCGATCTGGGTTCGATCCATGCCTTTGGCTGGGGGCACCGCACATACTGACGTCACCCCTCCCACATAGATACCCGCGATGGAGGTTATCTGGAGTGTCCTTACAATGATATTGGCGACATCGAAGAACTTCGAGACTCTCGTCGTGATACGGTTCTTTGTCGGTATGTGATGTTCGCTTGTTTCTGCACATCTGATATGCGCTCACGCGCCACGAAAGGTCTTGCCGAGTCGACATTCTATCCCGCCATCCAGTACGTCATCGGCAGCTGGTACAAGGGAGAAGAACTCGGCAAACGTGCTTGTATTTTTCATGTGCGTATTATGCGATGTCTTCTCGCTACGGATGGTTCGCCGATATCATATCTTTAGACAGCAAGTGCTCTTGGTCCGATGTTCAGCGGGTTCCTTCAGACGGTGAGGGATATTCATGACTTCATCGTCTAAACCTGTACCAATTGTATCCGCCATGCAGGGAGCATACAACGGTTTGAACGGAACGTATGGCCTAGCGGGTTGGAAATGTGAGTATTTCGTCGCTGCGTACGCGTTACCAGCTAACATCGCTCGTTACAGGGCTGTTCATAATAGACGGTATCATCACGATCCCGATCGCGCTTCTCGGTTTCTATATCATGCCGGGTATGTCTTCTGCACGATATCAAACGCTTGTCCAACAGCTCACTCACCGCGTACAGATCTTCCGACGACCACGAAGCCGTCTGCTATCTTGTCTCAAGCCCATCTTGATATCGCGAAGGCTCGGATGGAGAAGGTTGGGAGGAAGCCACCAGCACCTTTCACCCGCGAGAAGGCAAGTCTTAAGGGAAGGCATGCGAAGACTCTTCTCATCGTTCTTCAGACCAGGGGCTTTTTCGCCACTTGGCACATCTATACCTTGGTGCCGCGTAAGTCTATTGTCACTTTTCTCTTGAACATATCTGAATGGGTTGGTTTTCAGTATACGTATTGGTAACGCGCACATGTCGCGTCTGCTTTGGTGAGACTGAAGTCTTGATCTACGCAGTTCAATAATGGGAATGGTGCCAGCACCGAGATGATCTTCTGGTATGTACTACTTTTGAGGTTCTAGTGTCGATGTCCGGACTCACGATGCGCACCAGGTTGAAGAGTTTCAACACTCGCGCCGGCAAGGAGGTTTACAGCGTGGGTCAGATCAACACTTATCCCCTACCTATATATGCCGTGCAAGTTGTTACAAGTAAGAACCTCCGTTCCCTCTGTATTTATCCAACTTGGCTCACGGCGTTCCAGCGCTCTGCTACGCTTGGTGGTCCGATATCGTCGGCGCTCGATGGCCTCCCATGCTCTTCGCCGGGGTGCGTGCTTATGGATCCCTGTGCCGTCTATGATCTGACTGTGCTCAACAGACGTGGAATATGATAACTTGCATCGTGCTCGCTGCGACGCCTCTTTACACCCACACAGCTAGGTGCACATCTTCATCTTGCTCTTTCCTTCATCGGGATTGACCTACGTTCCCAGACGATGGGTACTCTATTACTTCGTCAGTGATTCTTGATCGTCATCTCCCCTGCCTACCTAACATGCGGATCGTTGTAGACGAGCTGCATGGGTGGCTTATCAGGCCTGATCCTCGCATGGGCGAACGAATTGACAGGCAGCGACAACGAGAGTACGCGCACCGTCGCGTTATCCCCATTGTGACGCTCATCATCCATGTCCTGTGGCAGAACGGTCGTTTGTCGTCAGCAACTGCAACATGTGGGCGTACGTGATGCAAGCCTGGCTACCGATGTGAGCGTTCAAGCCGTCTACTGATCTGATATCTCACTAATATTCCGCGCCTCAGCCTCATATTCCCACAAGTCGAGCAGCCGCGGTTCGTGACCTCGACTTTTCATATGATCCAGCGACTTAGTCTTCACTCGCCTTAGCGTTCTGAAAGGCAACGTCACCACGGCGGTCATCGACTTCTTCATGAGTACGCGTCCGCTTGCTCGATGTGCACCCTCTTCCTAACAGACATATGACGCAGTGGTATTCGCCATGCTCACGCTCTATCTTTCTCGTCGCGACGAGCGCAAGGCAGCCAAGCAGCGCAAGCTCGAGAGCGCACTCGACGCCTCTGTCGCGGAAGCGGACGAGGATCCTGATCGCAAAAGTATCGACCTGAAGGTAATCGCTGCCTGAATTATGACGGATACGCATGTTTGGGTACCCGAGGAATACACGGCTCGTGGGACGTGAGGTTGAAAGGCCGAACGGTCGCATCGACCGGCGGTGGTGGGGCTGACTGCAGTAGTCATATGATCGACCGCGACGACGAATCGGCACACGTTTGAGAGCCATGATGATCAGGCACAAAATTGATAGATGACAAAGTCAAGCAAGAGCGAGCGTTGGTGCAATTCAGTGCAGCCATTGCGTGAACTGGACAGGCACATCGTAATTAGAACTCCGCGAACTCCGCCCCACAGAGCAAGGCGGCGGGCACCGAAACCAAGCGTCGTCTAAGTTGCCTCGGCGCTTGAGAGGCTTGGTCCGAACCAAGCGTCAATGACGCCATTCGTCCACCTAGTGAGGTTGTTCAGTTTCAGCAGCATTGACCGCATCTTCTCTGGAACACCCCTTCAGCCAGCATATATTCTGTCGCGATCCGAGAGCGCAAAAGCCGTCGGGGCACCGCGGCTGTTAAGAGGCATTTGCGAACCATGTGAGCTGTCATCATCCAGAAGTTGGCGGGGTAGCTCCTGATCTGCGGTGAGCACTTTGACTTCGATATGGTGTCATCTGGCGTGATGACAATCTCGGGGCCCTTACAGGTACCGTACGGTTAATGGCGGCCTCCAGCCGTGCATCCGACAGGCCGCCCACCGGTGCCTTCGTCGCCAGAATGACGTTCGGCCGCGAGAAGCGCGCAGGGAGCGCACTTATCTAGCGGTTGAGGGAAAAGCATTACGACCTCCCGTGGCCGACCTCCCCTCTGTGCTTCTTGGTGTCTTCGGGACAGTATGTTCAAAATGTCTCAAAATTCCGCCATCGTTGCTCCGAAGTCGCGATCGTGGAAGAGTCTGGTGTGGTGAGTATCAGAGTCGCCGCACGTAGATCGCGATCGGCTCTGATTGGCGTTTTAGGGATACGTGGGACAAGCCGGAAGAAGAACGGCGATTTTTGTCCAGGCTCGACGCGTGTCTACTCACATACGCAGCGCTCTCGTACTTCAGCAAGTATCTGGATCAACAGAACATCACGGTTAGTTCGTGTTCGATGTCGAATGATTCGGGACCTGACGAAGGGATAGAATGCGTACGTCTCGGGAATGAAAGAGGAGTGCGTTCGTTACGCCGAGATTGTGGCATTCACGTACTAACTCCATCTTCGTAGCCTCAAACTGTATGCATGATCGCTTGAAGATCTCAGGCATAGCTCACCATTAAACAGACACGGCAACGAGCTCAACTATATCACGACCGCGTGGACATGTGGATATGTCCTCGGACAGGTCCCTTCCAAGTGGGTACATACGCGGTCACACCTGCCTCGTGGATCTGAATATCCTCAACAGTATGCTCGTCACGCGCATACGTCCTTCCATCTGGGTGAGTTTGTTCGCGTTCGCTACAGACTCATTGTTTGATCCTCATGTTCATCAGATTCCGGCTATGGAGATCGTCTGGAGCGTCCTCACAATGACGTTGGCGAGCGCGAAAAACTTTGAGACCCTTCTCGTCATTCGATTTTTCGTAGGTGGGTAGATATAAAATTCATCGTTTCGCATAACTATTTACTCTGTATGCATGTCTAGGTCTCGCGGAAGCGACGTTCTACCCGGCTATCCAGTACGTGATTGGTAGCTGGTACAAAGGTGAAGAGCTCGGTAAACGCAGCTGTATCTTCCATCATCAGGAAAAACCCAAATCCATAATGAGACGTTACTGAGCCTTGTGAGGGCTAATGAGCCGGATTATGATGTTACTCAGAAGTATTCTTTTTCGCTTACCCCTCTGCTAATAAGAGACCATTATACAGAGAATGAAGAATTAGTCGGGAGAGCGGACCCTCACCAGACGTATTTAGTATCACTCATGTTTGTAGATCGCTGCTTCACGCACCAAGGAGTAGCGCTCATCACACATACAATGTGGCATCATCGAAGCGTTGATTCAGGATAGGATATAGACCACACAGCGACATAGATGTACATTAATACCGAGGGTCATGAAGGGCGCGATAATCAAGTACTGGGCCTCCTTCGTGAGGTATGCCCAGGTGGGCGCACACGCGAATACGGTGTGCACGCCGATCGCGCCGTGGGCCACAGATGAGCAGTAGCGCCCGCCGCCGTCCCCACCAACGTGCAGACGCACAGACAGCCTTCCCGAACTCTTCGCGCACCGTCCATCCGCTGGTCCTTTCGCGCACAGCCTGGGCGTTCTCCCGCACCTTGCCTTTCTTCGCGCACTCTTCAGCCCGCCGCCGCCGCACTACTCACGCCCCGGCCTCTGCCATCCGCGTCTGCGTCCGAGTCTATGTCCGGTCCCGCCCGAGATAGAGGGACGGGAGGCTGGTGAACCGCCACAATCGAAGATGGGTTGACCTCGGGTGGAGGGGTAGGTGTCGCAAGGAGCGTGACCAGTTGTTGGACCCCCGGGGCGGGCGAGAGAGAGAGGGCGACAACATGCAATCATGGGAGTAAGGCACTCACCACCTAGACGTCAAAATTGTGGGCTCTGGAAGGGGGCTGCAGGCAACCATGGGGCTCCCGACGGCGGGGTCGATTTGCATAGGGATTGCCTTGTTTATGTCCCTCGGGCCGTACGAGTCGAGGGAGGGCTGGTCAAGTAGTCATCGTCGTAGTAATAGTCGACGGTACGCAACCCAGACGGGACCGCAGGGGCGAAGGAAGATGTGTGGCCGGCGAAGCGACCAGGTGGAGGTCTGAGAACTGGACGAGAACAACGACGCCGCCAGGGGTTGAGGAGTTTGACAGAGGAGGAGCTCGAATGTGATGGTGGTGGTGGTGGTGGTGGTGGTGGTGGTGGTGGTGGTGGAGGCAGCTTGGAGACACCTAGGCACGGCGCGGGGACGCGTGTCGCCAAGTCGTTGTGCTCGGGCGCTATGTAGCGTGCCGACTGCGTTGCCCGTGGTTGCGTCCTTCGTCTCCTTCACCTCCTTGGTCTCGTCCCCTCACGCCTCCCCACGGCTGCCGTATCTAGTCCCTCTGCTGCTCGACATCCCTCGTTCAAGAAGCGGCCATCCGGCCCTCTGGAGGCTCGGGCTCGCACCAAGTGGACGTGAGTTCCCGTGCCTCTTCCTTGCACCTTGTCTGCATTCTTAATCTCCCAACTTCCCGACAAGCAGGACCTGTACTACAGCCATGAAGAGACCACGAAGCTCTGCGCGCGGTTTTTCACGCGTTTCTTTGTTCCATGTTCCTTCCTGAGCACGCGGATGTGCTGCCGTTCAGCGCACGCTCCTCGCCCGGCTCGCACCATCGTTGATGGTCCACCTCCCCCGCGTTGAGCACGCCCCATCAGCGCCGTTCGGCGACGAGGTCCCTTGAGGTTCTCTACTACTGGTGCAGGGCGCGAAGATCGGGCACGATGTAGTCATTGACTCACTCGCGGGCGCGCCTGGGTGAGTGCCACCTTTGGACGCTCCACGACGGCTGCTGAATTGTCGATGCGCTCTTTGCACGGTCTCTGTGGCGAGTGCGACGGCTGCTTCCGTCTCAATACGATTGTCTTCGGCCGTGGCGCTACGGTCAAAGCACGCGTCCTCGCACGACGGACCGCTACGCACAGTGACAGTACAACCGCGCGGCACTCCTGCAGCCGAAATAGCTCAAAGCGTTCGTTGAGGGTCCGCTCATCTTCCCTGTCAAGTTCGCCGCGCACCTGCCCTGGTTCATCGTCCTCTTTGTCCTCCTCTCCCAGCGCGCGCTGAAGGGATTCCTTAACACGCTTGGGAGTGTTATCATCTGGTTTTCCCCCTATGTCCACGTCGTTTCCAACTACGGCCACGCGCGCACGCCGCACACGCACTCCGCGAGCAACGCCACAATCGCTGCTCCTGACTCGCCGAGCTATGCGCCGATCCCACACCGGCACGTCTGATCGTTGGGCTGCAACGTCTCCGCCTCGTTACCCACCACGCCCAGTCCGCCATCACGTTCGTCGCACAAGGCAGGCAGCCTGTACGCGGAGAGAGGTGACAGGGATATCGAGATTGCGTAGTACATATTCATTACAAACCCGTGTCATAGGTATCGCAGTACTTAGATCATGAAGCAATGACAGCTTTGTGTGGTGCTAATATGTGAGCAGTGGGGGAAGTCGTACACTGTCGCTGCTACTTGTCGAGATCCAGTCGAATGTATCATCATTGGCTAACTGCATGTACAGATATCCCTCAAACATGTTGAATTATACCTCATCCACACCATAAGCGACCAGAAGAAAGATGATAGTGTCTGTAAACTGCGGTGAGTTGGAACAGCGTCAGTATTTTGGAGTATATCGGCTTACAAATATTTTACCTCTCAATAGGGATTTGGGTTTTTCCTGATGATGTAAGTACTTTTACATCTCCGATCTCTTTTATCCTTACTTATGAAGACCCTTTCAGACTGCAAACGCTCTCGGACCCATGTTCAGTGGTTTCTTGCAAACCGTGAGTCGTATATTATCAAATGAAGATGCATCTTACGAAGACCTGTCCAGGGGGCCTACAACGGGTTGAATGGTGTTTATGGCTTGGCGGGATGGAAATGTGAGCGGTCTCCTTCGTTGCGGAGACGTATTGAACTGACGTCTGTTCAGGGCTTTTCATCATCGACGGCATCATTACAATCCCGATCGCTCTCCTGGGTTTCTTCCTGATGCCTGGTATGTACATGTCTTTCTGCTGATCTTTAGGGTATAATTCAAGTCTGATGCACCACAGACCTTCCCACGACCACCAAACCATCCATATTTTACACTCAGGAACAACTTAACATCGCGATCGCTAGGATGGAGAAGGCTGGGCGCAAGCCACCTTCACCGTTCACTTGGGAGAAGGTGCGTTCTGAGGCATGCTTACTCTGACTCATGCTGAGCCACGACTGCAGATCAAGGGTTTCTTCACCACATGGCACATATGGGTGCTCGTCCCTTGTACGTCCTCTATTATCTTCCCCATTATTCATGCTGACACTTCCCATCACCAGTGTACGTTCTCGTAAGTGATATCAGATCATGATGTTATCCCGTGCGATTGCTTACGCTGAGCGTTGAGTTTAACAACGGGAACAACCAGAACACCGAGATGATCTTCTGGTCCGTACAGCCTCCTCTATTTCGCTTCGGATAGCGAGCGCTGACTGTTCTTGCCAGGCTCAAGAGCTTCAACACGCGCGCCGGGCACACGGTGTATACCATCGGCCAAATCAACACGTACCCCCTCGCCATTCAAGCGATTCAAGTCGTTACGAGTGCGTCTCCTCGCGGTTCTTGCAAAGAATGCTGTTGAAGGACGCCTTCTCGACAGCCCTGATGTACGCATGGTGGTCAGATATCGTCGGCGCTCGATGGCCTCCCATGCTCTTTGCAGGCGTACGTCACGCTCTCGACCGAGCCTTTTCTAGAGTGCTGACACGTCATTTATCAGACATGGAGTATGATCACATGTATCGTGCTTGCCGCGACGCCCTTGTACACTCACATCACGAGGTGCGGGATTCCATTCTTCGTGTTCAGCATCAACTGACCTTGATTTTCAGACGATGGGTTTTCTACTACTTCGTTTGTGCCCCTTTCTGTCACATCATTCTCGATGTCTCACACCCACGCACAGACCGGAGTTCAAAATGGCCTTTCTGGCCTGATCCTCGCGTGGACGAACGAGCTCTGCAGCAGCGACAGCGAGAGTGCGCTAATGACCTTGGTTACTCCGTGCTTCATTTTCTGACCTAGTAACCTCTAGAGCGCTCCTTCGTCATCGGCAACTCCAACATGTGGGCGTATGTTGTTCAAGCGTGGCTTCCTATGTACGTTCACTTAGGCAGTTACATCACGACCCCATGCTCACGCCATTTGCTCCAGCCTCATCTTCCCGCAGGTCGAGCAGCCGCGGTGAGTATCGTTACTTTACTCTGGACCGTCACAACCGCGTCGCCGCTGCAGAGTGCTCAAGGGGAACATCACTACCGCTGCGATAAACTTCGGCATGAGTGCGTGCTCGTTTCATCACCTCCCTCTGTTCGCTGAAGCGATCGCGTCAGTGTTGTTTGCGATGCTCACACTATACCTATCCCGACGCGACCAGCGCAAGGGTGCGCACGCTCCCGATGTCCCCGTGGACGACACGGAGTCGACAGGAAAAGTGGCATTGAAGAGGTGGACGAAAAGGTTGATGTGAAGGCGCCGGTGGGTTGAGCATCGACCGCTGGTGAAGCTGGCGGTCGTTTTGGAGCTGATGTTTATGAGCTGATGTACTATGAACTGCTATGAATCTACGATGCTCTCCGGTGGAGCCTTACCATCGATAATCGACGGTCCCCATTTTTACTACTCCTGAGCCAGATCACGGACAGACGAACAGCCACTCACGGGAGTATAACCCTTAGTACTTAAAGTACTTACCATGCAGATGCGGGAGATGAGGACGAAGTCCGTCTGGAGATCTTTAGCGCCCGAGGCCCGGACCGACGACTTCAACAGCATTGATGCTGACACGTGGCACACGCAGTTTGGCTTCCATCTTGCGCCATCCTTCCCTAACTCTGCTCACTATAACATTCATGCACCTTGGACTCTCTGATATCGCTATGACTCAGGTTTAGAGAGAAGTGCACCAATCACAGAAAACCCCTGTAGTTCTTTCCGATTTTTCACGAGAGCCGTTCCTCGACGAGTACTAGGTGGCAAGCCGCGCCAACTTAGGAGAAGAATGACGCAAGGTGACGGTGGATCTAGCCCGCGGACGTAAACCCAAGTTTCTAGGTCTTTATCTGCGGCTATCATATAGGTGCCGCGTGGACTCTTAAGGTCACCAGATCTCTTCTGGACCGCAACGGTGCCTTCCGCGTCATGAAGTCCTTCTATGAGGTGATACATTCTCACTTTTGCGTGCGACATCCGCATCATTCAGCCCTACTTATCATGGCCGGTGCGGAATGGCGTTCAGCATTTAAAAGTGGAGTAGAGGTCTCTGCTCACCAGACTTCCGCTCTGGTCGTCCTCCGCCTCGTACGCTCTTCACCTTGAACATGCCCGTCGCCGTCCCAGTACCCGAACTCGGCCAGTTCAACTACGTCGCCGAGACGCAGGTGCGTCATGTTTTACCTACCTTAAAACTCTCACGAATATTGCCGATCAAACGCTGCAGGAAAATCTTGACTGGGCCGATCTCATCACCCTCAACTTCACTCTCTACGGCACGCCCGAGGGTAACAAGCAGCTCGCAGAAACGCTTGTGAAGGGCGTCCGAGAGCACGGGTTCTTCTACGTTAAGAACTTCAACATCTCGCAGGAGCGCGTCAACCGTCAGTTCTCACTGGGCAAGCAGTTATACGAGTTGCCGCTTGAGGAGAAGCTGAAGTATGTACCCGTGAACCTCGGTGAGTACCGTGTACCTTCACTGTGTATATGCGTTGTTGAGATACCTGGGGTACACTAGACGAAGGAGGATTCAATGGTTATGTACCATCTGGTCGCCGCATGTGAGTGCTCTCCCCGATGCCGCGGTCCGACCAATCTCATCTTTGGCTCCAGTCTCGACGCCGAGTCCGGACTCAGGGATCGTACTGAAGTCTACAACATTCCTAGTACGCATCGTTACTCGGCTATTCATGCGTTGGCTCATGCCTTGCTCTCGCAGAATTCGACGGTTTCTTCACCCACAACCACCCGGCAGTCATCCAGGACCATCTCGCTGAGATCGAAGAGTTCGCGAAGGTACGCGTTCACTCTGATCATTCGAGAGGTCCGTGTCTCATGCCTTGGCCAGTCTCTTCACACGGAGGTGCTGGACCCGCTGCACGTCCTGCTCGCGATCGCCCTCGAGCTCCCCGAGGACTACTTCCTCAAGATCCACGACTACTCGCGCAAGAGCGAGGACCACTTCCGGTACATGAAGTACAGCAAGTACACGCCCGAGGAGAACGCCAAGCTTGGTCGCCTCTGGGGCCAAGGTCACACCGACCTCGGATCCTGGTCGCTCCTATTCCGTCAGCCCGTTGCGGCGCTGCAGATCCGGCACCACACGACAAACGAGTGGAAGTGGGTGAAGCCGCAGGACGGGACGCTGACGGTGAATGCGTGCGACGCGCTCTCGTTCCTCACGGGCGGGTACGTGAGGAGCACGTGCACCGGCAAGTCGTGCGCCCCGGTCCGTGATAAACTAATGAATGTGGGCAGCGTCGCGGCGCCGCCGAAAGATCAGGAGCATGTCGACCGTCTCGGCATTCTCTACTTTTCCCGGTACGTCCCCCCGAGCATTCTGCCCTGGTTCGCCATCCTGAGTGCGTCCTGCAGCCCGAACAACGACGTGAAGCTCGAGACGGTCAAGGACTCGCCGTCCTCCAACGTGAAGGGTTCGCTAAGAACACCTTCGAGGAGTCTGGCAACCCGTACCCACCATGGAAGGTCAGTCAGCGTTCTCTTGCGGCTCGTCACCTCCCCGCGCTTTACTTTTTTACGCGCGCTGACTCGCTCGCTGCCAGAGTGGACGTTGCTAAGCAGAAGTGGCAACGCTCCAAGAATCGGGTCCGCGGCGACCCAGAGCATGCGCACGCGCAGATTCTGCCTGGTTACTCGGAGAGCCGTATGCGTGAGCGTCGCCCCTAATGAAATGGCGCATAATACTTGTAATAGTATGATGTTCGACTTCAGCAGAATATGTGCTAGCTACTTGCCATTGTATATTTGTGCACGCCACGGCACGCCGCACTTCTTAAGATTCACTAGGACTGCGTAAACAGTATGCATCCGATCACCGAGTCTAAGATGGTCAAGCAACAGATTGACAAGCACCGGAGCCGCATCAAGCTTTGTACGTTGTCGCCTGCATGCATCCGAAGATCTGGACTTCACTGTATCACACCCCATTAACTACGCGGCGCATACTCTCAATCAAAAACACCTACCGACGCTCTTGAAACTGGCGACTATCTTTGCTCCCACCGTCTCGTACTCGAAGTCGAGCTTCCCATAACACATCACACGGGTACGCGCCGCGCAACCCGTGCAGCGTCAGCTCGATCTTCTGCACCATCGGGTTCTCATCGTAAAGTCGCAGGGAACTCGAGGCTGGTCACCGTGAGACGCTGGAAAGTGCGGATCAGACTGACCGACCTCCTTGAGGATCCAAGGACGTCAGTGCGCTTTGTCGATGAGGGTAGATAGCACGCACGCACGCGGCCTAACATGTCGCGTCGCAGTACTTGAACCGAGCTCGCCGGCCGCGTGCGCAGGTCCGGACATGGCAAATGCGCGAGGATGTAGAGGTCTTGGGGTCCGCGGTGACGCAGTCGAGCACGGTCTAAAACCGAGGTGCCGTACACGCGCTGCCCACAGATGTTTGCCCCGCCCGCCGGTGGACTCTGTCGAAGTTGCCCTCGTCGAAAAGGTCTTTGTATACGGGGATCATGAGCCTGAGGAGGTTGGGGTACGCACGGCCAGGCGGCGGTGATCAGCGCGTCTGCGTTCTTAAGAGTAGGGGCGGTGACTCATGGATAGACCTCCTCGAAAGCAGGAGCTGTTGATAGCAGGATGTCGGGGTTGGTGGCAGAGAGGCGTCAGAGGAACATGAGCGATAAAGAACATCCTTGGGGTACACTCCCTCTGTACACCTTACCCCAGGGCACGAAGGAGACGATGGCAGCTGAACGTAGAGACGAAGGCTGCTGGGCACTGCTGGGCATGGAGCGCCGGGGAATCACTCCGGTAGTTCTCACGGTTCAGATGGTTCGATCCGCATTCGAATTTCCTCATCATCGCACCATGTTGGCAATTTGCCTGTCCCCGACTGGCTTCTGGCTCTTCCAGCTCACTCCGCGCTCCGTACCTCCCCATCTCTCTCATCACGAGGTCGTTAGTCAAGTGACCCACAGAGCAAGTACGTCGATATACGGCATCCAGAACCATCTCCGTCGTATGCTTGTCTTAGGGTGTTCCGAATATTGACAAGCGAGTCTCAGATGGCCCCACTACTCTACCTTGATGTCCTCTTTGGAATCATGGCGCTCTCCGATGACCCTACAATCTCTCGGCTCATGCGAGTAAACAAGTCCCTCAACATCGAAGGGTCCAAGTATCTTCTCGACGAGCCCTGCATTTCGATGAGGTCTAGCAAGAATCTCGACTCTCTCATCAGCTTCTTGTCCGCATACAACGGCACTCGACTCGCTTTTCTCCGAGGTCTCTCCCTGGAGATGCAAACACTCCAAACCTCGGTGGCCAGGCGCTTAGATGACTTGCTTACGACACACGCCACCAAGGTCGTTCTCACTCAGCTCGACATCCAACATCTGGAAGCAATCCTCAAATCTTGCTCATCTATCTCTACCGCCTTTGCTAGGCTCACAACCGTCACCCACATCCGTTTCGAAGGGGTCGATGCATCGGGCTCCGAGATGCTCCGTAACTTCCAGTCCAAGGTTGAGCGCGCTGTGCTCCAGTGGCACCCTTTCGGTGCAGAGGAGGAAGAAAACATTGGACGACTTTTCCGTGTACAAGATACGAGGATCCCGATGCTTGTGCTCAGAAACTTCCAGTCGTCGCTCACTACCCTGGCGACAACTCTCGGCAACCTGCACCGGTTCCGTGGCGACAACACGTTCCAGGAAGTATACCCCCTCCTCACCGACCTCCAGCTTCGCGACATCATGCTGCTCGGGATGCAAACCCGCACAATGATCCGCGCGTTCCCCAACGCGCAGAAGATCGTCATACACCAACGCACCGCGATCGAATACGATCGATCCCACCCGATCGACGCCCAGCACGAGCGAAACGTCGCCGACCAGCTCGCTCACGGCTCCTGGTCGTCCCTCGAGACCTTCATGGCCGGCATCCTCGACCTCTACCTCATATCCCCGACCTGCCCGATCCGCGAGGTCCACATCGTGGGACCGCAGATGCAAACGCGCTTGCTCCGCCGCATTCTCAAGCGCACGCGCACCACCCGGCTCGCTTTCTCCGGGTTCGAAGGCAACCTGTTCACGCCCGCGCTCACGGAGATGATGCGCAAGCCGTGCGTCGAGCGCGTCGAGTTTCTCGAGCTCACGTTCTGGGTCGGGTGCGTGCTTCCGGCCGAGGCGATCGACGCCCCCGAGATGGTGGTGAGTAGCCCCCCACCCTGCGCGCCGATCCCTTTCTCTGTTTGCTTACTCGAACCGCCATCGGTCGTGCGCACACAGGAGAGCTGGATCTGCGCGATAAGCGGGCTCCCGCGCCTCCGCGTGCTCGGCATAGTCGTCCACCTCGAAAACCTCCAGGCCGGCCGCGCAAGCCCGCATGAGCCGTGCGCGGCGTCAGCGTACTTCACTTGCCTGGACGTTCGTCTGTTGCAGCTGTTCAAGGCCGAGGTCCCGTCGCTCGAGACCGTCGAGATGGCGGTGGAAGGTGCGCGCGGGCAGCGCGCGCCTGTGTACGCGCGCCTCGGGCCGGAGAACCCGGAGTTCAAGATGTACGCCTCGACGTTCCGCTGCTCATTCTTGTAATCGTCAAACATCTTCTTGCCCCCACGACGGTCATGTGTGCTTAACTCGTGCATCGCCTTCACGCGATACAACCTGAGGAATCCTTCAATTCGCGCGCAGGTGACTCCACCATCTTCAGGCCGTAGCGTCGACCCGCCGGCCTCCCACACATACCGCATCCGCAGGCATGGCCGCTGGGTCTGGCGAAGAATCGGACAGGGTAGATACCAGAGGAGCGTTCAGATAGGCGCTTTTCAGGATTTTATGTGGAGAGCGGGACAAGTAGGAGATGCTGATTAGGCAGCGTGCGGCAACGCGAGACCCCAAACAATGGGTCCGTTCGTTCTACTTGCCTTGGGGGAGGACAGGTTATCCACATACCTCCGAGCGCAACCGGGCGGTCATCTCCTCGAACGTATTCACCACCTCCACCACGCGCGTCCGGAACTCCGTGTTCTCCGGCCCACGACGCGCGGACGCCGGAGCGCTCCGCCCCCGCACGCCCTTCACAGCGAGCTCGACGGTCTCCAGGGTCGGGACCGCGTCCGCGAGCCGGCGCGCGAGCGCGTCGAGGTCGAGCGCGGCGAAGAAGCGCTCCGCCCCCCACGTCCCGGAACGAGCGCAGCTGGCAGAATACGCCAACGCAGAGCACGCATAGGCGCGGGAGGCCGCGGACTGCGGCGACCCAGCTGTCCTGCGCGCCCGTGATCGCCGGGTCGAGTGCAGGCTCCTACCCAGCCGTCGGTTCGAGTTACGTGTGCCCGACGCTGAGCGTGTCCCGCACCTGGCGGCGCGGCAGCCCTGAGGGCTGGGGACTAGTAGAGTAGTTCTAATGGAGCTGTAAGCAATAATAGAAGCGGGCCGAGGCGGCTCGGCGCCACAAAGTCACGGGAACACACTCAACACCGGGCACACGTAACTCTCACCGACGGCTGGCTTCAAACATTGGTAAACAACGGAGCCCCGGCGCCGAAGCGCTGGCATCCCCTCCATTCGGGATTCTCGGGAGGTTCCGAAGGCAGAAATGCCTGGGAATGCAGCGGAATTCGCGGTCGCGCGTTGACGCGTCGATGCGCGTGAGGTGTATGCGCAACGCGTCCGACGATGGCCGTCTGTCTCGCTCTCCCGCTATGAGTGACCTTGCTGCCCCGTTGCCCTGGACCCCAGTACACTTCACTGGATACTCGGCCAGCTCGTGAGCTGCCGTGTTTCTCTGTCTCAGCTTATCTCGTTTGTACTCGTGCACAATCAATTCGACAACCCTGGCCATCCAATCTTTGACGACCTCGTTAAAGAAGGTCCCTCCATCCTCTCGGCCCTGTTGTTGATGCTCCTTCACGCTTGTAACACCCCCGAGAAGGTCATCAAAAAGGGTCGTGGGTGCGGAGTTCGGAGCCCGAGGCGGCAGAGGTGCGGATGATGGCATGGCAGCAGCGCAGGGAGGATTGTACAAATTCACTGAATGTATGCGCGCGACTTGCGCGACGCGACAGGCTACGTGAGCGTGCAATGGCTGTCATTAAATGAGAGAGGTCTCCGGGATTTCTCGTGCTCGGACAATTCCGTGCATCCCGTTCTGGTTGTTGCCAGCGCTTCGGCGCCGGGGCTCCGTTGTTTACCAATGTTTGAAGCCAGCCGTCGGTGAGAGTTACGTGCCCCGTGTGCTGAGTGTGTTCCCGTGACCTTGTGGCGTAGACCTGTCTGGCCCGGCCCCACCCGGTATTCTATTCCTTCCATTGCTACTTCATATCCCACATACTAATGCTTTCAGGCCCGAGAGGCCTGCCGCGCCGCCAGGCGCGGGACACGCTCAGCCTCGGGGCACGTAACTCGAACCGACGGCTGGGTAGGAGCCTGGGTCGAGTGCGGCGAAGAAGCGCTCCGCCGCGGTCGGCTCCCTCACGTCCCGGAACGAGCGCAGCTGGCAGAACACGCCGATGCAGAGCACGCGTAGGCACGGGAGGCCGCGGACTGCGGCGACCCAGCTGTCCTGCGCGCCCGAGATCGCCGTCAGCACTGGATGGGACGCGGCGAGGGGGCTCGCGGGACTCACGAGCAGCGCGGGCGGATCGACGAGTTCGGCGGGGATGGAGCGGCCGATGCGGAAGACGACCTCGAAGCACTGAATTTGCGCCGCGCACGGCTTTTGGAGCATGCCCATGAGGGCGGGCGCGAAGAGCGCGCCCTCGAACTGCTCGAGCGAGAGGTGGACGGTGCTCGTGCGCTTGAGGACGCGGCGGGGCGCGCGCGTCTGCATGAATGGGCCCCTGATGTGTGTTAAAGTAGAGCGCCTCGTACTTCGGGCTTCTCCGGTCAGACTCTGAACCTTATCTACAGACTCGTCCACTGACTCGTTCCTGTAGCTGTAGACACTTCTACCACCATGTATTCTACCCACTTCTTTCATTGATTCTCTCTCTCGACCCGTGACGCTCGCGCTTCAACAATGTGAACCATGCGGATCGGGCACGTCGGGCTGGGCATGTAGAGGTCTACGAGCCGACCCGAGGCGAGCTTGAGGGACGGCCACGAGCCGTGCGCGAGCTGGTCGGCGACGTTTCGTTCGTGCTGCGCGTCGATGGTGTCTTGGTCGTCGTTGTCGTCCGAGTACTGGTCTATGATGAGGCTTTGTAGGCTGGGAAAGGTATGAACCAGGTTGCGGGTGTGGACCCCCAGGATCATGGCCTCACGGAGATGGATGTAATTGAGGAGAGGATATACTTGCTGGAACGCGCCGTCCCCCCGGAAGCGCTGGAGGTTGACGACAGCCGCTATCAAGCTGACGAGAGATGACCGGAAGTTCTCGAGAACGAGCATTGGGATCCTCATGCTTTGTTGGCGCGTCAACAGGGAGGGACCCTCAGGCCACTTCACCTCGACGAATTTGACTCTAGACTTGAAGCGGCGCAGCATGTCGGAGCCGAGGACGTCGACGTTGCCGAAACGGATCTCGGGGAGAGTTGTGAGTCCAGCGATCGCAACCGAAAGATCAGGGTGGCCGTGGAGGATGCGCAGAGAGGCGATAGCGAGCTTATGCGAGTGTGTCGTGAGCAGGTCGACCAGACGCTTCGCGACAGAGGCTTCGAGAGATTCCATTTCCAGGGAGAGGCGCTCGAGAAAGGCAAGGCGAGAACCATTGCACGCAGACAGGAAAGTGATGAAGGAGTCAAGCCTGTTGCTAGTGCGTATGGCAACGTGCGGAGAGGGAGTGAGCAGGTACTTGGGGCCCTCCAGATTGAGAGCCTTGTTGACTTGCATGAGACGAGAGACGGTAACGTCGTCTGAGTGAAACATGATGTCGAACAAAAATTCAAGGAAGAGGGTGGGGGTCATACCTGTGAACATTTGAATGCTGTCAGCGCGTCGGAGGGATTGTAAGCCGTACGTCGAGCAAGACGAGGGGCTGTGAACGGCGCAGATGCATCAGCATAACCGCCTGCGATCAGCAGAAAGCACATGCAATTGACCCACCTACTTCATGCTTCATGGTGGTGTGCTGGCACGAGGGTCGACGCATGGGACGCGCAAGAGGGCGTGTGGGGCAGGCCTGAGAGCAGTCCAGCCTCGGGATAACCGAGCCGTGTGTCATGACAATTGCCGTGGATAATCCAAACTCGGCCGGTGTGCGATCGCTGCGTCTTGGCGAGACTGGAATCCCCTCGTTTCTACAAACAACATCACACCAGTCCTATTTTACTTCCAGACATACCCCACGCCTCTACTGATGGCTAAGACATCGAACCACCAAAGCAGTTCACGCTGCAGTGATCGCGATCTAGAAATCGTAAGGGATCATCCCATGTCTTTTCACGCAGCTCTGAAATACCCGCTCACCTTATCAAACGGGCGCACCCGAATCTCTTCGCCTCCAATTGTATAACCTATCCGCAAGGTCCCTGACATTGTCCTCCAATTTTCTCCTGGAAACCTCGTCGCGGTATAATTCAAGATTATCACGGGAGAACTCAACCAAGTGATGGTATGCGGCCGCAGACGCGTTCTCCATGTTCGGGGTTACACGTCGTCGAGGTGCTTGAGCGTCTTCCTCGCGGCCGTGGCAGCGTCACAGGGGTCGAAGTGGTCTGCCGCAGCAAAGTAGGCCTCGAAGGGTGCTGCCTCTGCTGTCTCCTTCCATCTGTGTTCAACCATAGGGCACATACCGTCCATCTGGAGCTTCCGGCAGTCCGATAGCACGCTCGCAACGGCCTCGGGCCCAGAGGGTAATCCGGATGCGCCCCGGTAACACACTCGGAGCAGCGGAACCAGCTGCGTGGAGGGTATGCTGACAGACGAGAGAGGGAGGGAGTGGGGGTCCTCACGCGGCTGCTCTGTGAGTGTGACCTTCGCCATGTAGAGCAGCAGGATGAGCCGATGCGCCTCGACGACCTTGTTGTCCGTGCACCGCAGGCGGATGTCAGGGGGAGGATCTGCGGGCACGAAGTCCACGAAAGCCTCCACTGCGGGAGGGTTTGTGGATGAGGGGGCAGGGGGGAAGGCGGGGTAGAGCGTGAAGGAATCGCGACCGAGCAAATGCTCGCGCAGGCGGGCGTACGCCCCGGCACTGACGTTGGTCAGAACACGCCTTCCTTCCGCCCTCACCAATCTGCACACCACCCCTGTGGCCGTCTCGGGCGCCACCCGGCACGCCTTGATCTGCTCCACGGCCTCTTGCGCAAGCTCCTCGAGATGGGCGCCGCACGCGACGGCCCACACCCGCAGAGGACGGGTCGACATTATGGGCTTGAGATACGCGGAAAGGAGGTCGACCGGCCATTGCATGTCGTACTTGAAGGCCACAGCAAGCACCGGAACGATCTCCTCGGGCGACGTCAATGCGGGCTTGCTTACTGGGTAACAGAGCAGGAGGAGCTGGCGCAGGGTCTCCTTATCCTCGGAAACCTCAACGACCGGGAGGTCCGTGTCCGTAGTCTCTCGAGGCTGTTGGGGGAGGGTGAACATGTCCGCGAAGACGGGAGATGCCTGCGCGAGGATGGTTCGGTGGACGAGGAAGTCGACGTGGTCGATGCTGCGAACGATTACGTCCGCGGAGGGCTGATCAAATGGTGATGCCGCGACTTGAGTATTTGGGGGACGACTTTCCATGACGAAGGTAAAACAAACAGTTGGTAGGTTGGGGGAACACGGTGGATAGTGGATGCGTTGGAGAAGTCATCGTGCCAGAAGGAGTACTGGTGAGCGTTTTAGACGCAGTGCTGAGGTAATTAATCACGTGACTTTATCACATCGGCCATGGTCATCATTTTCTCCGGGTACATAGAATCATAGATGGCTCATTTACGATTCCGAAGACTTCATTCAACACATCTACGACGTCTTCCACGGAAATTACCAGGCTCCTACCCAGCCGTCGGTTCGAGTTACGTGCCCCGAGGCTGAGCGTGTCCCGCGCCTGGCGGCGCGGCAGGCCTCTCGGGCCTGAAAGCATTAGTATGTGGGATATGAAGTAGCAATGGAAGGAATAGAATACCGGGTGGGGCCGGGCCAGACAGGTCTACGCCACAAGGTCACGGGAACACACTCAGCACACGGGGCACGTAACTCTCACCGACGGCTGGCTTCAAACATTGGTAAACAACGGAGCCCCGGCGCCGAAGCGCTGGCAACAACCAGAACGGGATGCACGGAATTGTCCGAGCACGAGAAATCCCGGAGACCTCTCTCATTTAATGACAGCCATTGCACGCTCACGTAGCCTGTCGCGTCGCGCAAGTCGCGCGCATACATTCAGTGAATTTGTACAATCCTCCCTGCGCTGCTGCCATGCCATCATCCGCACCTCTGCCGCCTCGGGCTCCGAACTCCGCACCCACGACCCTTTTTGATGACCTTCTCGGGGGTGTTACAAGCGTGAAGGAGCATCAACAACAGGGCCGAGAGGATGGAGGGACCTTCTTTAACGAGGTCGTCAAAGATTGGATGGCCAGGGTTGTCGAATTGATTGTGCACGAGTACAAACGAGATAAGCTGAGACAGAGAAACACGGCAGCTCACGAGCTGGCCGAGTATCCAGTGAAGTGTACTGGGGTCCAGGGGCAACGGGGCAGCAAGGTCACTCATAGCGGGAGAGCGAGACAGACGGCCATCGTCGGACGCGTTGCGCATACACCTCACGCGCATCGACGCGTCAACGCGCGACCGCGAATTCCGCTGCATTCCCAGGCATTTCTGCCTTCGGAACCTCCCGAGAATCCCGAATGGAGGGGATGCCAGCGCTTCGGCGCCGGGGCTCCGTTGTTTACCAATGTTTGAAGCCAGCCGTCGGTGAGAGTTACGTGTGCCCGGTGTTGAGTGTGTTCCCGTGACTTTGTGGCGCCGAGCCGCCTCGGCCCGCTTCTATTATTGCTTACAGCTCCATTAGAACTACTCTACTAGTCCCCAGCCCTCAGGGCTGCCGCGCCGCCAGGTGCGGGACACGCTCAGCGTCGGGCACACGTAACTCGAACCGACGGCTGGGTAGGAGCCTGGGAAATTACTTACGTTTCCGGTGCGCAGAAAGAGGATGAAGGCTCGCATGACTGATAGGCTAGTGGCATCGGGTCCAAGCAGCGCTCTCGCCTACAACACAGGAATAATATCAAAAATAAACACAGTACTGCGTAGGTACATATTACCTTCGAAAAACAAGCGAAACCTAGACGAGGCAGGCAAGGAATAATAGGTGGTAGGAGAGTGACAAACAAGCGCACCTCCCGCGCCGTGTTTGCCGTTATCATAGCCCGGTTTGTCGCATGGTACCACATCGCGGACTTGTGTTTAAACAGGCTTTGAGGCCCCAGATTGACCTCAGGCCGTGAACCGGTCGCCATGGCTCGATAGTATGCGTATCACAGGAAAGCCTCGTGGTGAGAGTGCGCCATTACTTGCTTACTGTGGACTCGTCCGCGCAAACGGACACGCGCGGCTCGCCATCCACCAAGCATCCCGATTCCAACATCTCTTCGATTAGCTGCTGTTAATACCGTGTCTACATCACTTCCTCCGCATGAACTTCGCGAGCACCCCGTCGACTCCCATGGGCGCCAGGCCCACAACAGGTCCGAAACGTCCAACGCCCCCCTCAAGCCGAGCACGTCTGCTCGGCGGCGATGTCCCAGGTGCTCCGGAGCTCGTCGCCGTTGTAGCTGAAATCAGGGAACGTGCTCGTGCCCTCAGGGGCCGTGTCCGTCGCCGCCACGCACTGCGCCGTGAACAGGTTCGTGATGCCCGAGGAGAGCACGAGCTGGCCGGTGCCCGCTGCGGGTGGAAGGGAAGCGTGCGTGTCAGCGGACCGTCCGGAGCGAAGCGGCGGAAGAGCGGAGAAGACGCACCGTTGCGGTCGAGGAGCGAGAAGCGGACGACGTTCTCGGCGCTCACCCCGGGCACGACCGCCTGGAGGTAGAGCGTGCGCGAGGTCTCCTTCGCGGCCTTCACGGACGGGGTCGAGGAGTCGCCGACGAGGTTCTCGGGCAGGAACGCCTTGCGGATCGCGGTGCGCCAGTTGTCGGAGCTCTTCGCGAAGATCGCGCAGAGCATGGCCGTCGTGCCCGGGTTCACCTTCGCGTTGTTGTTTGCGAACGCGATCGCGCTGTGCGGGGCGGAGACGGGCGGGTCAGCGGGTCCGAGACCGGGAGAGCGGACTGCATCAAGGAGGTGCTTACATGTCCTTGTCGTCGGTGACGTACACCCCGGGCCCGTTCTCCGCGTCGGCGCCGCTGCTGCCCGCGGCCTGGTTGGAGTCGAAGTCGAAGAAGTCGAAGAAGCCGGTCGCCTTCGTCGGCTTCTCGAGCTGGCCCTGCTGCGCCCAGAACGCGGCGGTGTCCTGCACACGTACGGGTCGATCAGCACTGCGGACAAACGAACGAGGCCGAGACGGGCCGGCGTACACTGTTGGTCCCGTGCCAGCCGATGAACTCCTCCTCGTCGCGCCGGAAGAGGTACGAGAACTCCTCGAAAGGGAGGTCGCGTGCGTAACGCCTTCTCCTGAACTTGTTCGCCGAGCAGGCACTTGCGGTCGGATTCGCCGCGGCAGAAGAAGTCGTCGTCGAGCCTGCGACGGATGAAGCGGTCCCCGAGCCTGCGGCGGATGAAGCGGTACCCGAGGCCGCAGTCGACGAAGTGTTCGCAGAGGCCGCGGCGGATGAGGTGGTCCCCGAGGCCGCTGCGGATGAAGTCGTCCCTGAGGCCGCTGCGGATGAAGTACTTGCCGAGGCCGTGGAAGATGACGCACTCCCCGAGGCTGCGGCAGACGACGCACTCGCCGTGGCAGCAGCAGACGAAGTGCTCGCCGAGCCTGCGGCGGATGACGACTTCGTCGAGGAAGCGGCCGTGGTCTTCGCAGTGGAAGACGTGATCTTCGCAGTGGCAGACGTGGTCTTCGCTGTGGTAGCCGTGGTTTTGGCGGTAGTCTTTGCAGTAGTCTTTGCAGTGGTCTTTGCGGTAGTCTTTGCGATAGTCTTCGCAGTCGTCTTGGCGCCAGCGCTGCGCTCCAAGTCGACGAACTGGAGCGAATTCTCAGCACACGAGCAGGATGTTGCAGGGTGATGGGGGCATACCTCATGGTTCGCCCGTTCGAAGAACGAGATGTCGTCGAGAGCGCGTGCGTCGACGTCCTGGACATCCTTCCGGTGGAGCTGGATTGATCATATGAGATCTGATCGCGTGCACAGTTCGAAGAAAATCGAACGGACCTCAATGTCCGTGGGGGCTCCTGGGATGGGAATCGCGTTGACAGAGAGAGAGACGCCGAGGACGGTGAGAACGAGGAGGCGGCTGATGGAGGGCATGATGACGTAGTGGGCGGGTAGTTGGGTGCGAACAAAGTGTTTGGACGGGACAAAGAACGGCGATAAATGAGCTGGTTCGTGAGTAGAAAGCCGCACAGCTGCAATGACAGGAGGATGTGAACGTCAGCCAGTCTCCATAGCGCGATTGAAAGAACGTTCCTACCAGCTGTAAAGATGAGAGAGAGAGAGAAGAAGCACAGGAGTGGGTAGCTTGAAGGGACCGAAAGAGATGGGGACTTTGCGCTGATCCTGACTTGTTTAAATACGTGGCTGCCCTAGAAGATCGTCACCGCCAAGGGCTCGTGTCCTCGACGATGATCGGCGCACTGCATGCCAGTGTGCATCGGGTTGGAGGAGTGGGAAAGGTGGTTGAACCCCGGATGACGAGCAGTACAGCATTTGAAAACCGTGGCGTACCTATGAGACGCGCTGTAAGAGGCCTGGCTCATGGGCCGTTGGGGCCTCGAAGGCGACCATATGCCAAAATACGTGGCGTTGCTAAGGAGATGGTGTTCAGCCATGCGACTCGAAGACTTGGGGCCATGATGACGGCGCTCTGAGAGAAGGTGGGGGACGATGTGAAACGGAGCCGGGCGCGAGCTCCAGAAAGTAGCATATGCAGCGAGCCCCGTCGATCATTTTCGTGGCATACCCAGAAGCAAACATATGCAGCGATCGGCAACAGCAAGGAAGCACCTATCTCTTACAGCGTGCCATACTATCGGGGCACAAGGAATGCTGCGGGCGTGGTGGTTTCAGAGAGGCGATGGTGGTTTTCATAAAACTCACATGTGTGCACACTCACCTCGTGCTCCACCTCCATGTCGCTGTGTTCAAACGTTCACGTTCAAACTTCGTGTCTCGAACGATATCGTAACAACGCCGTGTCACGTTTTGTGACCACGTGACATGATACGGCTCGGAAGGTCCCAAATTCATCCAGTCACGGCCACTACAAATGATTGAACATCTGGCAGTAGTACCGTATCGCCGTCCCCACTCCTACTCTTCTACACTGGCGTCCTCTACCTGCAAAGGCGCCCTACACTCCTCAATCTCTACGCGACACATAATGTGCTCATGTGTGTTGTCGTCGGACATGCAAATATCCGCAGAGTGCATCTCGCCTCCTTTGGCGCCGGAACAGGTCGTTGAGATGAAGATCGCTTCACGGCGGCAAGTAAGACCGCTTCAGGTTCGCTGGACTACCTCCTCGGACATTTGTAGGACCGGTGGTATTGAGATATGCGACGCGGGGCGCTGTGCCTGATGAGTTACCATTCACTTAGTTTCGTTCTTCTCTCTGCTGCAGGCACGTTTCCCACTAGTGTGCCTGGTCGTTGTCCAGTACAAACGCGTTCGAAGTACGCTTGCTACTAGGGCTACGCAATAGAGCATAAAGGCGACGTTTTGGACGATCGGCATCGGTCATGTTCTCGTGCACGCCGTTTGACCGGCCGTTCTGGGTGACCGTGCGTTCTTTCCGGGTGAGTAGCGCACAGCCGTCTCGTCGTGTCTTCACCTTTCACCACGCATACATCAAAAGTCGCTCTATTTGAGCTCATTCTGCACGGAGCACCGAACTCGACGCGACGGGCGCTGTGTGCTCGCTCCCCACGTGTGGACGTCTTGGTCGCGCACCACTCTCAGACGTTACTGTTCCCGTGGCGACGGTACAGGCTGTGCTCAGGCACCGCCCCTTCTTGACGCGGTCCGGACTCTTTGTGGAAGCAGCGTCCGTCGCTTTGTGGGTCCCTCGGCGTGTTACCTACCGCTTCAGCAGTGGTCCGAATGTGTGTCTATGGGCGGTCACTGGCCCTCGGCATCCTTAGAGCGAAGATTTGCTTCGACCAAAGCTTCAAAGCCACCTGGAGGCCAACAAGACATGTTCCACGTCGCACCGCAATCGACGGAGGATGGGAACAACGGGCTCCGCGTTAGGAACCCGTCCATCAGTCATACACAATCGATTAGCTGGAAGTGGTTCAGAATATGATGCAATCTTCTCCGCTCTCGGTTCTTCGCGGGCGGCCGAAGACCCCTGCCAATGATTGCGAAAGATCATGACTCGGTGTGGACCTGTACTTGTATTCCTGCGACATCCCACGCGTGAGCGCACACCGGTCAACTTCTCTTTCCCTCGACGCCCACACTTCCGGCGGGCGTCCGTCGACCGCAGAAGTTTGCGCCCACCCAGATGAGGCAAGCGCCGCGCATTAGTCCGAACCGTGGGAGAGCAGTGAATCGCGATGCGCGTCCCAGGTTCTCCCGGCACCCCGACACTCCTTGCCTCCCTCCTTGAAGCTCTCCAAGACGAGTCTGGCGACGTATATCCTCTCTCCTGTCCCAAGACAATCGCCACCCTCTACATTCTGCAAACCATGTCAGGGACAGCGACAGAGGATCTCGTGGCTCTTCGAGCGAAGGTGGGTATCCTATGTCACGTATTCTGCTGTTAATTTCTTATCGCTGCGCGGAAAGCTTCCACCTGACCTTCCCGCCTGGCGAGGCGCGGATGTCGCGGTTTGGGACTTGTTGACCGACTTCTTCAGGTCGCGTGGATACGAGCTATGGGAAATCCCGATTCCCGGCATCTTGAGACAATCTGCGCCAGGACCTGTGTTGACCGCTGGCTATGGAAAACATCTTTATCACGATATGGATACCTGGTACTCTCTTTTCTCTCTGAGCTGTGGTGTGAGTTGCGTATTTTCTTCGTGTTCTCACGGCGACACTAACATACTCCTATAGACATCCGCACTCCGTGCGGCTCGTTCCACGGAATTTCTTGCACAAGACGTCGTCATTCGTGTCGTCCAGGCCGGCGCTGAGGAGATCACGCACATTTCTATCCTCACACTCGTGGCATCCGAGCCCAGGGTGTCCATCAGCACGAACCATACTTTACCAGTCCTCGAACTAATCGGGCTCGGCGACATAGTATTTGGCATTTTCCCTAAGGCCGGTCCTGACTTGATGATGGTCCTGACTCGCTCGAGGCGCAACTCAGTGGGTGATATTGTCAACATAATCATGCAGTGTCTGGAGGTTCGTTTCGTCCTCTTCACCTTATGTCCAGCGCACCACTGACATAATGAGCAGGCTCTTCATTTCCTGCACACCAACCTGATTGCGCACAGAGTACGTCGTTTCTCACGCTCCATGCACGAAAACTGTCTAAACGCGTCCACGCCGTTAGGACGCATTCAAGGAAAACTTCCTGATTCAGTATCATCCGCAATCACTCGTCACAGAACCCATCCGAGTCGACCAGCCGAGAGTATACTTGCACGACTTCGAGCTTGCGTGCAGCTTTCCAGAAGGCACTCCTCCTGAGGAGCAGATGTGCGTGGGTCCTCTCTACGGGGGTACGATATCGAAGAGCGCTCCGGCGGATCACCGGTGCTCACCGGAGGTGTTGACGGGCGAGCCGTACAGCCCCTACAAGCTTGACGTATGGCAGCTAGGGACGAGTTTTTCGGAATTCAAGGTGCGCTGCCATGGGTATCTGATATGGTCGTTCCCTAATATCACTATTATCAGTCCACAATCCCATCGATTGATGCTGCTGTCGAGAGGCTACGCGAGCCGGATCCGTCGAAACGGCCGACAGCATACGAGGCGCTGAAGGAGCTCGCGGATATTGTGTCTTCTATGGCGCCTCGAGACTTAGTCATCCCTCCCGACTATTCGTTCTTAGACCCAGTGTGGCGTCCTACTCCGCCACCTGACGATGTAACACAGCAGATCGCGGTCCTCCACGTATAAATTACAGTCTCGAACGTCTTCGTACCTGCCATTACTTCTATACCTGTGAATTTCTTTATCTGGCAGTTGTGCATTCTACACATATCGAGGATACGCGATAAACCTCAAATGATCATCTCAACAAGCGGCTGATACCGTCCTGTGTGTGCGCGCGTGAGTAACGGACTCTGCCGGTCTCCAGCGGAGTCAGGTCTTCTCCCCGGGTCCGGGAAATGTGTCCCACGGGATACTTGTTTTGTGGGAGCTGCTGCTTTGGGACAAGGGTTCATCGAAATCGCAGACGCCTAAAACTGGCACAAAAAGGAGGCCGAACATGGGTTGAGCTGTACCCAAGTCAATCCCCACTCCCCCTTGCCCGCGTAGTTTTCACCTCCCTCTATTCTGCCATTCGCGGGTCACACACGCTCCTGTCTCGCTTCATCGCGTATACAAACCATCATGCCTACCCAAGTGAATTCTGGATCCAGAGTGCCCGCTCGACTTCGGGTGAGTACAATATTTTCGAGATTAGTAGGGACCTGTCTCATGCCAACATTTCGTGTAGGGCAAACGTTACGGCCAAACGCTTTACCCTCTGGGTCCGTACTACGCTGGGGTGCGCTACGTAGGAGAGATTATAGGATACACCGAGTCCGCATTTGTTCTGGGCAGGATCGGAAGCGGAGGGGTGAGTAGCAGGCTTGAGGCCCGCCACTTAGTACTGAGCCTCTTAATGACGCGCCCACGTTTTATTCGCATTTAGGTGCAATACCTTCTCAACTTCACGGATGAGATGACCCTATGGGTGAATGTCGATCACACGAACCGACCTGACTGGTGGGCAGAGACAGAGTATGTATCCTTGTGCTCGTGAGCATTCGAACACTGTGCTAAGGCATGCATCGACTTGCAGAGAGCCAATGACAAGCGCTCAGGCGGGCGCGCAGCCAGCAGTAAGGGTGCCGGCCTATGGCCCGGGGGTAGTGCGGCGAAGGGATCCTTGAAGCAAAATTCGAAGCATATCCACGTGTACGATACCGATGTACTACTTTTCAGATTTAGTGAGCCTGTGTTGGATCCCAGCACGAACGCACGAGGTTGATGATCTAATACGACACAAATGTGCCAATAAAACCATGAATACCGCGTTGAGAAATTCGCAGGCGTAACACGCACGAGCGAAGGACAGCGTCAACGGCGTCACATAAGACAACGTTCGGCGAGGAGTGACGCACAGACCTATGCGCCGAGTTCCCAGCGATAAGTTGAGCTGCGATGTCGCCGAAGCAGTAGGCTCGCTCAGCGATGGGATCCCACCCTTAGTCGTCATCGGTGGCGGCGGTGGCGGCATGCGCCCTCCGAAGCCATAGTATAGTGCGCCGCCACACACGTGGCAAACTTATGTGGCGGGCCCGAAAGTGGTCCCGCATCGAAAGCGACGTCGCTGTCAGTAACTGAGGTCACGAAGTTGGGACTTGCGCAGGGCCATGAGGGAGCTGTCGAAGAAAAGAATCAAGGCGTCACCAGAACACAGCGCAGTGCGATCGTTCAAGTCTGGGGAGAGGTTCTGAACTCACATGTGTGTTGGGTGGCCCCTGTACTTCACGGTCATTGTGAGCCATAGATTATACCACTTTTTCCATACCCGTTCTATGGCTTGCACAAGACAGTTTTGCAATTGAGGTGACTCGGATCGAAGTCGAGAGGCGACCCATAGGCGCTCGCACGAGACATTTTACCACGCCAAGCCCTTTGTCGAGGAGTTCGCTGGCGCCCGCGAAGGTAGTACGCATTCTACTTGCGAAGATCTCATGCTTGACTAGTTTTTTTACATGTCGGAGGTGCTGGACCCACTGCGCGTTCTCCTCGTATCCATCGCCATCGAGCGCCCAGATTCTGCTTCCTCAAGATCTACGACTACTCGCGCAAGAGCGAGGAGTCTCTAGATATAATCACAAGCAACTATCGTGTCGGTATATGTCCGACACGGCGTCGCTCCGCCCACAGATACTGCCTTCCGCGAGGAAGGTCGAAGACGGCGATATTACATTGCTGCCGCGCGACGCTTGAATCACAGAGCCACAAGCTCGAGCACCCAGTCGTCGTCCACACTGCCCGAGCTCGGAGGCTCGAACGTCCGCTCCCCGCCCAACTCCACGATCCCCCCCTCGCTAAACGACCCATCGCGCGGCGAGTACCACGCCGCGCGCGCAAACCGCTTGCCCGCACGCCCCGCGACGTTGCCGAGGTCGAGCGCGAACGAGTCGCCGTGGCCGGCGTAGACGAAGAAGTGCGTGCCGCCGCTCGCGAGCGCGGCGGTGCGCCGGTCCGACTCCCAGTCGAGCGCGCCGTTCGCGCCGGAGACGAACGACCGGTCCGGCTCGAGCGCGCGGAAGACGTCCGCGGGGAGGCGCGCGAGGAGGCGCGTGAGGTGCTGCGCCTGGCCCGCGGCGGGCATGTCCATCGCCTCGCGCCAGGAGAAGTCCGCGGGGACGTTGAGGATGGGGTCGATGTACAGGTCCGGGCGGGCGAGGAGCGCGAGCGGGTCGTAGAGCTGCCAGACCGCGTTCGCGCCGTACGTGAAGCCGCACGCGCCGGAGAAGACGCCGTAGTAGAGCCCGTGGCGGACCTGCGACGCGTTCCACGCCGGCCTGCTCGTGTTGAAGTTGTCGTTCGCGCCCTCGTAGTGGTTCTCGAGGTCGATGACCGGCCCGTCGAAGATGGCGCGCATCGCCGCGATGTTCTCGTAGTTCTTGGTCGCGTCCCAGCCGGGGAGCGCCGTCATCTCGAAGTCGAGCGTGTTCGGGTCCTGTGAGGAGTGCCCAGACTGGACGCCGTTCATGGAGAGCGTGCCGTAGGAACCGTTGATGTACTGCCACGCATGTCTAAGCACAAGAGATCAAAAGTAGGGCGCGACGACGTACGTTAGAGCCGTAGGCCTCGGGCGTCCAGCGGACGCGCGGGTTCGTCGGGTGGTAGGTGGAGAACAGCTCGAACCCCTTCTCGTGCTCGCCATCCTCCAGACCATTGCGCATCGACGCCCACACCGCGCGCGTGTCTATGACCGGTCCGATGAGGCTGTCGGGGTCCTGCGTCGGGTCGTCGCGGAACTCCTGCTGCGCCACAGGCACGTTAATGCTCCAGAACGCGTTCGAGTCCGCGCCGATGATCTTGGGCAAGCCTGGGTAGCGCGCGCCGATGAAGCGCCCGTATTCGTACGCGTTCGATTCGTTGAAGATGATGGGCGCCTGGTGCCATCCGCCGTTGACGTAGCGTCCCCAAGTCGGGACGAGAGCGACGAGGATGCCAAAGTGAGCCGCGCGCTCGACGACGTAGTCGACGTACTTGTAGTACGCGTCGTTCGGCAGGAGTGGGTCTTGGTCTTGAAGGGGAAGGTCCCCGTAAAAGTTTGGCCGCGTCGTGCCACTGGTAATACCATCAGCTGGCGGCAAAAAGTCTGCGCGGGATGGACGTACTCGATTTCGGCGATGGCGACGGCTTGGATGACGTTGTAGCCCTTCGCAGCGCGGTTCTGGAGGTAAAAGTCGACGTCGGACTTGTTCAGGCGCTGGAAGATCTCCCAGACGGTGTCGGCCTGCCATAGGAAGGGTTCGCCTGACACAGTGCGCTCGAGGAGGCGGCCGTTGGCCTGAATGGCGAGGTTCGCCCAGGCGGGAGCGTGCGCGCGCGTACGGAGTACGGCCCAGGATAGAACGGCGAAGACGGAGAGCAGGTAGCGCATCGTGCAGGATGAACGGGCGCAGACGAAGGGCGTGCTCTTCGTCGAAAGCTTGCATTTATACATGGTCCGGCCTGGATCTTGAAAGCTTGACCCGAGGGCGTCATGCGACCAAGATTAAAATTTGAAAAGCGTACTTCCGGGCGAGCGCGTCCGTCACGGGATAGGAGCTGGTAGATGATGCTCAGAGCTCTAGCTTCTGGAGCCTGCGTTGGATGGCCGAAACGTTCTGTTGATCGCGGCTCCGGGTTCACGCGCGGGCCACGGCCATGCGCGGTGTGCCTTCGCGGTCATGAGATCCGGCGACTGCGGGCCGTGGTCGTTCTTGCCGTCACACTCGCCAAATTGTTTACGGCGAGCATCCCGTCATCACAAACTGCGGCCAGTCTCGCCTGAGGCCTGAGTACTTGAGTACTGAGTACTGGCCCTGAACCTCCAAGAGTATACGCGCCACCGAGAGCATACTCTTGCGCTTCATTTTCAAAGGCAAATCGCGGACTGTCGAAGCTAGACGCGCTGGCCAGGTGGTGCACTGCCCCAGCAGTCCGATATGTACGCTCGAACTCCGCGACCTCCCGATTGAGCGTAGCGTTGAGTTCCTTCAACCACCAAGATGCATCCTCAGTTTCCCTCCCCATCCCCATTGACACCTCCTCCGCGCGCGAACCATGCCAGTATCGAGAACTCACATTGTTATCATGGTCCCCCTATACATTATGGGTTAGCCCATGGCACATCACTCTCCGCACCTCGTTGTACGTCTTGAACCGCCGTACCACTTCGTTCTTATCCGAAGCTTGATCCCCTGGCCCGCGTTCACGTTGAGCCGAGCAGGTGCGGCTGCTCGTGCTGGGCGAGCTCCGTAAGAAACCCCACGGAGAGCCGGTGCGTGTGCATGACGTGCACGATCGCTGGGTCTGCCGCGAGCCACGCGAGGAGGGCGCGGGCGGCGGATCGGTCAGGCAGGTGCGGCAGCGGCTGGATGTGTTGGAACGTGTATTGCGCCGCGTCGCCGTAGCAGGGGACGGGCCCATAGGAGCATGTGGAGGCCGGCCACAGCTCCACCAGTATGCAACGCATACCGCCCCACGAGGGATGGGAGGAAAAGCGCAAGAGGGGGCGGAAGAAGGGACGCACCTCGACAGTCCCGCGCCTTGCGCGCTCGCGGCGTTGGTGCCCATTCTCTGCCGCCTCGAAGCCGTCGAGCTCACCCGCGATCGGGCCGACGCGCGTGCCGTTCGCGAGCCCGGACTGGAGGAGGAGAGGTCGTGAGACGGGGGGCTTCCCGCCGCACTTGAAGATGTTCGTGGGGCAGACAGGGGAGAGCTCTTTGATGTTGTCGTGAACGTTTGAACGTCTGCGAGCGCGGAGTGGGGACGGAGGGAGAGTGCATGTGTGGCAGGTAGGTTAGTGTGAAGATGATCGGGGCATTCTCAGCTTGCTTTGTGTGCTGATTGTCGTAGAGGGACGTCCGCGTCGGCGATGTGCGGGCGGGGAACTGTATGCATAGGGCTTTCGGCGAGGTGGACGACGAGAGGTAAGAGCGCTGGCAGCCTTCGCCGAGCTCGGACCGCGGATTGCGCAATTCACCGATTTTGGCAGTGGAGACGCCCAGTGACCAGGAGCTGGATGATGACGTCATGGTCGTACAGCGCCGGGATGGGACCCCGGAACAAGCGCTTGAAATATGGACAGCGCTCTGCCTATTCCCTCCTTCGTCTTGGATGCCGTCCTTCACGTCGGCGGAGACCGCCGCGCTCTGGCTCTGGGGCACGATGCTTGCTCGCCCTCCACTCTGTCCCCACCGCCCAACAGCAAGGTGCTCGGACTCGCCAGCCGAGCTCTTCAGTAGTTTCGCATACACTCAATCCCACACGATCATTGCATCGGTATGTCCTCGACTGTTTTTGACGCATCCACTCATGCTATGGCTCTACCAGCGTTCAATATGTCTGCCGTGGGTCTCTTTCTCTTGTCGGCACCAAATATCAGTCATTTGATATCATTCTAGGGTCCAGCTCTCTTTCCAGACGTCCTGCTCGACGTTGCCGCTGTCGCCTCCGACGCCGTCATCGTTCAGCTCATGAAAGCGAACAAGTTCCTGTATCGCGAAGCGGCCAAGTACCTCCTCGATCTCATCCTTATCTCCATCGAAGACGAGATGGATTTGGACTCCATGGTCAGCTTCCTCTCCGTGTACGGCGGCTATCGACTTGTCTTCCTCAAAGGTCTTGGTCTCAACATGAGTGCGCTCAGCGCGTGTATCGCAAAGCGCTTGGACGCGCTACTGAAGACACACCACGACAAAATCCGCATCAAGGGGTTCCAAATCTCCCACGTAGAGTCGCTTCTCATGGGCTGCCCCGTCGTGGCCAATCTCATCTCCCGCTTGTCAACACTCGAAGTCATAGAGCTTAGTGAAGTCGGCGTCTTCGGGTCAGACATGCTACGTCGTTCCCAGTCTCAGTTCCACACCGTGGAAGTCAACTGGAACCCCGTTTCTGGAGAAGAAACCGACCAGCGGAGCCCCATAATCCTTCTCTCCCATTCTAAATCTTCCCTCCGATCGCTCACCGCGACCGGCGCCAGCCTCTTGTCCGGCCTCTTCTCTCCCTCCAACATCTACCCTAGTCTCACCCACCTGACCTTGAGATACTCCGATGGGCTGGTCACCACCATCCTCGCGCAGGTCTTCCCGAACCTCACAGTCTTGGACATCGCCCCCCCGGTCCGGCAGGTCGAAGCCGCTGAAGCCTCAGAATTCGACATGCACCGCCGAATGAACATTCTCAAGCAGGGCGCGCGGGGCTCGTGGCCGTCTCTTCAGAAGGCCACCGCACTGCTCTTCGACTTCTACGCCCTCGGCATACTCTGCCCTATCCGCGAGCTTCGCATCCGGGGGCCGCACACGATCCGACCTTCGGCGTTCCTCGACGTCCTCACCCACGCTCGCCCGGTCCACCTCTGCCTCGAGCGCCACGAGGCCGGCCTCTTCACGCCGGAGATCATACACACCCTGCACTCTGCTTGCGCGGCTCGTACAGAGTGCTTCGAGGTCATCCTGTCCGTCGGCGGCTTGCTCGCGCCCGCGCGGATCAACGGGCCCGCGCTGGTGGTGCGTCCGTTCCCCCACCTCACATCCCTCGCCGCCTGTATCGCGCGCATCTCACGCGCCGCGCACCCCCCTCAGGAGAGCTGGATCGAAGCGGTCCGCGCGCTGCCCCGCCTCCGCGCGCTCGACATCGCCGTCCAGAGCTTCCTCCCCGGCCCCGTTCCCGTGCGCTCGCGCGCGCGCCAGCGCTCCGTGGCCTCGTCGTCGTCGGCGAGCGACCCGGGGCGGTTCTCCGCGGAGGTCTTCTTCGCGGCACTCGACCTCGACGCGCTCGCGCGGCGGTTCCGCGAGGCGGTGCCCGCGCTCCAGACCGTCGCGCTCTCGCTCGGGGGCGTGCGCGGGCGCGCGCCGGCGTTCGTGCGGTGCGGGGAGCCGCTCCCGGAGTTTGAGACGAGCGGGGCGGAGGCCGTCCGTCTCTTCCAGGAGATCATGGGTGGGATGAGAATAGGTTGATCCGTTCTGAGTACGCGGCAGGTGCTGACGGAAAATGTGTCGCGGTGGCGGAGGCTGACAGGAATGTCCCGAGTATACCATGCACGCAGCACTTCATCCTTCTTGCTAGCGTACCTGTTGCGATCCCTATTGTTGAAGGGAGCATAATATGTAGTGCATGATTGGCGCGCACTATGCGAACGGACTTCGTATGCTCACGGGATGTTTTTTCCCGGACCACAACAGTTCTTTAGACCAAGAATTGTTGTGTAGAACTGATTGCCACTCGGAGTTGCCAACTCGTTGCTGCCCTTTTCATAGCTCCGCACCTTTTCAGCCACTTGTTTGCGGCTGCACACCAACTTCTCTTTTGTTTGTGCATGTGCATATGGTGGTCGCACACGCTGATCGGGGTCCGCCATAACAGCGATCAATATCAGCGCTTATGCTTCCAAAGGTAGTCCATCAGACTGCTAAAGCGTGAGAAGATACCGTATTTCTCTCATCGCTCGCCACTGACAGCTTGGCCTCATGCGTCTCCGATAACCTGTCTCTTCCCCCCAAATTGCACCTTCGTGTGCTGTAGAGTCAGTCTGCTCATATATCAACTTCTTTTGTCTCAATACCCTCAATAACTCGGTTGGTCGAATCCAGCCCGTCTGGTGCACTGCACTTGAGCCAACGCTAGTATGACGCCAGCCTCGACCCACCGCCAGACTGAGTCGGAGTCTCTCTCTCTCCCAGAAATACGCGCCAAGGCGAGTTCCTATCCAGCAATCGGGTCTGCGATAACATTAGAGCGTCCATTTTTCCCTTAGCTACCTCTCGATCTTCCTGCCTGGGACACGCAAATGGTCCCGCAGTGTGGGGCGCCATGAGACCGTTCTTCGAGTCTCACGGATACACGTTCTGGGAACGCGGTCAGCCTGGGTGCTACCAGTACGCACCCATGGACTCAGACCGTGTCGTCAACACCTCTGGCTGTGGATTCATCGGGCTCGACGACGACAAGGCGTTCGAGAACTTACATCAGTTTCATTTTGGGGTATGTGCGCGGCTCTCTTTACGTTCTCCAATGCGGCTCAACCCAAAGATTGCGTAGTCCATGGCGCTTCAAGCAGCACGTGCTCGCGATGGACGAGATATCGTCATTCGTGTGATCTGCACCGGTACCGAAGGAAAAGACCACCTCTCCATACTCAAATTTCTCGGAAAACGGACGTCTCCGTCATGAGCTGCAACCACGCGCTTCCTCTCCTCGACATCCTAAAGCTCGAAGACATCGTATTCGCGGTGTTTCCCAAGGCTGGCCGATCTAGGATCTGTTTGCATCCTCTCGTGGGCAATTCCGTTGGGGACATCATTCAGATTCTTATGCAGTGCCGCCGGATGTATGGCGGCTCGGGAAGAGCTTTGAGGAGTTCATGGTGAGTTTGTTTTCGTCCGCGCTGTATACGGGAGGCGCCTGAGGTCCGAATCACAGTGCAACGTACCCTCCATCAACGACGTCGTACAAAGTATGCGCGATCCCGATCCTTCTACACGCCCGACAGCCGAGGGAGCCCTAAGGACGCTTGCGGAGATCGTGGAATCCACACCTCCCCGAGACTTGCGTGTTGCACCGGACTATTCGCTGTTGCCAGAATTTTTGACTCGTTCGTTGAGTCATGCACGGGAGACAGGATCGGAGTAAAATATATAGCGACTGATTTCATGCGCCTGTGCGCGCGGAAGCCCGTTCGTGGATCACTAACACACGGGCAGCTTGACGGAAGCGTGGGGCGAAGTTCGTTTCTGTGCTCGTCCCCTATCATATGTGTTGACAGCGCCTTGCGACAGGCCGAGCCTCGGCGCGGTGTACTCCTACCTGGCTTTGACGTGAAGACCTTCTTACTGCGCTCGAAGCAGACGGAAGTGACATCTTAGTATCCAGAAGAACTGTTAATCTCACCTCGGACGGCGTCCCATGCGGCACTTCCAACATTGACCCCACGACCAACGATCGGGGCGGGGGCGGGGGCTAGTCGCATAGTCGCAGCTCACCCACCGGTGCAATCGTCGGGAGCGTCGGGGCTAGTCGCGCGGGTCTGCGTTGCCGCTGATGCACCGCGATATATGTGCTTCAGGAGGACGCGCACAGTGCCGATCGGATCCAACTGGCACGAGCCCAAAGTCGAAGATGCCCCCACGGTATGAGCGACGGCCTGAGTCTTGATCCACGACGGCGCCGACAGATGGGTTCCATGTCGTCCGTCGCCGACGGAACATGCGACCGGAGAGGGGGGAGCGCGCCGGACGCGCTGTCGGCGACTGATGTCGCGACGCTGTGCAGGGACGTGCAGGGCTTGCGCAGTATGATGCAGGATCTTTCAGAGAAGAGGATGGCCCGGGAGGCGCAGCCGGGGCGATGGTCATTTGCATTGTGTCGATATCTCAGGCCTTCAGGGGCCCCCAGGCCCGCGCTGTTGCCATTTAGGCCTTACGTCACTATCCGAGTGAACTTCTTCAAGCTAATGGGAAATTTACCTCATGATTTAAGCCCCGTTTTTAGCCTTTTAAGAACATCGTAGGCATGGTTCGAGTTGAGAGCAGTCCACTCAGTGCATCACGCGAGTGCCACGGCGAGTGAACATTTCAGGCACAAACCCATAGAGCGCTTAATCTCCATATGAGCTGGCACAGTCGCTTATGTAATGGAACAACCTCTTCGTCTCGCAAACTTGTCGGTGTGTCGCTCAGTCCACTTTGTACACACCAGGTCCATATCACAGCATGCAGGGACGACCAGCATTGCTCACAGCACCAGGACGGGTGGTCGCCTCAATCTCAGGCTCGACCTTTCAATAAGATGATTCCGCCTGACCGCTCAAGATTGTCTATGTCCGCTGGTAAGCGGCCCGCATGGATTCTATAGAACCGTTGCTGTTGCGGTTTCTGTCTTGGTATGTTCTCCTTACACTTCCCCGAGACGAGGTATTCCAATCATGCTTTTTCATGCATCCGTACTCCAAACTGTGCTCGGTCACCAGATAACCGGAAGGTGCCGTTATCCCGTGGGCTCAGGTATGTAATTTTTTCGCCGAGGAGTACCGCACACCCACAGCCACCAACGGGCTTGGGATCCCAAATGCGACCGTATCCAGGGGCTATCCCCGTAAGCTCGTTTGCTCACCGCCATCTAATGGCGCTTCTCGCCAGACGCGGCCTGGATGGCGGCGATTTCGAAGTCGCGAAAGTGAGTGGAATCCATAAACCCACCTTTGGTACAATAAGACGTCAGAATGACAGCTGTTCCCGTCTGAGTGCGGAGCAATCGACCAGCCACTGGGCGGCGCTCGAGCTAGGGGCTGCCTCACGAGGCGCGCTACACAGGCTAGATCCGCACTGGCGAGCCGCGCCCGTTCCCGCGGAAGAAAACGCAGGACATCGGGCACGGTTATGCGAGGATAGAAAGCCATTTCAAGAGCGCGCGGGACGAGCAAGTCGCCGTGCCGCGCCCCTCTTCCGCTTCCCGCCTCCTCAAAACGCACTGCCGCCTCCTCCCGTGCTCTCGCTCGCCTACTGCCGCGTCTGCGAACTCCGCGCTCTCCGCTCCCACATATCCGCAAATGCTGGTTATCTTCGCCTCTCCCACCGCGCACTCTGCAGCCGACGCGCGCGAGTATAACTACCCGAGTCCAGTTGACGGCGGCCCGGCCTCTACGCTTCGCATTTCCCCCGCATCCAACTCCATACCCACCATGTACAACCAGCAGCCTCCTCGCGACTATCTAAACGCCGTACGCCCCGTCTATCTCTGCTCGTCGCTTCGTCTACTCACTCCGCTCGTGATTTACCACACAGGCGTCCACGACCGCGCTGCACCCGCGCCAGTTCCCCACCTTCAGCTTCCCGCCTGGCTCGACGCCGACGTTCTTCTCCGACGGCTTCAACGGCAGGTCCCCGGGCCCCGCCTCGGGCGTGATCCTCCCCGCGATCATCGCGGTCGTGCTCTTCGTCATCAGCATGATCGTCGCGCTGCACCTCATGCGGCACACGCGCCTCCGCGACTCGGACGGGCCGACCGTGCTCCAGCGGTGGGCGACGTACCCCTCGCCGAGCAAGGACGAGATGGTGGTGTGGAAGGAGAAGCCGCGGATGTGGGAGGTCAGCCTTGTCGAGGAGAGGGAGAGGGAGAAGGGGGACGTGGGCAAGGAGGGGGCGCTGGGCGAGGGGGAGACGCAGGGGTACGAGATGCACAACTTGGCGGCGCGCGCGCGAGGGGACACGGCGTCGGTGCGGTCGGCTGCGAGCAGCGGGACCACAAGTAGCCTTGCGTGGTCGGACATCATGGTGCGTATCTATGTTGCTTGCGTGTGGACTCGAGTCATCGTGTGGATGTTCACCTGTGCTTCTAGCCCGTTTCCGCGGAGTATATCGACCCGCACAATTGCCCCGCATCTGCGCCCTCAAAACCTCTTACAATGTCGTCGCATACGTCGCTCATGTCACTGCCTGCCCGCCGCTCTTCTCCTTCGTCATCTTCTGCGTCTCTGGCGTCGTCTGAACGCACCGGCCACCGGGGTCTTTCAGCTTTCTCCCTATCACGGAATCCGCCCAGTCCCGTCAGAGGCTCCTCGCCAGAACCCACTCCTCTTCGTGTCGCCGTCCTTGTCGCGATGCCTACACCGCATCGCACGGGCAGTGATGGAGTACCTGCGCCGTCGTACCTCGGTGTCGCTGATAGGTGTCACTAGATGCTGGGGTAATGCTATAGATAAATTGCAATAGATTTTTGAACGTTGTTATTGAGCACTGCAATGGGGCCAATATGCAGCTACTTATAGTGTCAAAGAACTGAAATTCCAAAAAGGCATACTATTTCTGCGCATGACCACCGCAGGGGTCGAACCTGCAATCTCCTGATTACTGCATCGTAGTCAGACGCGTTGCCATTACGCCAGGCGGCCGGTGGAGGTTGAGTATTGATTATAAATGTAGCTCAATACGCCTTCGAGCCTCGACTTGGTTCATGGACCCGGAGCATCTTCACTAGTTGACTCTCCAGTCAAGCTCTCACAACTACGCCCTGCGTCAACCAAAAAATGCCAATACATTGACCAGGGTCCACGCGGGTTTGGCGAGTCGCCTACCGAGGACCAGATTAGCATGTGATAGTGCATCAACCCGAAGCTGTCGCTCAGCTGCCCTTATAAGTCTTGTCCCGCCCCGCGCCTGCTCACCACCCCGCCGACGTCCTCTCCCACCCCATGCACACCTTCGCTTCCCACCGCCTGGGTCGTCTCTCCCGCCTCCGCCTCCGCCTCATCCCCGCTGCCCGCGCGTTCTCCATGTCCCGCCCGGCCGCCTCGTCCCCATTCCCGACAACCCGCCCGACGAATTGGAAGCACCTCGCGCCGCCTCCCCGCCCCGGACCGACATTTGCGGCTCAAGCGGCCCTCCCCCGCCTGCCCGTGCCTGCGCTGGCAGACACCGCGAAGAAGCTGAAGGAGAGCCTGCATCCCATCGCGTGGAGCGAGCAGGAATACGCGGAGGCCGCGGCGAAAGTCGACGCGTTCGTGAGCAGCGAGGCCGGGCAAGAGCTTCAGCGACGCCTCGAGGCTCGCGCGGCGGAACCGGAGAGGCCGCATTGGCTGGAGGAGTGGTGGGATGACCTCGGGTACATGGGCTACCGCGACTCGGTGCGTGTTCTTCTTCCGTTCATGCGCGACTTCGTCTCATTGAATACCTCCAGGTGGTCGTGAACGTGTCGTACTTTTGTATGTCGCAGCGTGTCCGCCTACTACAGGGGGATGCTGATTGAGCCCCCGTGGGTTGCAGATGGATTCAAGGAGCATCCTTCTCATTTCCCGAAAACACCTCTTCACCGCGCTGCGTCTCTAGTCCGTGCAGTAATGCTCTTCCGCGAGCAGTACAAGCTCGGTCAAGTCCCCCCAGAAGCGACGAAAGAAGGTCCGATCTGCATGGACACATGGAGGTGTGTATCGTCGTTCTCTTCCTATCAACTCCTACGTCGAGCTGCGGCTGCAGCAACTCGTTCTCGATCCAGACATGTGTCTCTCGGTTTCTTCTATCCTTCTTCTACTCCTCTAGTTGTCTTATTGAGCGCTGACGGATGTCACCAGGTGGATGTTCGATTGCTGTCGCATGCCTGGGCCCACGCACGACTGGGCCGTGACACACGCCAAAGAAGGCGATGATGGCCGTTCAGGTCATGTCGTCGTTCTCCACAAAGGACGGGTGTGGAAGCTCGAGCCTTGGCAGAACGGCTCGCTCCTCTCCTTAGATGAGCTGCAAAGGTGAATATATGCGCTTTTCCTGTGTCCGAGTGGCTGAAATTGGGTCGTAGGCAAATCCAACACATTTATGATAACACTACAAAGGAATACCCCGGTGTCGGCATACTCACCGCGTCAAATCGCGATGTGTGGTTCAAGGCAAGTGTTCCTGCTTATGGCAGAGGGAGGGGAAAGCACCCCGCTTGTCGATCCACAGTTTCTAATGTCTTTTTGCGCCTCAACAGGATTTCCATGCCCTGGCTGAAGACCCGCTGAACGCCTCTATCATCTCCACCATCCACTCCTCTGCCTTCATACTCTGCCTGGACTCAGAGTCTACTTCCTCTTTGGACGACGTCTCGCGCCAGCTCTGGCACGGAGCCCACGGTCCGCAGCTAGGCCTCCGCAATCGCTGGATGGACAAGCCCTGCCAGTTTGTAGTGCTCCCTAATGGCGTCGCCGGCTTCGTCGGCGAGCACTCGGTCATGGACGGCACGCCCACCGCGACGATGTGCGACCGCGTGCTCGACATCGTGGCTTCCCCCGCATTCGCCTCGTCGTCCTCCGGTGCCACCTCCGGGCCGGACCCGACCCTCTGGACTGGAACGTGAGCGTAGAAACCAAGTCGGCGATGACTGCCGCGACCGACGCCGCGCGCACGCTCATCGACTCGCAAAGCCTCGCGGTTGTGCGTACGGCGTACGGCAAGGCACTCATCAAGCGCCTCGGGGCCTCCCCCGACGGCTGGTCGCAGATGCTCATCCAGCTCGCGTACGCACGCCTGCTCCGCGCGCGCGGCGAGCAGCGTCAGGGTGCCACGTACGAGGCCGCGGCGACGCGCAGGTTCTTCAAGGGCCGCACGGAGGCGATCCGGATCGTGAGCGCGCAGAGCGACGCGTGGGTGCGGAGCATGGACGACGCGGGCGCCGCGCGCGAGGCGCGGCTCGCGCTCTTCAAGGACGCGCTGAAGAAGCACGGCAGCGACGCGCGCGCGGCGGGGAGCGGGCTGGGCGTCGACCGGCACATTCTCGGTATGTTGCCCCCCTGTCCCTCTCCCTTCGATTCGGCGGGCGCGCTGACCGCGTCGCGCTCTACACAGGCTTGAAGATGTCTATGAAGGCCGGCGAGCCCGCCCCTGAAGTCTTCGCAGACTCGGTCATCAAGCGCGCGGCGTACTGGGTGCTCAGCACGTCTGCGATCTACACGAAGAACTTCGGGCCGTACGGGTGGGGCGAGGTCGTGCCCGACGGCTTCGGGGTCGCGTACACCGCCGGCTTCGACGACTTCCTCCAGTTCACGGTCACCAGCCGGACGGAGATGCCGCACGCGGAGTTCTGCGCGGAGCTCGAGCGCGCGGCGGAGGACATGCGGGCGATGTTCGAGGAGCCGGCCACGAAGTCAAGGCTGTGACTTGGGGGCGACGCGACCGGTCGTGGGGCGCGGGCGTTGTGTATGTTTGGATGTGTATACCATCAAGGACGGGACTACCAGGAAGGACAGCCTCTCAGGAACGGATGTGGATCCCACGGGACCCCTGTTTGGTTGCCGTCCCCGTCGAGATGCTGTCGGTTTCTTGGTCGGGGCCGCCGGTAACGGTGCGATAATTGAGGTGAGCCACACTTTTCGTCACAGCGATCTGGTCTCGAGTGAAGGCAACATATCATATGAATGTTGTCGCCCTCTCGATGCTGGGTTTGTCTCTCTGAAAACTGGACGTGGATGCATTGCAACGACCACCTTCCGCAAGCGCTGTGTACACTTGCGATCTTTTTTCTACCCATCTTTCTGTCGGAGTTTGCCCTTCTGTTCTTCCGCAACTCTGATCGGGCGCCTCAGACTCGCGGGTTCATCACCGAGCCCGGAACGCTGTGCACGACTTCTGGGAGTCTGGTCTCCGCGCAATTTGCGCTGCCACGCCAAATCACTGTCGCCCATACGGCCAGGATGGGCCATCGACCATTGGAAGCGGCGCGAGCGGGCCACAGATGAAATCAGTCACTTCTCAGCTCCCCGGAGACCTGTAGGCCCGAGCAGGGGCCGGTTGCCAAGGGTGCGGGCAATGCGGCGGCGGGGAGCTCTATACCTGATCGCGTTCCACGGGCGAGGGACATGAGGCCTTGAGGCCTTGAGGCAGCGCACACATCTCATGAACGGAAACGTTCCTCATTCAGGGCGGCCGGATGGTGCCGCTGAGTCTGGCGCGCGCGAACGAGTCGTATGGTAACGGACCCGTTCCTCCACCGTCGGGATCATTCGCCCGCCATGCTGTCCCTTGGGAGTACAAGGGCACGCGGTGCCGGCGCCCTGCATGGAGAACACTAGGTCTCTGTGGAGTGCGCGCGGTGCCCCGCTCTGCTCGGCCGGGAGCGATCACCGCGTCCACATCTGTGCGTGCTTTCTCTCCCCGCGATTGTCGGCGCGAACGAACGAAGGGCATCGCCGGGCCAGGTACGACCGCCCGGGGCCATGCGACTTGGGCCAGATGCTCGATTCTCAATGTTTGGAGAGGGCGGGTGCGGAAGAGACGGAGTGACGGCCCTGGCGCAGTCCCCATCTCCGCCATCTCTCCAACTCGACAGCGGGCGGTCCTCTGGGCGGTCAGTGGCGGATGTAGAGCGCGAGTGCATGCTGGGCAGGGCGCTTGTTTTTGTTCCGTCCGAATCCGATTTATCAACTGCTGAGGGCGCACATTCGGGCTTCAAGGGCACAAACCGAGAGGGCAAGCGAGAGTCATGCATACATGTGTGGGATTGGACTCAGCAGCGAGAAGCTTTGTCGACACGGGAGCCCGAACGCTGCCTGCTTGAACGGTGCGCGCGGGCCGGTGGAGCGAGCCCGCCTACTCACGGCATCGACTTCCTTGATGGATATCTGGATTCCAACAGCGGGCGGTGAATCTCTCGTGGAACGACGAGGCTGCGTTGCGTTTCAACAGCATCCTGCCTTCCAGTGTAGTCTGGGCGCCACGACGCGATCTCGCCGAGGATGCCGCCCGGCGAGCTAGGAGAAACTCCACTCAGAGGTAAGGGTATAAATGCTCGAGCTCAGAGACGGTGAAGCACCAACATCCTCTACACCCCTCCGCTCTTCGCCTCCTCCTTCTGCTCTTCTTCTTCTGTTCCCACCGGAGCACTTCAGCGCCACTTTTCATTTGTTTTCTCTCCATCCGCCCCTTCATACACCATGTCTTCTTTCCTCCCCATCGACACCACCTCCCGCCTCCCCGTCCCTCCCGCGACGGTCCCCGCCGCCACGCCGATCGTGACCTAGACACCGTCGGCTCAACCCCCTGCGCCGCGCCCTTCAGCGACGGGACCCAGGACGAGCCCAACCACCCCTTCTCCATCCCCGACGCCCCGGGAGACCCCTTCGGCCACAACCACTTCTTCCGCGTGCTCGCGCGCGGGAACAGCCTCGGCCACAACCACGACTCCGTCGGCCCCACCCAGCTGGACACGGCCCAAACCCCTTCCTTGCCGTCGGTCCCGACCAGCCGCAGCCGTTCCACGGCCACCGCGCTGGTACGCGCGCGCGCGGGCTCGCGCACGGCCTTGGCCCGCTCCGGTCGTCCTCCCCCGGCGCGCGAGCGCGGACGAGGGGGCGTCCGAGCACTCGCCCCTGCGCTCGCCGCTGTCCCCGCGCGCGTCTCCGCGCGCCTCGCGCCGGGGCACGATGTTCTCCGCCGCGCTCGACGACGGCGAGCGCGCGCACGCCGCGCGGCCGTCGCCCCTCAGCTTGGCGGACGGTGGTGGACACGCCGACGCGGAGGACACGGCGCGTTCTGCTGAACGCGACGGCGCGTTCTTGGCGGACGCAGGGGAGCATGCCGCGGCGCGCGCGGAGGGCGGAGAGGCGTGAGTGCTATGCACGTAGCACACGAGCGCTGCTGCCTCGCGGCGGGGCGCTCTGAACGCGTTCTGCCTCTGTGGAGTCGTGTACGGCTCGACGGGTACACGACTGGACAGAGCTCGGTTCTTTGGTTTGCTGATCGTCACTTATTCGCTTCGCTAACACCGCTGTATCCATACCTCCTAACTTATTGCGCACGCGCGCCGTGTAGCATAGATCCGTGACATCCGCTTTTCTGTGTTGTCTATACTATGCTTTCCATACCAGACTTTCGCGATTCAACATTCAGCCCGCAGGTAGTCCTGCCGCCTGATCTCACCTATTTATCACTCAACTATTGCCGCAAGACAATTCCGAAGTTTGGGCTCTGCGCTACACTGCGGGAAACCGCGGCGAGTGACGCATCAGTGACTGGCGCTCCAAACCGTGGGAATCTCTCACGGAACAACATATGGACAATTGCAACAGATAAAGGGAGTCGAGTTGCCAGTACCATCCGATCGCCCGCTTCCTCCTACTGTCCTGACTGCTGGTCGCTCTCCAGCGCCGACGATGTCAGAGACCATGGTCCCTTCTCCAAGTCCCTCCATAGTACGTCTGACTGCACCCTGCCTTCGCTTTAGACAACGCCGAGCGCTCACAAGCCCCATAATCTTCAGCAAAGCTCGTCTACGATGGAGGTGTTGCAAGCGCTACGATCGCAGGTATGTGCCTTTTTCCCCCGGAAAACATTCTTCTCACCTGTTACTACTTTCAGCTGCCTCCTGATCTGTCGGAGTGGAGGTTGGACGCTCGGAACGAGGTTTGGTACCCACTGATAGACTTCTTCGGGTCTCGCGGCTACACTTTCTGGGGTGGAGACCCAGCGGATTGTACCACGACGCTGCCCAAGGTCTACGGTGCTGCCAACACGTCGGGGTATGGTCTGGTTCCAGCGCTTGAATGCCTCCCGCACGAGATTCTCGAGTACTTCAACATCGGCGTACGTTATCCTTCATGTCATGCGTTATACAAGCCCACAGATGAGCCTTCATAGACAGGAGTGCTTCAAGCAGCACGAATGGCGGACGGAAGAGACGTAGTGATTCGTGTTGTTCGTATGGGTGCAGTTGGGGAGATGCACCTGCGCATCCTGACCGTCCTTGGACGAGGAAGGTGGGCAACAGTGTCTCGCAACCACGCGCTGCCCCTTTACGATACCATGGACCTCGGCGATATCACTTTCGCGGTCTTCCCCAAGGCCGGACCCCAAATGAGTTACGCTCTCAATCCGATCATCCGTTGCTCCGTTGGGGACGTTATGGATATGATCATGCAGTGTCTCGAGGTATATTTGTCGTGTCCCATGTACCCGACAGGATTTCTTATAGTACCTTACCGTCTAGGCACTGGAATTTCTACATTCCAACCGGATAGCTCACCGAGTATACCCGCCTCTCATCTCAACCTCGATTCGACGCTGACAAGAGACTTGCAGGACGCCTCTGTACGGAACTTCTTGGTGCAATATCTTCCGAGATCCCTCAAGGATGCTAACACAAAGCGCACGGACAACAATTCAGAGCGCGGAGGGTCTTCCGAGAGCCACGGCGTCCCGATGGGTAGTGCCGTCCCAGACGCTGCCGAGCCGGGCATTGGCATTTCCGAGAAAACGGGCGTTCCAGAGAGCTCGGAATCACCTCCAGACCCATTGCCCGGACGCCCTCGAGTCTACCTGATCGACTTCGAGCTCGCTGTGATGTTCCCAGATGACACACCGGCTCATGAGCAGGTGTGCGTGGGTCCACTGTACGGCGGGACGATCCTAGAAGGGAATATCCACGCACACCGGTGCTCGCCCGAGGTGCTCACCGGCGAGCCGTACAACCCCTATTTGCTCGACATATGGCAGTTCGGCACGAGCCTTCGTTTTTTCCGGGTGAGCAACACGTTTTTGTTGTCGTCACCATTATCTATCACACCCTTCCCAGTCGACTATCAAGGAGATCGACGCCATGTTTGAACGCATGCGCGACGTTGATCCCACGAAGAGACCTTCGGCGGGAGAGGCACTGAAGCAGCTGTCAGGCATCGTTGCTGGAATTGTACCACGCAACCTCCAGATCCCTCCGGTTGAACTTGGGGATTCTTAAGTGTTCAATCTTGATGTTTCCGTCGAGATGCTGCTCCCTGATTTCGGTTTCCTTTACCATGTAGTGCCATTTCGAATTCGCGTCTACATGTACAACTCCGAGTTCGTGCGCGGCCTCCTCGATGGCACCCTCTTTGAAGATCATATGCATGTGAAGCCCACTCCGCTAGTGGGCCGCACAGGACCGAAAAACACGCCGGAGCACCATACATATGCCTCCCAATCAACGCCGTGGAGATCCTTATATCCAGCAATGACGCAATTACAGACTGCCAACCGCCCTAATCACGCCTTGCGCGTTCCCCCACCTCTCATCCGCAGGGATAATCGATCAAGCGGTCCCGGCCCACAACTGAAATGTCGGCGCCCAGATCAAATATTGCCTCGGGAGCGTCCACGCCACGCTCGTCGACGTGTACGTACGGGCTCGCGCTGCTCTGCCCGATCCGCACGCTCGCCCTGCGCAGGCCATACGCGTTCGCCGAACTCGGGACGTTCCCGCTTCCGCTCTCCCTCGACCACGTCGACGGGAGGTCTTACCTGACCCGGGCACAGTGTGCACGCCGCGGATCGAGCGCCTCGACTTACACTTCAAGTCCGTAGGCACGGATGCGACCCCGCGGGAAGAGATCTGCGGGGGAGCAATGGTGTCCCTTTCCCGTTATTTTCACTCACGCCGCTCACAAGCGCACAGGAGAGCTGGGTGGTCGCCATCTGTAGACCCCAAGCCCTCAAAACGCTCACCTTCACGCTAGCCCGTCGAGGTCAAGCGCGACGAAGATCTTTTCCGCGGAGCAGGGCACGCCAACAAAGCCGGCTCGTGATTTTGTGTGGCCATCCTAATGCTGCAGACCGTCGCGCTCTCGCTGAAGGGTGTGGGAGGGGGTCCGCTGGCGTCTGCGCGCGGTGGCGAGCCGAGCGCCGAGTTCGAGGCGGTTGGGCAGGAGGACTTCCGGGATTTCGAGGAGCAGTTGGCCGCGCGCGCGGAGGCTTCGCCTCCTTTGCGAGCGGGCAGGTTCTAAAGCGCATGGGGTTTGGAAGTTGATAGTTGAGTGATAGGTGGGGGCAGGCGGCAGGACTACGTGCGAAGTGAATGTTGAATCGTTGAATCGTGAAATTCCGGTATCGAAAACAGTATATACATAGTACGGACAGCACAGAAAATCGCGTATCGACTGGCGACAACGGAGGACAGGATCTATGCTACACGGCGCACGTGCGCAATAAGTTAAGAGGTATGGATACAGCGGTGCTAGCGAAGCGAATAAGTGACGATCAGCAAACCAAAAACCGAGCTCTGTCCAGTCTTGTACCCGTCGAGCCGTACACGACTCCACAGAGACAGAACGCGTTCAGAGCGCCCCACCGCGGGGCCTCTGCATAGCACTCACACCTCTCCGCCCTCCGCGCGCGCCGCGGCATGCTCCCCGGCGTCCGCCAGGAACGCGCCGTCGCGCTCAGCAGAACCCTCCGTGTCCTCCGCGTCGGCGCGTCCACCGCCGACCGCCAAGCCGAGAGGCGACGGCCGCGCGGCGTGTGCGCGCTCGCCGTCGTCGAGCGCGGCGGAGAACATCGTGCCCCGGCGCGAGGCGCGCGGGGACGCGCGCGGGGACAGCGGCGAGCGCAGGGGCGAGTGCTCCGATGCGCCGTCGTCCGCGCTCGCGCGCCGGGGGAGGACGACCTGGAGCGCGCCAAGGCCGTGCGCGAGCGCGCGCATCAGCGCGGTGGTCGTGGAACGGCTGCGGCTGGTCGGAGCCGACGGCGAGGAAGGGGATCTGGGCTGGGTGCCAGGGTCGACGGAGTTGTGGTTGTGGCCGAGTCTGTTCCCGCGCGCGAGCACGCGGAAGAAGTGGTTGTGGCCGAAGGGGTCTCCCGGGGCGTCGGGGATGGAGAAGGGGTGGTTGGGCTCGTCCTGGGTCCCGTCGCTGAAGGGCGCGGCGCAGGGGGTTGGGCCGGGGGTGTCTAGGTCACGATCAACGTGGGCGGTGGGGACCGTCGCGGGAGGGACGGCGGAGGCGGTCTGGGAGATGGTGTCGATGGGGAGGAAAGAAGACATGCACTTATTGTCAACCGGGGGCTTCATCGCAGCCATCACTCACGAACAGGATTTAAGGCCTTGAGGCACTCTATCTGCGTGATGCACAGGCGGCGCAGCGCGCGCGCTGTAACCGATGCGAATTTGCGGCGTAGTAGAGGTCGAGGGTGAGGTGGACTGGGCGCGCGAGGTCACGGCGGAGCTGGCAGCCCTCGAGGCGCAGGTGACGGATGAGGCAAACGACGCCGAGGGTGTATAGGTGGAGGAGCGTGCCTACGACCTTCTCGAGTGACATCTATTACGACCCATACTCTCAATCATAATCCTCAAGTCTGATCGGCGGGATCTGGAGATCGCGTGGTGCAATTCCAGCTACAATGCCTGCCAGCTGCTTCAGCGCCTCGCCCGCCGATGGTCTCGTCGTTGGATCGGCCGCGAGCATGCGTTCAAGTACGGCGTCGATCTCCGTGATAGTCGACTGGGGAAAATGTCATAAGCGAAGGAAGGCAATGATGGAGACAACACAAACGAGCTGCTCACCCGGAAGAAACGAAGGCTCATACCGAACTGCCAAATGTCGAGCATGTAGGGGTTGTACGGCTCGCCAGTGAGTACCTCGGGCGGGCACCGGTGCGGGTGGATATTCCCTTCTGGGACTGTCCCGCCGTAGAGCGGACCCACGCACACCTGCTCGTGAGACGGCGTGTCCTCTGGGAACATGACGGAGAGCTCAAAGTCAATGATGAAGACCCGAGGGCGTCCAGGCCATGGATCTTGAGGTGGTTCGGAGTTCCCCTGAACCACCTCGCTTTCTGGAACGGCTTCTGTCCTGAGAACGCTCATGCTCCCTACAGCGTCGGTGCTCTCTGGAACAACATTGCTCTGCGGAGTACAGTCCTTGTTGGCGCACTTCCTATGAGCGATCGATCTAGGAAGATATTGCACCAAGAAGTTCTGCACGGAGGCGTCCTGCAAGTCCCATGTCAGCGTCAAAATGAGGCCGAGATGAAAGGCGGATTAACCCGGTGAGCTATCCCGTTGGAATGCAGAAACTCGAGTGCCTGGATGATAAGATACCATCAGAACTACGATTACTTTTCCCCGTCCACGCCAAACGTACCTCAAGACACTGCATGATCATATCCATAATGTCCCCGACGGAGCAACCGATCCCCGGACCGAACGCGAGATCCATTCGGGGTCCAGCCTTGGGGAAGACCGCAAAAGTGATATCGCCGAGGTCGATGGTATCGTAAAGGGGTAGCGCGTGGTTGCGGGATAGTGTTGCCCACTTGCCTCGTCCAAGGACAGTCAAGATGCGCAAGTGCATCTCCCCAACTGCGCCCATACGAACAACCCGAATCACTACGTCCCGTCCGTCCACCATACGTGCTGCTTGAAGCACTCCGGTCTACAAATGCTCATATGTGAGTTTTTATGACGTATACGGCGAAGGATAACGTACGCCGATGTTGAAATACTCGAGGTCTTCGAACAGCAGGCGGTCTTCGAACACTGGGACCAGGCCATACCCTGACGTGTTGGCAGCATCGTACGTCTTCGGCAGCCATGTGGTACAGTCTGCCGGATCCCCATCCCAGAAAATATAGCCGCGAGACTCAAAAAAGTCCTTCAGTGGAAACCAAGCCTCGTTCTCCACTGCTAGCATCCACGCCGGCAGATCAGGAGGTAACTGGAAACGACGGTATGTTTGAAGAAATTTTGGCAAGTCAAAAGGGAGTGTACCTGTGGACGTAGTGCTTCCAATCCCTCTGTTGCGGACGAGGTGCTTTCGTGAGCCTGATAGAAGTGGTGAGTGATCATTGTTGAGTGAAGCAACTGAAGCATGCAACCAGACGTACCGAGGAGACACTTGGAGAAGCGGGCATAGTCACTGGTGGCATCAACGCTGAAGAGCGACCAGTACTTCGGTCAGGAAGAGGAAGTGGGCGGAGCGTATGATGAGGCAGTTCGGAAACCACGACTCCCTTTTATCCGTCGCCCACTGATTGTTCCGTGAGAGTCTCCCACGGTTTGGGGCGTGAGATCACTGATTGGCCGCCCTAACCCTCAGATCCAGACGCTGAGGACTCGAAACGATATATGTGCCCATTATTTGACTACAGGTGCCGATTCGCGCGCGAGTATATTTGCAGTGAAAAGACCAAACCATATTCCCAGTACGTTTTGACAGTAGACTACCATACGGCATTTTCAGCAGCGTGGGTACTTCTCATACACGTTATCTAAGCTCGAACGGCGGCGACCGCATCATCCGCGAGACCGCTCCTCGGGAGGGGAAGACGTCCGAGGCGAGCTTAAGAGATGATTAACAGCCAGATCGATATTTCATCTGATGAAACATAGATACTAACGTGGTAAAAGTGATGTCGTATCTGACGGTGTACCACTTCTGAACCAGGTTGTTGAACTCGAGCAAGTAGGACCTCTGTTGAGCGGATACAACGGTGAGCGATTGAAAACATACGAATGAGAGGATACTGACACCCCCGTTAGCGTGGCTTGCAGTCCGGCTTCGCACCAGTTTTCCGACATAGTACTCCCCTTCTACGGTGATGCGGTAGTTGCCGGCGCGCTGCGGCCGCGGACGATATCGAGTAGGTGTGAGACGCATGCTCAGAATGGGCAGCTGAGCACTACTCACAGGTTGATACATAAGGGACTTGGGCGCGGTCTCGAGGGGTGAGTGGTATTATGAATGAAGGCCAACAGCTGATGGCAGCACTCATCGGCCCCTCCCTATTTAAATGTTTGAGGAGAAGTGGTGCAAATATACACAAACATGGCGGCAGGTAATGCCTCCGACAACTGGGGCACTTGACCGCGGCTCCGCATACAATAGTCGTGTGGGCGCCGGCAGAAAACCAGTCACTGGTGCCATGCGATATGCGCTTGCCACTTTGCGTAAAAATCTATCCTTATTTGGGTTTCTCTCATTCGCCCTCGCAGCCCCCTCGCGTCTCGCCAATCTGTACCGCAATTCGCCAATCATAACTCGCACAGTAAGGTAGCACATATATGATTAATACAGATGTAGGGCGACCCCCAGTATTCCTCAGAACAAGAAGTTGCACCTTGGCTCTCTCTGACCATCCAGCTTCCGAAAAAGATTTTTCCGACGAAGTCCTTCGTCGCTGGTGCTTCGATCACCCCTATGTTGTACTTCCCATCAACATGAATATAGAAAGCACCGACACCAGCCGACCAGGACCGGAGGAAGTTACACATCCACTACCGAAGTGTCAGATGATCTTGGTGTCGTGTAGCGAAGATGATGAAACACATGGTCGGGGCGTGCTAAACTGCCAAAGCAGGGTCCAGGCACACATCGGCCGCCGGAGGGGAATTGTGGGCGCAGTGTGAACACTATTGTTGAAATTCTGATGCCACGAGAGGTGTGCATACGCATGTGCTGCGAATTACGATATGCCGAAGGGCGAATCAGTCATCAACCTCTGTCTCCCAGATTCAACCTTTGCTTCCCCTTTGAGTATGATACACACACAGGTACCAAACGTACTGCATGTTAGACGAGCCTCTCTATCCTCATGCCCTCACCGCGTCCTGTGTCACATCAATTGTTGGGGACATGTGTGCGCGTCGCTACTCAGGTAGCAGGGATGGCGCCTGAATATCGTTGGGGGCACCATCTGAAAATATTCTTCCCTTTTGATGAGGCATTGAGAGGAAGGAAATACCGAAATTATAAACCAACACGATAACGCCACACAGAATCCATACAAAGAACGCACTTGATCGTGTATGACGCACCTCGGCGCCTCGCATTTTGTGTCTCTCCTTGGGCCCAAAGAATAAGCCCTTGGCTCACGCAACTGATAATCGCTTGCAGTCTGGATCTAATAAATGCCTGAGCGTCGCCTAAATATAGCCGTATACTTATGCCATGGAACCTGACCGGGGTGTTCAACAAGGTCTGTCCCGGTGATGTAGTTGAAGTTCTTCGTCGCCAGTTCTTGGGCCACCCATATGCCGTACTAGTAGTTTCAGCACCACGGAGAACGCGAAAACTAGCCAACCAGGACCGAAAAAAGTTGTGCCTGCATCAGCTACCGAAGCATCAGATGATTCCGGTGTTGTGGTCAAGATATGTAGAACTGTCAGATCGATGCCTAGGAACGCACCGGCCGCCCGACAAGGAATTGTGGGCGATGTGCGAACATTGCGGTCTTTTTTCTCATGGCAAGAGTCAGGTGTGAGAGTGTACATACCGTGCGCGTATGATAGGAAATACCAGAAGAATCATAACGCGCGCCGGACAAGCCTCGATACTGGGAACGTACGCGGCGATGAGAATCAGCGGAAGCCGGTGGGATTGGACATGAACGTTCATCCGAGTCTCATTCAAGTCATCTGTGGTAGTGAGCTGCGCCGCCATTTTGAAATATCCCGGTCGAAGCTGAACCAGAGTACGTACACGTACCGAATTTCACTGCTGACCCCGGAACGCCCCTCGCTCGACATTCCCCTCCTCTTGGTGCAAAAATCTCGGTCGGCGCACAGGAAAGCGGCCGTCACAAGGATCTGTTGCGTGATGTGAGCCCGTGACAGCCCGTCCCGCCCCCTCTCTCACAATTTCCCGATGTGTAAATGCACCAGGTTGCTGTGTGCCTTGTTGATCATTTGAGTGTGGTTGCACTACCGCCGCGTGCGCGCGGCGATATGGCTCGGGCCGTTGCTGACCGTTGCCTCGTTCTCAGCGTGGTTTAAGTTGTTGAACTGCGAGGCTTGGGGTGTCGGCTTCTCGTAGAACTCACACATGCCGTACTCCTTGGCGTAGACGTCGTTAGACCTGAGCGCGTTGAACCTATGTATCAAGATGAGGAGCTGTAGTGTGTACGTGAATAGGTGGCAGGGGTGAGCGAGGGAGACGCGGAGAACGGGACAAAGAGGAGGGGGACGAGACGGGCTACGGACCTTGGTCCTATGAGAGTGCGCGGCGACCACGACAGGGGGGTCACCGTTACAGATCTTCTTCGGTCTGGGAACGGGTTGCTCTCCGTGCCCTTGGCCGTCGAGCCAGACGTGGAGCACATTCATGTTAGCGCTCTGGAGGGCGCTCTGATACAAAGCAGGCGTCAAATCAGTTGTCGTAGCTGTCAATTGAGGTGTTTCTAGAGGTAGGTGATCTGGAAGCGAAGTGTAAGTGTGAGCCAGTGTGAGCCAGTGTACAGTTCATTTTATACAGAGGCTAGCAATTAAGCCCTCGTCATGGAGCACTGGATGAGATTAGACCGCTGGCACATACCGAATAACTCTCCCGAAGTCGGACACTCGGAGACACTCTCTGTTCCCTTACGAGCGGGCGGAAGGGAATGCGTTGAGGCCGGTCGGTGGAGGGACGCGGTGGTGCTAGTCCATCGCGTTGACTGTTAAAGATACACCCCGCTCGCGAAGGACTGTCGACTATCGAACCGCACTGACAAGTGGTCAAGGGAGGGTCCGCCGTGAAACCAAGCCAAAGGGTAAACCACTGTGCGTAGTTGTACAAGTGCACATGTCGCGACGCGAGACAATCGCGAGCACGCGAAGGATTTTTTCATTGAATTCGAAATGCTTCCGGCCACGACAGCAAGCCGAGGTCGAGATCTACATGAAAACTGCCGCTGCCATCGATCTTCCAGTCGTCTCTGGCGGCGATGTTCTCGGGGGCGTCTTGTAGTCCTCAGCAGCACATGGAACAAGGAACGAGACACAGTCAGCGAGTGTCCGAATGGAACGACGGTACCAGACACTCACCTGGCTTGCTTCAAAACACGCCTTCATCGGACTTCGCCCACCAAGAGATGATTTACCGGTCTATACGCCAGCTTCGAGGGTGGAAGAGGACGCAAAACAATGCTTCGACACCGTAGACATACTGATTATACGCGTAGTCAACCAAGCAGTAGGAAACACGTCACGAGTGTAGATCGGGGTAGCTTGTGGACGTAAACAAAACGCGAAGAGGGCTGCCCGTGCGATAATCTACTCCAAACGGGGTCAGGACGGGGATCGGGATCCAGGGATAGAGGTGTTAAAGGTAAAGGGAAACGACGCCGAGAAAGAGCAACCGGAAGAGGGAGGGGGGGAGTTTCGACGGAGAACGTCCTGGAAGTGGTTACGCAGATCAAGGGCAACGACTAGAGTGAGAGGCGAGCGGATTCGTGTGGCGGATAGCGAGGAGGACGGACATAATCAACGGGTGTCGGAGAGGGGCATGGACGGAGGTATAGCGATGGGGCGTGTGCGGGAGGATTACAATAGACTGTACGATACCTAGCTGCGGGGGTGGGCTTCAGCTTTCACGTGACCAAAGGGAGAAGATCCAGAGATCAGGACGACGGGTTTGACAACGAGCGACTATGCGGCAGACGCAGGCGGAGCTTTCTCCGCGGGCGCGGGCGACGGCTGAGGCGACGGCATGTGCGACTCGTGTTTGCGCGCGCGCTGGGCCGCACGGACTTGGTGGTGCTTCGACTTGCCGGTGGCGGCCTCCGCAACCATCCTGCGACATCACAAACTCTTCAGAACGAGGTGGACGAACGACAGAGAACAGTGACGCACCGCTCAAGCTCGCGGCGTTCCTCGTCGCTCTCGTCGGGGACAGTGGATTTGAAGACGGCACCGATGAGGAGAAGGCCCTTTGCGCGGTTGTAGAGGACCTGATCAGGCACTCCGGCTCCTTTAGTACGTGGTCGACGACCTAAGATACCCTCCATCAGCATAAATCCGCTGGACTGCAAACAGAACAACCACGTCTCGAAGTACTTGCGAAACTTCAAAGCGCGTTCCTCGCCATGACGCGAGCATGATCTTCCCCGTGACATCCTCTTCGAGTGCTTTGAGCTCTTCCTCGCCGAGCTCGCCCTTGGCCTGCAATCGTTCCATCTCCTGGATTGTTTGCTGCACGCCAATGCTACAGAAGACTTGAGGAAGGAAGAGGAAAGAAAACACCAAAGTGGACGTACGCGCTGCCAATGACACCCCACGCATCCTTCGCCATAGTACCCTTCTCCTTCAGCCGCGAGAAGAACCCAGGACTGTCGCGCCACCGGTCAACACCCCGATCTCACCCCACCCCCCAAACCCGAAGGGAAAACACTCACATGCCCAAGAACTTCCTGCTCTTCAAGAAGCTCGTCGCCTTCATGATGTACACCGTCCCGATCGTGTGCAGCAGCTCCACCCCAAAGCTCTCGAGCTTCAGGTCGTCCGCCTCGCGCCGCATCCGCGCCTCGAACGCGCGCGTCTCCGGATCGTCCTTGTCCCCCGGGTGCTTCGCCTCGACGAACGGCCGGAGGCGGTCGACGAGCTTGCCCGTCAGCGCGTCGACGCGCTCCTGCATCGCCTTCCGCCGCTCCTCCTCGAGCTCCTGCAGCTTCTTCTTCTGCTCCGGGCTCAGCTTCGACCGCCGCTTCGCGTGCGCCTCCGCCCGCGCGCCGTCCCGCTCCTTCGCCGCGGCGAGGTTCGTCGTCGACGTCGACGCCGGGCTGTGCGCCGCGGCCGTGAGCGGGTCCGCGGCCGCGCCGGGGGACGCGGGTGCGGGCGACGGGGTCGGGGCGGGCGAGTGGGGGAGCTCGGTGGCGGCGGCGACGGCGGTGGGGGAGGTGGGTGCGGCTGCGGCGGGCACGGGCGTCGGGGAGAGCGGTGCCGGCGCTGGAGAGGCGGGCGCGGGCGAGACGGCGGGGGAGGTGGGGGTCGCGCCGCCGTTGAGGTCGCGCTCGGCCTCGGCCCTGTCTTCCTCGGACATCATCGTCGTCGCGACGGACGTCATCTCTTTCATCAGAGATATCTCGCCGATCTGCGACGGAGAGAGGCGTGAGCGCGCAGAGAGGAGGCGAGACGCACAGGGAAGGTGGGCGAAGAGCGCGGGAGGCACTCACATAATCTTTGAACCGCTCGCCGCCAAAGACGTTCGCGAAGAAGCCAGCGGCATCCTCCATGGTCGTGCCGCCCTCCTTTTCCGCCTGCAGTCCGCGGCACCAGTCAGCAAACGCGCCCGCCAGAGGAAGACACAACTGCGTACCATCCTGGCGCCATTCTTGTCGTACACGGCGCGTAGGTTCTGGCAAAGCGGCGAGGTGGTGACGATCAGGAAAGGATGCAGATCGTGGTGAGAGTGAGACTCACAGGGTCCGAAAGGATCTGGTACGCTTTGCTGCGGCGAACATGAGCACACACAGACAGCGGCGGGCAGGGGTACACGGGTGGCGCACCTGATGTCCTTGAACTTCTCCTCGGCGTCGGGCGATGGGTTCTTGTCGGGATGGTACTAGTTCGTGCGCGCCGCCACACAGGCAGCATCGCGGAACACAAGGGGGAAGTGGGCACGAGCGTGAGGACGCGAACGTACATACGAGAAAACGGAATACGGACCTTGATCGCCTGCTTGCGGTACGCCTTCTTGAGGTCCGTATCGTTCACATCTGTCGGCACGCCGAGCTGCACGCGCGACGTGGATGAGCGAAGGACGAAGGGAGGGGAGGGACGACGGACGAGGTCATAGTACTCGGTCTCTACTGGCGCCATGCCGAAAAAGCTGGACGGGGCTGGAAATCGGCCGTGTGATCAGGATCGAGGGTCGGGCGAGGCTGGCGGCGAGACGGTCGGGCAAGCCGGGGAGAAAGGCAGTCGTGCGGGCGGGTGGGGGTCACGCGGGGGAGGGAGGAGAGGGTGGTGGTCGAGGGCAGACGGACGAGGGCGAGCACGGCTGCGAACGGCTGATGGCACCGCGGCACGTAATCGGACGTTATGACATCGTCCGCTAGCGTGAGGGCGAGGCTCGTCCCCAGCTGACTCCATTCGAGCAGAACTTCTTTGCTCGTCGCCAGCTCGGCCTCGGGTGCCTCAGTATGCGAGGTGACTACAGAATACTCGGTTGGCACAAACTGTGAAAACCATAGCATGTTTCCTACAGGATCATGTCAAGGAGGGAAGTGCCGACTATCACCGCCCATGATGATATCCATGCGTCTTATTGTAAAGTAGTTGCTTTGAAGGCACTGTGACTGAGGGGCTATCGCTCAAATGGCATATGTGCCCACACGAATTCAGATTAGGAGGTCAAGATTGCACTCAAGAGAGAGAACGAGAGAGGCGATATCAAACACCCGATTCCAATTCCGATTCCGTTGCAGGCGCAGCCCCTCGGCCGTAGCTTCCGTAGCGCGCGTGCTGAGCGCGCGTGGGAGGAAGTGCCGCGACCAGAAGCTCCCCGCGCCCCGCCCCCTTTATAAAGAAGCACATCAATGGAATCCACAGTGGACAAGATACGCGCACGAGGTCTCTCGAGGGTTTCGTCACGCCTGTGGTACCAAGGCGACATGCGGCGACGGAGAGTCGCAAATATTCATGGTACAGGTACTGTTCAAAACACGGACGCGCCCTCGCGCGGCCTCCTCCCTTTTTCCTCGGGGATCGCGCACGTTGCGTTCGTGTCCCACGCACCGGTCACAATGGACGTACGTTTGGAGAAACTGCAAAGCCGGTATGACTGGGCCTCGGTTGTGACCCATCCGCGAAATCGGTTTTTGGCCATCAGAATGGAGCCCCGATTTCATTGCGATTCCATGCGCAAAATCGGCCACGGAATAATACGAATTCAGATGGAGTCAGCCACGGCCCAGAATTTGGCCACGGAATCCATCCCATTTACCAGGCACAATGCACCTAGCTAACGAAGATACAACTGCACGACGCCAGACGGATATCAGGTATTGGTATTGGATAGGCGGCTTACTTCTACTATTAGTACTACTACACACATTGGGTTATCTCTGCCGGCTTCGTATGATGCAATGCTCAGTGCGTATAGTATGTGCGAGTATGCATGGTAGCTCGCGTGGGTGGGGACAAAGGAGAGACTCTAAGTAGCTACAGCGATGCAGTCTGCGTGGTATGCGATGCGCGAGAATAAGTAAGGTGTGAGTGCGGGCGCGAATGAAGGTGATTAGGAGACGACACGGCAGCCGAGTGAACGATAGATAGGACCGTGTGCAGCAAGCGTCCCAGAGAGACAGAAACAACAACTCACTGGTTGGCCAGGTCCTGACGACCCGGCCGAGGGCCCATAGAGCGAATAATATATGTACGAACCAGACTCTAATGCACACGAGCTAGCGCTCATCGTGTGAGGTCCGACCATCCGTGCTCGTCGAGAAGCGCACCGCCTTCCGTGGGGTCAACGGTCTCGACGCAGACTCGCCGTCCGACGACGTCCGCCCGGCGGGACTGTCCGCTCTCGCACCCGCGACGAGCCCGCCTCCTTTGCGGCTCGGCAGCAACCGGAGCAGCTTCCCGTGGAACGACGTCGGCATGCCTCCCGCGCGCGCCAGGGCCGAGTGCGGCGTCGCGGGCACGCTCGACGTCTGCGTGGTGAGGGTGGAGAGCGACGCGTCGGACGCGGACGTGGCGAGCGTCGCGTTCTCACTGCTCCTGGTGCCTGAGGCGCCTAGCGGGCCCGGCGGTCTTGGAGTCTTCTTCATCGACGACCGCGCGGGGGGCGGCGGGAGGACGACGGCGGACACGGACGCGCGCCGGACTTGTGCGGAGGGACGGGTGAGGGGGAGCGCGCCGGGGCGCGTGCCGTCGGCGGAGGGATGGTGGTGGTAGTGTGGCCGGTGGGCGTGCGGGGAAAGAGAGACCGCCCTGGGCTGGGGAAGAAGATGTGGGGTGCGCGAGATGTGGAGGCCCATCGCGATCTGCTCGATGGTGGGGCGCGGTGCATGGCCGTGGGCGTGCACGGCGAATGGAGAGGGACTTGGCGGCAAGGTCTCGGCAGCGGTCGAGTACATCCCGTGCGCCTGCACCGTCACAAGGCACGACGCGAAATCACAACGGCAGAGGGAGGACGTAAGGAAAACAGAGGGAGGGGTACGCGAAAGACACGCACCAGGGGACTGTGCTCGCGTTTCTTTGGGGTACTGTTGGCGGAGAAACGCCTCATGTGATGCATGATTCTCGTCGCAGCGCCGCGGGGGGTGGAGGAGCTTGGGGACGAACTGTCGTCCGAGGTAGATGGGTGGTCGTGCATGTCCCAGGGGTCTGCACGAGCAGTGCAGGGGCTCAGGCTGTGGGATGGGGCAGGGCGGGGAGTAGCGGACGTACCATGTTCATTGGGGACAGGCACCGGCCTGTGCTGTCTTCGACGTCCGTTGAATATAGAGGCCATGGCGGCGCCGTGGTGGATTGCAGGTGGGCGATGGTGGAGGTGGGAGGAAGAGAGAGAGTAAGAGGACAGGCAGGGAAAGTGCTTGGGGAAAGGAGAGATGACGACGGAAGAACTCGACGGGCGTGCCAGTCACGCGAGCTTGTCCCAGTGGCTGCACACGCAGTTTCACCTGCGTTTCCCAACACGTGCGAAATCGCATCAACCAATTCCCGTCCAAGAGGCTGTGCCAGCGTGTCCCTCCACCCACCCGACTTCCGACTTCCAGATAGCAGGTGGTCTCTTGAGGATATTCGAGCGGCCTGTAGCTAGTGGCCTGCGCACACTGAGTATGTTTTGAACTTGGACGGCCCTCGGACTGTGTCCCGACCATGACATGATGTCATCATTCCGCTGACACCAACCGGTCCCAGCCACTGGGCGTTTCCGTGTCCAAAATAGGATTTTCCGGGTTCCGGGAATAGCAACGCTTGCGCAATCTGCGGTCCGGGACGCTCTGCTTACTTCTCTTCGTCCACTGCCTCGGACTACCTCGGACGGCTTATGCATACCTTTCCCCCATACATCTCTACCGCGTTCTTCTGCAACCTCCAGCACACAACACAGGACCCATGGAAGCAGAGAGCAGCCCGTCTAGCGCCCCATTCGGCCTCACACTGACCTACCGCGGCGCCACACACGCACTCTCGCTCCGCCCCGACTCCACGCTCGTAGACCTCCACGACCGCATCGAAGAGCTCACCTCCGTCCGCCCCGCGAACCAGAAGCTGATCTACAAGGGCAGCAAGAAGCCCGCCTCCAGCACCCCTCACGACATCTCCCTCCTCCAGGCCGGGCTCGCCGATGGCACGCGCGTGCAGCTCGTCGGCCCGACCGCGGGCGAACTCGACGGCTTCGAGGCGGCAGAGAACGAGCACCAGCGCCGCGAGCGCATCCTCCGCGAGCGCGCACGGCGCGGGACTGTCAAGGTGCGCCCCCTCTTGCGCTTTCCCCCCATCCCCCGCGAGGCGGTGTGCGTTGCATGCCAGTGGAGCCGTGGCTGACCTCCACACGCACAGGTGCGCGCCACGGGCCCGTCCCCCGCCGAGGCGAGCGCGGCGCAATACACGTTCCACCAGATCCAGCCGCTGCCGCACCTGCCCGACCCACCCGCTGCCCGCGCGCTCCTCGCGCGGCTCGCGGCGGACCCAGCGATCGTGCACGTCATGCGCAAGCACCGGTTCTCCGTGGGGCTCCTTACAGAGCTCGCGCCGCACGAGCAGCCGCACCTGCTCGGACTCAACGTGAACGCAGGGCAGGCGATTAAACTTCGGATAAGGACTAACCTGTACGACGGCTTCAGGACGTACAAGGAGGTGCGGAGGGTGCTGTGCCACGAGCTGGCGCACAACGTGTGGGGGGACCATGATAACAATGTGAGTCTTTAATTTTGTCACGGTTCGCGCGCGGAGGAGGGAGACGGGGAGGGAGACTGACGGTGCATTTTGATAGTTCAAGGAGCTCAACTCTACGCTCAACCGGGAGGTCGCAGAGTTCGAGCGTGCGCAGGCTGCTGGGACACATCACCTGGGGAGCGCATCCAGCTTCGACGGTCCGCGGCCTGCCCTTGAGGCGGAAGCACAAGAGTATTCTCTCGGTGGCGCGTATGCTCTCGGAGGTTCGGGTGTCAGTAGCGATACTGACTCGCCTGAGGAACGACGGCGGAAGATGCTAGAAGCTACTATGAATCGGCTCAAGAAGGAAGAAGAGGAGATGGAGGACCGATGTGGGACTGCAGGGCATTGATATCTCTATGCTATCTTGTAAGCGTGTCATGATAGATCGATTTCGCTCCTGTCTGACTCGTTTGCTTGAGTATTTGAGTCATCCAAGTATTCATATGTAAACTGGGGGCTTCGTATTGCTCTTCTGCCGTCATTTTGCGCGAGAGGTGCTCTGAGGGTCGCTCGACCCAGACAGCAGGATGTCTCCACGAGGCCATCACCCGACCCCAATACAAGCGATCGCCCAGCACTCCCACACAGCTGTGGTCTCATAGCTTCGCTCTCGACATGCTTGTTTTCCTCACTGGCATTCTCTACCCTGAACTCGCGCCCTACACCAAAGAGTCCCTCAATCTCCACCTGACACATGATGTGGTGCGTCGGCGGGCCTGCAAATTTCCATCTCGCGCCCTCTGATGCTGAACCAGGGCTTTGAGCCGAAGATCGCTTTGGTACGCAACCCCGTTCGTGCTACTCACACCCTTTCCGGTTAGCTCGACCTTCTGGGAACAAAGGCCCCTTGTGCTGGGGCCCATCCATTGGCCTGATTCACAGGCGGTGGTTCAGAATACGCTGCGATCTTCTCCGCCCTCGGTTCTTAGCGGGCGGCCAAAGGCCCCTGCAAATGATTTCGGAGAACCATGACTCGGCGCGCAGGATTCTTATCTGATGTCATCCACCACGCGGCGCGGGCCTATGCCCGCGAAATCCCGCGCGTGAGCACAGAGCCAACTTCTCTTTCCTTCGACGCACACACTTCCGAGCGGTCCGTCGACCGCAGCGTGTCGCAAGAGGCCTTTACAGTATGCGCCCACACCCAGCTAAGACAAGCGCCGCGCATCTGGAGTGGATCATGATGCGCGTCCAAGGTTCTTCTCCCCGACACTCCTTACCTCCCCCCTCGAAACTCTCCAGGAAGACTCTGGTGACATATCTCCGCTATCGAAACCGCTTTTGACCGGCACCCTCTACATTCTGTGAAAAAGCGCTCAAGTCTAGTATGTCACAGACAGCGACGGAGGATCTAGTGGCTCTTCGAGCGAAGGTGGGTATCCTATGTCACGTATTCCGTTGTTGATTTCTTATCGCTACGCGGTTAGCTTCCACCCGACCTTCCCGCCTGGCGAGGCGCGGATGTCGCAGTCTGGGACTTGTTGACCGACTACTTTAGCTCGCGTGGATACGAGCTGTGGCAAATTCTGATTCCTGGCATCTTGAGACAATCTGCGCCGCCAGGACCCGTGATGACCGCTGGCTATGGAAAACATCTTCATCACGACATAAATACCTGGCACCCTCTTTTCACTCTGAGCTGCGGTGTGAGTTGCATATTGTCTTCGTGTTCTCACGGTGACATTAACATGCCCCTGTAGACATCCGCACTCCGTGCAGCTCGTTCCAAGGCCCGTGATCAAGACGTCGTCATTCGTGTCGTTCAAGCCGGCGCCGAGGAGATCGCACACCTCTCTGTCATCGAATTCCTTGGGTCCGAGCCTATAGCGTCCATCAGCACGAACCATACTCTACCGGTCCTCGAACTCGTCGAGCTCGGCGACATAGTATTTGCTATTTTCCCCAAGGCGGGTCCGGATTTGATAGGTGTATTGAATCCTCCGGCGCACAATTCCGTCGGAGACATCGTCGACATAATCATGCAATGCCTAGAGGTTCGTCACGCCTTGATCATTTTACTGTTACGCATGATCTGATATACATTAGGCACTCAACTTTCTTCACCTCAACGGGATTGCGCACAGGGTATGTCGGAAATCTTGGTCACGGGAGTGCTCAGCGTTCTAACACTTGCCATGCAGGATGCATACAAAGACAACTTCTTGATCGACTACTACCCCCAATCACTCGTCACGGACCCCGTTCGAGTGGGTCACCCTCGCGTCTACTTGCACGACTTCGAGTTCGCATGTGGCTTCCCACAGGACACCCCTCCTGAAGAGCAGGTGTGCGCGGGCCCGCTCTACGGCGGGACGGTATCCAAGAGCACACCGGCCGACCATCGGAGCTCTCCGGAGGTGCTCACGGGCGAGCCGTACAGTCCGTACAAATTGGACGTGTGGCAGCTCGGCACGAGCTTCGCAGAGTTCAAGGTGGGTCTCGGAATCGCACCCGTGCCGCTTGTCGTCGACTGATGACGAGAGTCCCAGTCCACCATACCCGCCATCGACACCGCCCTTGAGCGTTTGCGCGAGGTTGACCCGTCAAAGCGTCCGACGGCGTATGAGGCGTTGAAAGAGCTCACTGATATCGTCTCCTCGATGGCGCCTAAAGATCTGCTTATCGCCCCAGACTACTTGTTCTTAGCTTCGGATATATGGCGGAAGAGCGAGGCGTAGTACCGTAAAACTTAGCCAGCCTGACTGGGAGAATAGCGCCCTCAACCTAGACGGCAAACGTGATCTCGCACGGGAGCGCTTCAGACGCGGTGTCGTTGTCGGTGACCGAGGTTGTGGTGCTGCACGGAGACGTGCAAAACTTGCAGAGGGCTCGGGGAGGATAGTGGAGGCGCCATCGGAGTATGGTGCAGTGTGATCGTCGTCTGTCCGGGTAGTAGTCAGGGAGGCGAACGTGGCGACTGGGTTTGACTTGGCTTCACATGGTTGTCCGAGAGTGGATCCGGGACTTCGCGCTCATTCTGAGGCCTGATTGCGTATACTACCTACCGGACCCATGTTATGGTCAACTAATCGACACGCTAAGCTGCACGCACGGGCGACTTGGTCGTTCAAAGACGAGCGACGACCACTCGGAAAGTGCGATGACCGAATGCGGAGTCGTAGAATGACAATTCCAATTCGTTTATCTAGCTTACATGGCGCACACCGCTCTCAACTATGAGGTGGACGGAAGTTCGGAGTGTTCGTTGTCAACAAAGTTCATGTCGAACATGTCTGTCGCGTACTCATAGTTGGTGATTCAGCATCTCATACCAGGACGATAAGAGTTTAGTGGCGCACTCACCTGGTACGCATCGCGAAACGCAGAAGCCATTTGTTTTTTTACCCACACCACCACATCCACGAGCGCCGAAGGGTATACATCGAGAGGGACGGACGCTAGAGGCATAACCGTCGAGCGGACGAGTGGCAGAGATCGCTCCAGTGAGAAGCCAGCAAGTATGCTCTCCGCGGGCCGCAGTTTCCCGTGCCTCAGGTCTGCCTCCAGTTTATTCAGCTCCACTTCCATCCAGCTTGTCGTTTGGAAATGGCAGTGGCATGTATGGGACTTCCACTTCCTTCGTATCCCCTCCAGCCAGGGGATGAGTCTCCGCAGCGCGTGGGCGTGACATGTCAATAATTTGTGGTAAGCCAGAGCCGAGGCTTCCTCCATGTACGGTACTTCGACGAGCGTCCTTTCTAAGGTGCATCTCACCGCCGCCTTGATCTCCTCTTGCTTGAGTCCGTACTGCACTGCCGCAAGGTAAGCTTCCAGAGGGGCGCCGTCCCCACGTTGTACGGATCGCGCCACCTTCGTGTCCCAATAACGCTTGACCCTGGATTCCAGGTCTGCGCACACGTGGAGCGACCGAAATGTGGAAAGGATGCCGGCTACGTGATCGAAGGTAGACATGAAGTCGAGATCCCCCTTCGCGTAACAAACCTGGAGCACGCACACGACGACGTGCCCTCGCGCGTCGACACGGTACACCGCGGGGTCCCCGTCCTCAGGGCACGAGCCGAGTTTGCATCGGACGAGCTCTAGCAGGTGCACCTTGAGCTCGACGCCGTCCGAGCATCGCAGGGTCGCGTCGGGGGGAGGGTGGGCGGGTATGAACGTGGCGCACGTCTTCGCGAGCTCGAGCGCGCTCAGTGGCGCGTCCGCGGCCGCATCCGACTCCGACAGCGCAGGCTCCAGACGGAGGGGGGTTGTCCCGTCGGGGCCGCCGATGTACTCACGGAGACGGAAGTACGCCCCTGTGCTGACCTCAGAGAGGACCTCCTCGAGGCCTGCGGCCCTCAGGTTCTTCTCCAGCATGGCGAGCGCGGGTGCGCCACTCATGTGGGACTTGATGTGTCTGGCGGCGCGGCGGACGACGTCGTCGAGGCCGTTTTGGGAGACCGCGAAGGACCAGACGCGCACGGGGTCGACGTGAGCGGCGTGTCGCAGGGCTGTGATGAGTTCTTCGCGAGGTCCATGCATCTCGTACTTGAAAGCCGCCTTTAGCACGGGGATTATCTCGTTTGGATGTTCCAGGCGGGGCTTGGGGGTTGGATAGCAGTACAGGAGGAGGTGGCGCAGAGTGTTTCCATCCTCCAGCAAGTCTACTGTCGGTTTTCCATCGACATGCTTAGATTGAGGGTCCTGCGGTAGAGAGAGAATGTCGGTGAAGACAACGGACGCCAGCGAGAGTATGAGTCGGTGAACGTGGAATTCGACATCATCAGAGCTTCGAAGGACGATATCTGTGGACGGGTCATCGAAAGGGCTCTTCTCGTACGCACTGGAGGAGTCTGACATGAGAAGAGGCTTAAGTGGCGGTGAGGTGCGGGCTGCTGCTTGGACTGGGATGAGTGCCATGCCAGGCCTAAATTTATAGTTCACCGGCCCGATACGGTCCGCCGCCCACATGAACGCCTCAGATTCCGATGTGGCAACAATTAACAACAAGTGCAACAGCCTTATGGTAAGCTTCAACTACCCTTGTTGTTCCACGTTGGTACTCATATTGGTTAGGATCATGCGCATTTAGGAACAATATGCACGGCCGTATTCACACAGCTCTTGGCGCACGTTCCGTTTGACGCTGACACCACATATAATCAGATGTCGTTCCTGAGTCTTTGCCTAGCAAAGGTGCTGATCTATTGCGCGCACTCGCCAATAGAACAACCACTCAGCGAGAGCAGGGGAACTCTCTCTACACTACAAAACGCGAGGTGCGGCGCGCCCACGCGGACCCCCACGCGGATACTCCGAACGGGTGCTCGCGCGGACGCAGGGGAAAGGAGAGGCCACGCCCGCGGCCACGAGCGCGCCATGACCGAGCCGCCCATCTGTCAGACACTCTCTGACAGATAAACTACTCAGTCTCAGCGCGCCGGTGGCGCACCGACGGGCCTCTCGTGAACGGAGCAGGTGTTGAACGGAAACGGGCCCGGGATGAGGGGAAGACGATGCTGTCGATTCGAGGTGTCCCGCGCGCCCCTCTTATACGCCCTCGCGCAACGACGCTCGCTCCTGGACGGCCAAAGCGTGCTTTCTGAACGCCCTTGGCGGTGGTGTGGCGTGATTGTGGTCAACAAGTAGCGAGTGGCCGATTTACGGGCGGCCCGGGCACAGACAAGATATCGTGAGGCGCTCGTGGTCTTCGCCACCCGCGCGTGTTGTCGCCACACGGCCGGTCGCTCGTGATGATGTGGTCTGTTCTTTGTTCTTATTGTGAACGTCACCGCAACGGTGGCGGTACTCTCGTTGTTATAGTCCGTGCAGGTATCGATGGAGGTGAAGTGTCCCATGGATTGCACGGATCAAGCGTACGTTCAAACTTACCCAGCATTCTCGCGCGTGGTTCAGAATTTTTATTTCAGATGAAATGGCAACGATGAACGTCCTTCTGAGTATGCAAGGAGTATGCAAGGATGTCGCGATTACATGATATTATCGTACGCCCGCGAAGCTTCGAAGTGGTCACAGCACATCTACACGTTAGGCTTGTTGATCTCCTGCTGGGCCTGGCCCTTGTCGTGGCGAACGTTGCCTGCAGACCCGATCAGCCACCGCTCCGAGGACAATTTTCGGACGGGAGTACGGACGTACCCGAAAGCTCCTGCTCGCGATCGCCGGTGACGGCGCCGACGACGGTGTCAATCTTGCCGTCGACGCGGTCAACGGCACCGTCGACGTACTGCTTTGCCTGGGCGGCGTTGTACTCGGTCTCGCCCTCGGCGTGCTCCTTGCGGCCAGAGGACTTCCAGGAGTCGAGCCCGGTCAGGTCGCCGATGGTCTCGACGGTGGTGCCCTTGACGGAGTGGTACTGGCCGGAGACCTTGCTGCGGGCGGGACGTCAGCGGCCGATTCTGTGCGAAGCGAAAGAGGGGCGGGATCGAGCGGAATGCTCACCTGGGCTCGTTGGTGTTGGCGGAGTAGGACATGGTGGATATGATATGGGCGGGAGGTTCGTAGAGGTGTGTGTAGACTGTGGTGCAAGTCCACGAACTCTTTGCCGGGCTTATAAGCCATGAACGAGGATGGCGCTGGACGCCGAGCTCCCTGCTCGCGGGCTCTGCACCCACGCTGTCCGCAATCAGCAGACCGATTCCGCGCCGCTGTGGGTGGTTTCTGTGGCATAAAGGCAGAGTTAATGACGTCAGATGACGCGCGGTCGTTGTGGCGGATGGCAGGGCTGACGTCATTATCCCGCGCTGTCTCGTGACGTCACCTCGCCCTCCACGTCTTCCGCATGTTCCGCAACGCCTGCTCAATGGACATCGAAGGCGGGATGCAGCTGTCGACATCGCTCGGATGCCCTCCAGAGGCGTATATAAACCCCCACGGCGTGCTCAACATCGTCAGCAAACGCACCGCACACCACCCCTCTTCAACTACGTCCTCCACCTCCACCGCTTCGCATTCACCATGTCTTCCAGCACAGGCGAGCCCAAGTACGTGCATCTATCTGACTCAGCCGACACCATTCTGACGTGGCACATGTGTTGCAGCAAGTCCACCGGCCAGTACCACTCCCTTAAGGGTACCGTCGTCGAGACTGTCGGAAACGTCACCGGCTCCGAGTCCTGGCAGACGTCGGGCAAGCAGGAGCACGTCCAGGGCGAGACGGAGTACAAGGCCGCCCAGGCAAAGGGCTACGCCGAGGGCACCATGGACCGCGTCGGCGGCAAGAAGGACGCCATCGTTGGCGCCGTCACTGGCGACCGCCAGCAGGAGGTCTCTGGTGCGTTGTGCTTTCCGCTCATCGACATTTGAATCGCTCATAATGCGCGCGCCCAGGCAACGCCCGCCAGGACAAGGGACAGGCCCAGCAGAAACTCAACGAGTAGATGTTGTTCTTTACCGTAGATCCACAATATCGGGTGTAGGACAAAGCTTTGTAGTATATTGTAACGTCTCTGCAATTGTGTACACGCCACATCCCCGGCATCATGCTCGCTTGAGTCGTGCGACGAGAGCGAAACGGCCGTATAATTTAGCGCTTCCTCCGAGCGCTAGCTGAACGTGAACGTTGGTCGCGCAGCGCGAGCTGCGGTGGCGCCTCAACTCGCGCGCGTGCACCTTGCCTCCTGCCACCATCATGCCTCAAGAGGCAGATACTTCTTTCTCATCGCGAACCGAAGTTGCAAGCATCTCGCGCTCTTGGTTGTTAAATGTCGAGCAAGAGACCAAGGAGACAGTTTCGCACACGTGTGATGCCGTCCTCTCGCTAGCCTGGCTATGGCCCGTCCGCGGCATCATCTTCTGCGTAACTAGTCAGTATCTGCACTACCAGACTTGGACGGCAACTGACAAGCGCATCTTCCCCGTAGACCCGCACATCATCCTCTCCGTTCGCTCCGCGCTCCTCAAGTCGCTCATCTCATCCTTGTTCATCTTCGCCGTCCTCGCCTTCTTCGCCTTCCTTCCTCAAATGGCCTTCCTCGCGATCTTCACTGGTCCCCTCGCGCCCCTCTTCGCGCTTTTCCTCGTCGGCGCCGAGTCGCTCGCGCTCATCACGCTCTTCAGCCGCGCGCTCTTCCTCGAGCCCGCCCTGACGCACGTCTTCGACACCACGCTCGCCGCGCGCGGCCAGCGCGAGCTCGTGCGCGCCGGAACGGCCCGCGTGACGAAGCGCGCGTCCGCGCAGACGCGGATCGGGGCGGCGCTCGTGCGGCCGCTGCAGGCGTTCTCGCCAGGCGGCCTGGTGCGCTACGTGCTCACGCTGCCGCTGAACGCGGTGCCCGTCGTCGGCACCGCGTTCTTCCTGCTCTACAACGGGCACAAGGCCGGGCCGGGGTGGCACGCGCGGTACTTTGCGCTGAAGGGGCTGTCGGAGGGGCAGCGCGCGGCGTTCGTCGAGCGCAGGCGGGCGGAGTACACTGCGTGAGTGTTTGCGTTCGTTCGTTCGGGGTACGGGCGGAGGTGCTGATGAGCGAGAGCTTGTAGGTTCGGGATGATGACGCTGGTGTTCAACTTCGTGCCGCTCGTCGGGCTGCTGTTCAGCTTCACGAACGCCATGGGTGCCGCGTTGTGGGCGGCGGAGCTGGAGGCTCAGGAGAACATCCTCGAGGGCGATGTAGCAGCTGGGAAGGGCAAGAAGAAAAAGGAATGAGAATCTAGCCAATTGGATACGCGCACATAGGGACATATGGGTAACGGACTTCGCGATCATTTATCTTGTATCATCAGACTTCGGAGGCAGCACCTAAAGACTAAAGTTGAGTGATGCGTACACTGCATTAGACTGCATCGCGTGCGTATTAGGCTTTGGCTTTCGCGGTGAGGTGTGCCCGCTGTGGGTTGTGGTGGGCTCCGAGTTGAAGAGAAGTGACATCATATCTTCGCAACCTCCTGCAGTTCATCAAACGAGATTGGTCAAACAGCGAGTCACCTCCATGACCAAGCCTGTCTCTTTTGTTTTACAAAAGTCTTGTTGTGATCGGATGCAACTGGAATGGGCAGGGCATGTAGCCAACGCCACGGGACCTGCTTGCATCGCGAGGTCTCCAAACTGTGGTTCGAGCGTTTCCATGACTATCCACTGGACGCCAAGAGTGCTGTGGGCGAGCATATTTGTGCATATTCGGGGCGAGAATGTGGCCCGAAGGAGCAATTGAGAGGTCACGTGAGCCTCATATTCGGACGCCCTCCGCGGAACGCGCCCTGCCAAGGCTCGCCAAGCACCCTCGCTCCCCTCGATCGTGTCGTTTGCGACTTTCCCGAGGTATGTCTTGTCAACTTGGGTTTTGCGGAGAAAACATAGCTTACCGTGCATCGATGTGCTGCAGTTGACAGCTGAACGTAGCTCGGGGAGCATCATGCCCGACGCGAATTGTGATGCTCTGGAGGTCTCCACCGTCGCTTCTTCGCGAGACGCATTGAATGAAGAGTCAGACCCTTTGCTCGCCAAGAGTGTTGGCGTCGGTCGCGGCACCCGGCAAATTAGGCGGGCGTCGCCAATCTGCAGGGCCAGGCCGCTCGCCTCTGGCCAGCTGCTGTTCCCCTCCGCCATCTGGCGTCCCTCCCTCATTCCTTCGTGTCCCTTATCCCTCCCAGTCTGTCTTTACCTGCTCCTCTCCGTGAGTTGCGCCCCCTGCGGTCCCCCACACGCACGCACGCACACGCTATACCACCACCACTGCACCTCCCCCTCCACCTGAAGAAGCTGCTCCACGATGCTGGCACTCCCCGCGCTGTCCGCTCTTTTCGTCGCCTCGCTCTCCCTCGAGCTCGTTCACGCCCACAACCCCCACCACCACAACCTCGCCAAACGCCAGACCGCCTCGGGCACCACCGCGACGTCGTCCGCGACTTCTGCGGCCACGACCTCCGGCACCGTCCCAGCCAGCTCCGGCACCGTCCCAGTCAGCTCCGGCGCGGCCGCCGCGACGACCCCGTGACGGGTACCGCGTCCACGACCTCGAAGAACACCGTCCGCCCTCGGGCACGGGCACGTACAACGTCCCGCCGCTGCTGAGCATCACCTCGGGCATGCCCGCGGGCGCGGCGCCCACGCTCCGCACGACGTTCGCCGCCGGGGCGACGCCGTCGTACTCGGGCGCTCCCGCGCTCCCCACCGCCTGTGCGTTTCTTCTCTTCTGTTGTTTTGTTTGTGGAAGGACAGGGAAACTGAGAGCTTCTGTGTGTGCGTGCAGTCGTCTTTTCGTCCGCGGACTGGCCGCTGCTCGACAAGGTCCCCCCTACTGGTGCGTGTAGCTGCGTGGCGCGGGGCGCCCGTCTCGCGTGTGTGTGCAGTGGTGATGTTGACGCCCGGAACAGATTCCCCCCAAGTCAAAGAGTGGATGAAGGAGCTCGACGGGGTGGACATCCCCGACCTCGACCCGACCGTCGGCGACGCGACGTGCGAGGAGAACCCGGCGGCGTCCAAGGACGCCGCGGCGCGCGGGTGGTGGACGTGCGGCCACTACGTCGCGGACACCGACGTCGTCTCCTGCCCGGACAAGCTCACGTGGGGTATCAGCTTCGACGACGGCCCGTCGACGTACAGTGCGTCTTTGTCGTGTGCTCGAGGGGACCGAGCGGGGGCGCTGACGGGTTTGCGACAGCGCCGAAGGTTCTGAACTTCCTCGACGACCACGACCTGCACGCGACGTTCTTCGTCGTTGGCTCGCGTGTGGTCTCGAACCCGGAGATGCTGAGGACAGAGTACATGTCGGGCCACGAAATCGCCGTCCACACCTGGTCGCATCACGCAAGTAGACTCGGCGGTTCATGCAGGCCCGGTGCTGACCTCAGACACACAGGCCCTCACCACCATGACCAACGAGCAAATCGTCGCCGAGCTCGGCTGGACCCGCCACGCCATCCAGAAGGTGATCGGCGTGACGCCCACGCTCATGCGCCCCCCTCGCGGTGACATCGGTACGCCTCGCGAGCCCCACGACGTAACCGCGAGACACTGACCGCGCGCGCACAGACAACCGCGTGCGCGCGATCTCGAACGCGATGGGCCTCAAGCCCGTGATCTGGACGAACGGCCCCGCGGGTCCGTTCGACACGAACGACTGGCGCGTCGAGGACGGCTCGATCGCGAACGGCGAGGTCCAGTTCGGGGTCTTCCAGAGCCTGCTCGGGAACGCGACCCTGATCGACACCGGCTTCATCGTGCTCGAGCACGACCTGTTCGAGACCACCGTCGACCTCGCCGTCGGCTACACGCTCCAGTCCGCGCTCTCGCACAACCCGGCGTTCAAGGTGCGTTTCCCGCGCGTCCACTGGTTTTTGCTCTGGGGTGCTGACCGGGTGACGTGGGACGTGCAGCTCAAGGCGATCGGCGAGTGCCTCGCCATCCCCACCTTCGATCTCTACCAGGAGACCGCGGTGACGAAGATCACGAACAGCACGGGCGGGAACAAGAACAGCTCCGGCGCGGCCAACGACACCAGCCCGCCTCGTCCCTGCCTGCGCCCGCGTCCGGCTCGCGGCGGTCGTCGCTGCGGGTGTCGCCGCGGTGTTCGCGGGGGCGTTCTGAGCTGGAGCGCGAAGAGGACGGTGGCTGGGACGTGGACGGTTTTCTTCTTAGCTACCTGTCTGGACCTCGACCTAGATGCGCAGACGCACGTCGCGCGATGATTCCCCCCCTGGACTTACAGTATACCGGCGATTGTGCGCGTCGGCCCGAGTACGATACGCTTGCCCCACGCGCGGGGCCGCAATTGCTGTTAATACACACCTTGAAACCTGCCGCGATGGGCGTGAATCATACGGAGTGCTAAAGCAGGTCCAAAAGGCGTGGGCATAAGGGTTCAGTTGTGTGGGTCTCTCCGAGATGAGACAGGCGCGGTAAAACTAGCCTGTCGTGCGCACTGACATCGTAGACAAACGATTCCGCCCCATTCGGGCCTGACTCGCTCGTTTTAAATGCATTTTATAGGATTTTTACGCAGGAACGGACCTGCGTGGTCCAGCACTGGGTGGGGGCGCGACGCACGTCGCAGGAACAGGCCGAGTCCGCGCGCGATGTCGAACTGGCGGGCACAGCGGCGCAGATCGCCGGATGCCTGGGGATGGCGGGCGTACTGCCACCGCTCTATCGTCCGCTCCTCCCAACACCTCCCTCGAGTCCCAGCTGGTGGATCCACTTCGCTCGAGCATCTCCCCGGACCTCCCTTTCGCCACCTCGCCCCCTTCACTGCCCGCATTTGACTCTCCATGTCGCTCATCGAGAGCGTCAAGACCAGTGCGTCACGCCCGTTGCATCGTCGCTCTGCGCTCACCCGCCTCGCCCACCAGAGTTCCTGGAGGCGATCCGCTCGGTCGTGCCCCCGGACGATGGAAGATCCTGGTCGTCGACGAGCACTCGCAGCGTCTGCTGAACTCCGTGCTCAAGCAGTACGACATCCTCGAGGAGAACGTCACCCGTGCGTTTGCCCGTCCACCTCGCGTCCCGTGCACTCACCTGGCTCGTACCTCCCCGCTCCCGGATCTGCCATCTCGCTCCGCCTTCCGCATTCACCACAAACTACTCCCCCGTCGCCGTCGACCTATGCGGCGGGATGCGCCTGCCCCCCCGCCGCGGATGCGACCACCGCTTCGCCACTGCGGCGCCGCCCCCCGCCCCCGCCCACCCTGCCTCGCCCGCGGAACAGAAATCGAGAGCATCGCGAACCACCGCGAGCCGCAGCCGGGGCTGGAGGCGATGTACATCCTCATGGCGACGTCGCAGAACGTCGAGCGGATAATCAAGGACTGCTCGGGCGCCCAACCGGTGTACTCGGGCGTGCACCTGTTCTTCGTCGACGGTACGTGATCTGCTTGTCTGCGTCGCACGGGCATCGGGGACGGTGGGGGCGGATTTGAATGGGCCGAGCGTGCGGTCGGAGGCACGGCGGGTCGGCCGTCGTCGTCTGAGGGCTGCGGCTTCCTGGCAGGGCGATGCGGTCGGCGACGCAGTTCCGCCATGGGGAAAGACTGGCGCGTAGGCTTGTGGCCTCTCACGGTTGCCAATTCCGAAACTACCGAGTCGCCGTCCAAAGAGAGGCTTGAGTACGAGGATGACGTTGTACGTGCGAGCTATGCTTATGATCTGACTGCTGGAGGTCCACTCAAGTATAGACTTGCCACGGGTCTCGACGTGGGCAAGTATGTGCGGATCTTGAGCCTTGTTTGCATGAAGATCATCGTCTCCGGTGCCTGTGGTCCCAGTGCTAGTTCTACGTTCTGATTTTGTCGTCGTGAAAAGCGCTGCCTGAGCCGCTGTTCCAACGTCTCATGTCTTCACCTGCTGAACCGCGTCTGAAGGCGCTACAAGAGCTGTTCGTCAACTTCTGGGGTACGTGCATCCTACTCTCTCTGAGAAGCGACCGTTCATGTCGCGTCCGCGCTGTTAGCCATCGAAGCTCAGGCATTCTCGTCCAAGACTCCAGCCACGTTCTTCAACCTGTACAGTGCGCCTCGAAGCGAAACGTCTTTCAAGCCATGGCTCGACAGGCTGAACGAAGAGCTTCGCTTCATCAGCCAAATGGTTCGTTGGACCGACCTGCTGTGCGACCTCTCCGCTGACTTGTGGGCTTCGTAGATTTCGAACGTTTGCATCACCCTTAACGAATACCCTTACGTCCGTTATTACACTCCCTCCCACCATCCACCCCTTGGTCCGCTCCAACCCCACGCCAGCACACGCCCTCCGCCGCCACCCGAAGGCAGCGGGCGGTGGCGAACAAACCTGGCGCGTGGAGGAGAGGCTCGGGCGTACGAGAGCGTGGAGGGCGACTACGTCGCGAAGGTGCTCGCCTTCATGGTCCAGCAACACCTCGACGACCACAAGAAAAGCGACCCGAACTTCCCGAAGCCGTCGGACCCGGCCCGCCCGCGGGGGACGCTCATCATCACCGACCGAGCGATGGACACGGTGGCGCCGCTGCTGCACGAGTTCACGTACCAGGCGATGGCGAACGATCTGCTGCCGATCGACGACGGGACGTCTTACCGGTGAGTGACGCTCGGGCGCGTCGTTCTGTTGGCACGAGGCTGACAGGGAGGTGTGTGTTCAGGTACAAATTCCAGACCCAGACGGGGACGGAGGACAAGACGGCCACTTTGTCGGATGCCGACAACGTCTGGACCGACATCAGGCACATGCACATGCGGGAGGCCATTGACAAGCTCATGGCCGACTTCAACAAGTTCTTGCAGGACAACGCTGGATTCAAGGGGCAAGTCATATCTCGAGAAAGCACGGGTTTGGCTAACGCAAATATCATACAGAGAGGGTGCTGCGAGCTTGAACGACATGAAGGACATGCTTGCCAGCTTACCACAATTCCAGGAACAACGAGACAAGGTGGGACTTTTCAGGTCACTTCATCGTCAAAGATTCTCACAGGCGCCTGTGCTCTAGTTTTCGCTGCATCTAAATATGGCACAAGAGTGCATGGGCATCTTCGAGCGCGATAAGCTCCCGGCCGTGGCCACTGTCGAACAAGTGCGCGCTTTTACCAGTCTGGAGACAAGCCGGGTGCTGACTGAAACAGAACTGCGCTACCGGCCTTACGGCGGAGGGCAAGACGCCGAAGACGCTTGTTGAGGAGATGGTGCCGTTGTTGGACAGCCGAGATGTTGTGTGCGTGGCATGACGTTCAGGGCCGCCTCGTTCTCGCGCTGACGCTGCCCTCGTTTCGGCATGCTCCGGTCGGGTGACCGTCGGCGAACAGCAACATGAACAAAGTGCGGATTATCGCGCTCTACATCCAGCACCGCGAAGGCGTACCCGACGAGGACCGGAGGCGGTTGTACCAGCATGCGCGGTTGACGATGGCGGAGCAGGACGCGGTGAACGCCCTCGTGAAGCTCGGCGTGCGGATCTCTCGCGTGAGCAGACGTCATCATGTGTTGCGCGCCTCGACTCGTGCTGACGATAGGAGCAGGGAGCTGGCGATAAAGACGTCAAGAAGAAGATCAAGCAGAAGACGAACAGCGAGGAAGAATACGAGCTCTCACGTTACAAGCCCGTCCTCCGAACCGTGCTCGAGGTATGACGCCATACCCTCATCGCTGATGTGTTGTGCCTGAACTTGTTACGCGTCACAGGAGCACGTTGCAAACAAGCTCGACCCCACGCTCTTCCCGTATGTCAAAGACTCCCCCTCAGCTGGACCCACGACGAGCAGCCTGCGCTCTTCCCCGGCGCCTTCGGTGCAACCTGCGGTGTCGCTTCGTAGCCAAAAACCCAGCTGGCACAAAGCTTCGCGGGTAGGAGGCGGTGGAGGACGCGATGACAACCGTCAGCGGATTATTGTTTTCGTTGCTGGCGGCATGACGTATTCCGAGATGCGGGAGGCGTACGTTCTGTCGAGAACTCTCAACAAAGATATTATCATCGGTGCGTCCCTCCGGCGCAGCGATCTTCGTGCGCTCGACCCCCTGCTGACTTTTTTTCCGGTCATCGGTCCCCACTTATCACACGCGCGATGGGTCTAGGCTCTACGCACACACTCACCCCGCGCGATTTCGTGGACGACCTCAAGGCACTGGAAGGCAGCGGAGTGGGCTCTCGAAGCCTCCCGAACGGCATCCCCGAGTCGGGAGGTGCGATGGCCTCTGCGCAAGAGGTGTACGACAAGAAGTACTTCACGCGCGATGCGCCGGCACCCCAACGCGCGCCCCCTCCATCCGCATCACCGGCTCCGAGCGGACGTATGGGACGCCCGCCGCCAGCGCCGTCGTCGCAGACGAGCTCGTCGATGAGCGTCGGGAGCAACTTCAGCACCGGCGGCACATACACCGAGGAGAAGAAGAAGAAGCGTGGGTTCTTGCGGTTCTGAGATGATGTTGCCAGTTACCGTGGGTGGTGTAGATGGACACCGCAGGCAGGAATGCAGAGACTGCTTTGGTTGGTGGTGTATGAGTATTTTATCTGCCCGTATGTCCTATGAATGGTCTGGGCACAGACGTATACCACGGACCTAATGCACCGGTTGATCACTGGATCCGCGGATTGCATGTGTTGTACACGTTCGAATTCGACTTGCAGAGGTAACGAGTGACGTCACGGTCACTCGCGTCACCCGTGGCTCGCGAGGCTCGCGCCGGCGCTAAGCGGATTGTACCACTTGCTCGTTGTCCTTGCTGCCCTCCTCGCTGCCTCGCTGCCCTCCACCTCCTAGGCCGCCATGGACCGGCCCATGGGCCCACGAAGGCCCGACAAGCGCAATGCGGCCTACGAATCCATCTTCGGCCGGCCGAGCGCAACCCACCATCAGCTCCATCCCCAAGACCCTGGCCAGTACGCCCCGGGTCCCTCCCCACTTCCGTACCAGCCGCCGCCGCCGCAACAGCAACCCTATCCTTATTATCCGCAGCACGCCTCCCCCCCGCTCGACCGCCGCACCTCCCACTCGTCTGCTCGAAACCCGTCCCTCCAGTACTCCCAACCGGCCCCCACGAACAACCGGCAGTCGTACTACTCCGCCGCCCCCTCCGTACCGCAACCCCCCGTGCCCGTCTCCCATGGCTTCCAGCAGCACTCATATGTGCAGCAGCAGCAGCAGCAGCAGCAGCAGCCACGGTACGGCTACGCCACTTCTCTTGCGCCCCCATCCATCGCAAGTCGCGCTCGCTCAATCGGCAGCTCTCCCGGGATCATCGCCCCGCTCCCGGAGGAGTCTGCGGACCCGGGACTGGAGCACTACACCCAGGCCGGGATGACGCCCGCCCAAGCCTACCTGGCGCAGGTGTCGCGGACGCAGCCGCACGCCAACGGGAGCCCGATGGCCCAGCAACAGGCCTGGAGCTCAGCAGAGCACCTGCACCATCAGCCCCAGCAGCGATTTCGGCCCGAACACTCACCCACGCCCTCTGCCCCTCTGCCCGTGCAGCACCAGAGCGGCCCGCGGGGACCCCGGCCGCAGTCCGCACAGACGCTGCCGTCGACGGCGGAGGACAAGGTGCTCGACTTCGCGCTCCCGCAAATCAGCATGCAGTTCGAGGCGGAGGACGGACGGCTGGGGCTGGACTTCAGCGAGCGGGGGAACAACGGCGGCAGCACGGCGAAGGCCACGGAGATTACCTCGACCAGCGACGATGACGACGACGACGACGACGACGGCGATCTCAGTGAGCTGCCGTACAGTAGACCGCAGCGCATGTCCACGCCGAATAGCGTGCGATCGCGCTTGTCGACATCGTCCACCAAGGGCGGCAGCGGCGACTTCACCAACTCCTCCATCCCGTTTGCGTCCTCGAGCTCCTCCCGCCCCTACCCCCTCCAGGTCGACACCGCCATGGCCGTGGCCCACGCCGCTGGCGTCAACTTGTCCCCCGCATCGTCCACTCTTGTCGAAGAACCACAAACGCAGGCGAGCAGGGCTGCTCCTAGCCACCACAGCGCAAACGGACGGAGATCTTCGGACTCTGCGAAGACCCTCCCGCCTCAGTTCCACCGCAACCGGAGCATCAACGACCGTACACAGTCCATGTCCGCTACGATGTCGCCCCACGTCCACGCTGTGATTGAAGCGGGCCGGAACGGCCGGCCTCCTGTCCCCTCCGCGCCTCCATCCGGCGGGCGCGACTCTGCAACACCTGTAGCTACTCGACCGAAACGAGGGCCTATTGTGTACCCGGCGCTGCTGTCGCGCGTCGCGGAGGCGTTCAAGACGCGCCTGCAGCTCGGCGACGGCGTCAAGGACGGGCTGACGTACAAAGACTCCTTCGACGGACGGGAAGCGGTCGACACGATCGCGTACATCATCAAGACCACAGACCGCAACCTCGCGCTGCTCCTCGGCCGGGCGCTGGACGCGCAGAAGTTCTTCCACGCGGTCACGTACGACCACCGGCTCCGCGACTCGTCGCACGACCTGTACCAGTTCCGGACGAAGCTGCCCAGCCCGTTCGTCTCGGGCGAGCTCGCGAACGTGCCCCCGGAGCACGAGGAGCTGCTCAAGGCCCTCAGCGCGACGCCGCAGCCGCTCATCGGTGGCGCGGACAGCAGCGACGACGGCGCCAAAAAGGAGTGCCCGACGCCTTCTGCGGAAGCCGAGGACGGGGATGCGGAGAAGAAGGGCGGGTCGCGTTCGGGCTCGCCTACGCCCTCGGTTACTGCCTCCCCCGTAACGCGCCCGCGCGCGGGTTCGGTGTCCTCAGACGACGTGCCGCTCCCGACGGGGGTCTTCACGCTCCTCACGGACTGCTACTCGCCGACGTGCACGCGCGACCAGCTGTGCTACTCCATCGCGTGCCCGCGGCGGCTGGAGCAGCAGGCGCGGCTGAACATGAAGCCACAGCGGGAGTTGAAGAAGCAGATCAGCAAGGAGAGCCTGGGCGAGATCGTGGTGCGTTGTTCTTCTCGTTTCATGCGCGTGTCGGGCGAAGCAAACCGGGGCGGGGCGTATGGCAGGAAGCGGGAACGCTTTGGATCCACTCCGTGCCTGCGGAAGTCGTGGCGAGCGTGTCGGACCAGGAGAAGAAGCGGCAAGAGGCGATCAACGAGGTCATCTACACGGAGCGGGACTTCGTTCGCGACATGGAGTACCTGCGAGACGTACGTTTCCCTTTTCTCTGCATTAAATCGCGTGCTCAGGCGAACGTGCGCATATAGCTCTGGATGAAGCCCTTGAGGGAATCCGACATCATCCCCGAGGAGCGTCGACAAGACTTCCTCGAGCAGGTGTTCTGGAACGTCCAAGACATCATCGCCGTGAACACGCGACTACGAGACGCGCTCAACAAGCGGCAGAAGGCCTACGCCGTCGTCGAGCAGATCGGCGACTGTCTTCTCGAGGCCGTCCCACACTTCCACCCGTTCGTGTCCTACGGCGCCCACCAGCTGTACGGCAAGTACGAGTTTGAGAAGGAGAAGAACTCGAACCCAGCTTTCGCGAAATTCGTGGAGGAAGTTGAGCGGAGGCCGGAGTCCCGCAAGCTCGAGCTCAACGGTTACCTCACGAAACCGACGACCCGTCTCGCTCGTTACCCGCTTCTGCTCGAGGCGGTCCTCAAGCACACGCCAGACGATAACCCGGACAAGGTCACGCTGCCCGAAGTTGTCAAGGTCGTGCGCGAGTTCTTGAAGGCCGTCAACGCGGAGACGGGGCGTGCGGAGAACAGGTTCAACCTCTTGCAGCTCGATCAGCAACTGGTCTTCCGTCAGGGAGAGGAAGTGGTGAGTTATACAGTGGCATCACACAGCGATGCGATACTGATTGCATTCTCAGGATTTACGATTGAAAGAGGAGGGACGTGAGCTCATTTACAAGGGCGCACTCAAGAAGCGCGGAGGCGGTCAGGGTGACAGTGGCGAGCTCATGGTTTTCCTGTTCGATCATGCGTTTCTCATGGTCAAGCCCAAGAGCAAAATCGAGCAGTACAAGGTGTATCGTCGCGTACGTATGAATATCGTTGTCCGCAACCCTCTCCGACTAACCGCTGTTCTGTAGCCAATACCCCTTGAACTTCTTCTCGTCTCTGCACCCGACGACTACGCGCTGCCCAGGTCCAATAACGCTAAACAAAGGCAGCTGGTCAAGAACTCTCCACACGCACCCGTGGTCCCCGTCAAGGATGTGAAGGGTGGATTCTCGCTCACCTTCGTCCACCTTGGCCGGAAGTACTACCATATCACACTGTGGGCGAGCACTTACGTCAGTCAACGAAAATGGGTGGAGCACATACAGAAGCAGCAGGACATGATGCGCGAACGAAGCAACATCTTTGAGACGGTCACGATCAGCGAGGGTTTCTTCGTGGGTGTCAACCGGGTCAACTGTGCGGCGCCATTTGGTATGTTGCGCGCGTTAATCCGAGGGTCCGTATCTCACGTCTCTTGCAGATGGCGGTAGGAAGGCGGTCTATGGTACTGACGACGGCGTCTATCTCTCCAATCTCATGGAGCGCAACCGAGAGCCGATCAAAGTGCTTGCTCTGAAGGACGTTGCCCAAGTGGATGTGCTCGAATATTATCAGCTTCTCATCGTCTTGTCAGGTGCGAGCTGGCGAGACTTCGACGTCTTGCTTAGCGCTAACCAGTCGACCAATAGAACGACAAGTCCTTACGTTCCCCTGGATGCGTTAGATCCCATGGATCCGCTGTCAGGGCTCAAGCGGGCCAAGAGGATAGCATCGCACATCTCGTTCTTCAAGGCCGGCGTTTGTCTCGGCCGGACCCTCGTGTGTGCCGTCAAGTCGAGTCCACTATCAAGTACGATCAAGACGCTCGAGCCCATTGATCAACACACTCGCGGGAGAAGCAAGCCGACATTCCGGAAGCGGTTGCAGGGCGGGAACGACACCCTGCAGGTGTTCAAGGCACGTAAATCTTTTGTTGATTCCCCATGTGGACGTGCGGGCGTAAGACGGAGCGCTGACCTGAACGGGGTTCTGCAGGAGTTCTATATCCCGCTCCAATCGAGCTCCATCCACTTCCTGAAGACTCGTCTGTGTGTCGGCTGCACAAACGGCTTCGAGATCGTGGATCTGGATACGCTGGATACGCAAGGCTTGTTGGACCCAGCGGACACCTCGCTGGAGTTTATCCACAAGAGGGAGAACTTGAAGCCGCTTGCCATCTACCGAATAGACAACGAGTTTCTCCTGTGTTATGACGGTAAGCTCCCTGTCTTGATGTATCGCCGCAGTCGTCTGATCATCCCCCCAGAATTCGCCTTCTATGTCAACAAGACCGGGTGGCGCTCTCGACGGGAGTTCATGGTGTATTGGGAGGGTTCGCCAACAGGCTTCGGTGCGCATGCTCGTAGCGTTCACCCCATACGGTCTCTAATTCCTCCTCCCATAGCTCTGCATTACCCTTACGTCCTCGCGTTCGAGCCCACGTTCGTCGAGATCCGTCATGTGGAGACGGGCTCGATGTCGCAGATTATTCAGGGCAACAACCTGCGGTGTCTCTTCGCTGACACACCTCCATCAACAACCAACTCCGCCAACAACCCCTACAGCTCACCTTACCAACAACAAGGATACGGCTACAACCAGTACGGACCCCCCAACGGCTCAAACGGCTACGGGAACTATCAGAACGCCTACATGCAGCGGCAGCCGCAAGGCGTCGGTCGGGACGAGATCTACATGGTATCGGACGACCAGATCATGCGCCTGCAGATGACCCAACAAGCCCGGGCTGCGCTGTACCATGGGCAGCCACAGTAGCGGCCACCCGTCGGCGAAGATGCTCCCAGTGACGGCCCCTCATGACGTGACGACTTCTCAAGCCTGACTCGACCGATCTGTTGTATATTGCACTGTCCATTACCTCCTTCTATCTACCTTTCGTTCTACTGATGACTGCACGCACGCACGCACGTCTCTGCCCCACGTCCATGTCCCCGTCTCAGTCATCCTGCTGTCCACGCACCCATCGGTCCATCACTGTTCTCTTGTATCCCGCACTGTTCCCAACCATCCGTGCGCTGTGCTGTTCATCATCATTCCTCCCCGCCGCGCACCCATGTCTCGCGTGCCGCCTCCACCCGTCTCGCCTTATCTTGATGGAGCCCATGATGTGTGTTGTGTGGATGTCCGTGTCCGTGTCCGCCTATCCATCCTCGTTTCCGTTCTCATCACCGCACCGCATATATATCCTAACCCGCATTTGTATCCTCTCCCTCTGCCCGCTGTCTTAATACTCGTAGCTAACACGATATTGGAGCATAGAGCCCACCTCGGCCGTGTGACGACTATCCAACACGAATGTGATTGAGCACATCTAATGTAAGGTACAGCAGAAGGCGGTCACTGGCTCTCGAGCTCTTTCTCGACCCAATCCCAGAGCTGCTTCGCGAGCTCTTCGTCGTTGCCGAGCTTGTTGGGGAACGGTACTTCGCGAGCCCAAGGAACGAGCCACTGCGAGAAAGACTGGCGTCAGCCCCTCCTCTCGTCAAAGCCAACCGGGCACGCACCTTCCCGTTCAGCTCGTCCGGGTCGGCGAGGTTCCCGCATAGAGCGGCGTAAGCGCACCCAGCGGAACCGGCTGCAGGAGCGGGCGCTGTCCAGGGCGGAGCGTGAGCAGACGTCGCGGATGAGTCTGGCGTGCGCGCGCGCGCGAAACCCACCATCATCTGGTTCTCGAAGCCCTCGGCGTTGATCATCAGCTCCGTGCGGACGATCCCGGGGTGGAGCGCGACGCAGACGACGTTCCGGGCCCTGTACCGGCGCGCGCCCTCGAACGCGAGGAGGACGTCGGCGAGCTTGCTCTGCGCGTAGAGCGCGTCGGTGCCGAGCGCGTCGCGCGCGGGGCCGGCGGCGAGCGCGTCGAAGCGGAGGCGGCCAAAGTACGCGGTCGCGGAGCCGAGCGCGACGACGCGCGCGCGGCCGTCCGCGGAGGCCGCCGCGCCGCGCTCGAGCGCGGGGAGGAGGAGGGTGGTGAGCAGGTGCGGGCCCATCGCGTTCGTCGCGAACATGAGGTCGTGGCCCGCGGGCGTCGTGCGCTCGCCCTGGCCGAACAGGCCGCTGTGGGGGCCGTCAGCGGGGGGCGGGCAGGAGAGAAGAGAAAGGAGAGGGGGGGCACGCACGCGTTGTTGAAGAGGACGTGGACGGCCTCCTCCTGGCGAGGACCTCGGCGGCGGCCGCGCGCACGCTCGCGAAGTCGGCGAGGTCGAGCGGGACGAAGAGGGCCTCCTTGCCGCCGGTCTCCTCCTTGAGCGCGGCGACGACGGCGCGGGCCTTGTCGGCGTTGCGGGCGAGCATGTACACCTTCGCGTTGTGCTTGAGGAGCTCCTTGACGATCTCGGCGCCGATGCCCGCGTTCCCGCCTGGACGGCGGGCGGGCGGGGTGAGCGGAGGGGACGCGTGAAGGCGGTGCGGGAGGACGCACCGGTGACGACCATGACGCGCCCAGAGAGGTCGGGGATGTTGTCGGCCGTCCACTCGGGCTTGGGGCCGAGGAAGGTGTGCTTGAGAATGAGCAGCTTTGCGGCCTGGTCAGACGCGTAGTCGAGGAGCCCCATGTGTGCGGCGGTCAGTGTAAATGAGAGGGGAAGAAGAGGAGGACGGAAGTGATGGTGGAGGCCTCGGAGACGACGACGGTCGCGCGAGGCTGATGTCGCTGCTGAAACGCTGACCGGCCTTCCGCGCTTTATAGCATGGTCGAGGATCGCGAGGCGCATCCCGACGGTGCTCACAAAGGGCGGCATTGCCTGCGGGAGTTGTGTCCACTGCTCAGAGCCGCGGTCGGGAGGATTGCAGCAGCTGACCAATCCTCGCGGATCACTGCCTACCACACAAGCGATCGGAGGACCAACGCGTCCCGCTTCCCATCAGGACATGCTTTACGAAACTAGATCTTCCACTATGCGATCTCAGACCACAGAGCCAAGAAAAAAAGACTCTGTGCATTGGCAATGACCACCGCAGGGGTCGAACCTGCAATCTCCTGATTACTCATCGTAGTCAGACGCGATGCCATTTCGCCAGGCGGCCATGTTCAATGACCTGCATGGAATTATATATAACACATAATCACGACTGTTATGACCCGTTGCGCAGCACTGCAACGGGCAGACCGCAGCAATCTCAATTCACAGACAGTCATCAGCCACACGTTTCTCATGAGGCTGGTGTGCAGAAGCTACAAGTGAGAGTGATGGCGCGCCATATTTGTACTTCTGCATCTACTTTGGGTCGCTCTCTGACTCAACTCTCATGCATTATGGCCCAAACAACGTATCCATGCTGCCCGAGCGCAGATCAGCTGGTGGGGGCGGGCTTGTATATTGAATATGTACGTGATATATTCCCACGACTAACCAGCTGATGGAGTTTGGACCCATTGAAGTTGAAGTGCTTGAAGTGCCAATTGAGAGCACCGCAGAGCTCACGCAGACAATCATAGGTAAAAAATGGTACTTTTATTATTGTCAGGAAGAAATTCGTGAAGGTATTAAGTGACGGATAACGGAGATGATGAGCAAGTTCATGGGACCTAAACATACGTTAGCAATACGAGCAGGGCGAAGAGATAGCATAGAGAACACGACACAAGCAGCAAAGCAACAGTGCGACAACAGAAAGCAAAATGTATCACGCTCGAGAGAGTGCGCGACGGCTCTATGTGGTGAAGCGTCCGAGGAACTCCTGGCGACCTTGTCATCTCACGCCGCGACCAGCTCCTCCTTGCCCAGCGAAGACGGCCCCTCCTGCGCGTCCGCCTCAGACCCCGCCACCGACGAGCCGTCGTCCGCGAGCGTCGACACGTCCGTCTGCGGCGAGCCGTTCTCCAGCCGCGTGCCCGCGCCCTCCGCCGACCGCTCGAGGACCAGGTTCGCGGCCCACGCGGCGGCCCGGTTCGCGGCCTCGTCCGGCCGCGCCTTGTTCTCGAGGAGGTACCCCTGCAGCGTCGCGACCGTGAACCGGCCGCCCTGGACGCCGCGCGCGAACGTCGCGGCGAGACGCGCGAGCTCGGCCTGCGCAAGGCGCGGGGGGCGCGCCCGCCGTTTCGGGCCCCCGTTCTCGTTGAGGGCGGGGGCCAGGGCAGAGGAGGAATGGGACTCCACCGGAAGGACAGCAGCATCAAGGAGGAGTGCGGTCTCCGTGGGGGCATCCGCGGTGTTCTTGCGGGACGGCTTCGGGGTGCGCTCGCGCTCCTCCTCGCTCCGCTCGCGCGCGTCGTCCGCGTCGGACGACAGGAGGCCGTAGAAGCGCTTGAAGAGCTCCGCGGCCTGGTGCTCGCTCGCGAGCGTGAACTCGATGTGCTTGTCGAACCGGCCCGCGCGGCGGAGGGCGACGTCGAGCGCGTGGAAGTCGTTCGTCGTCGCGAACACGATCCGGCCCTCCTGCGCGCCGATGCCGTCGAGCACGTTCAGGAGCCCGCTGAGCGACACGCGGCTCGCAGGCTGTTGCTGCGCGCTGTGCGCCGACGCCGGCGGCGGGGGCGGGAGCGCGTGTCCGGCGGCGAGCGCGGCGGCGAGCTGCTCCGGGTCATCGATGTCGCGGCGCATGCCGTGGTGGAAGATCGCGTCGATGTCCTCGATGAGCACGATGCAGTGCTCGGGGAGCTGCAGGATGGACTGCATGAGCAGGCTGTCGTCCATGCCGTAGCGCGTGAGCGGGAGGAGGTAGATGTCGAGCTCGAGCTCGCTCGCGGCCGCGTGCACGAGCGACGTCTTGCCCGAGCCCGGCGCGCCGTGCAGGAGGTAGCCGCGGCGGCGCGGGATGCCTGAAGGGGGACGTGAGCATCCCAGCGCAGATTCGGTTCGAGATGGCGGCACGGACCTATGCGCGTGTACCAGTCCTTGGTGTCCTGGCACAGGAAGTCTTCGGCGTCTTCCAGGAGCTCCTCCTTCGTGTTCTCGTCGAGGAAGATGGAGTCTATCGACCGCTTGGGCTGGGTGGACATGAGCCTCCAGAAGTCGCTGAGGGCACGGCTGCGTGAGCGGGACGGGACGGGCGCGCGGGAGGGATGAACGTACCCGTCGGAGGTGTAGATGGAGATCCTGTGCTGGCGCGAGGCGAGGTAGAGCTTCTTGGCCTCGTGGAAGAGCTCGCGAAGGGGCTCGTGGCTGAGGGCGAGCATCCTTCGCGCGCGCAGTCAGCTTCGGACCCCGGGATCGGCGCGAACTTTCCGACGCACCGGATGTGCAGCTTGCTGCTGCCGCCGACCTGCCACGGCGACTCGTTCAGCCGCGAGCGGCTCACGGTCATGTACCGGCACTTGTAGAACAGTGTGTACGTCGTGCCCACCGAGGGGAAGAACGCGGGCGTGCGGCTCTTGTTCCTCCCACGCTCCTGGTACGGGTCCATTAATCCCAGCATCACAGGCGCCTCCATCCCTGGAACGTTGCGCGTGCTGACGTCCAGCATCCGGGCGTTCACTGGGGGAAACCACGGTAAGCTGCGGCTCGGCGCGGAATGAGAACGACGTACGGAATCGTTGGTTCTTCGACAGCCAGTACTGGAGCCACACTGCGGGACGGGGAGGCGGTTGTGTCAGCCGCAGCCGCGCGTGAAGAGATGGGGCGCCACATGGATCAACAAGGACTCACATCCGCAGTCATCGTCAGCGTCGAGATTCTCGTAGACCCATATACATCCGGAGAGCCAGTCCCAGAGGTCCTGGAGCCAGCCGCGCAGGCTCTGGATGAGAACACCGACGAGGAAGATCTTGAGCCAGTCCTGGACCGCGGAGAGGTGCAGAAGAGCGAGGAGGAGGGCCGGGAGTTGGAAGGGCGACACCGACGTAGCAGCGGCGTCGATGGGCGGGGTGACGTTTTGGCTGGGAGCGACTCCGGAGAGGACATTTGAGGCGTTCAAGTCCGCGCCACTGGATTGGATCACAGAGAGGACGGATTGGAGGACGACGGCCTCCATGGTGGGGGTAGACGGGTGATGGTCGGGGAAAACGCTAGATGATCTTGGTGCAGCTTTATGAATGTGTGCGTGAGGCGGAGTGTTCTGACACAACGGGTTCCACAAATGCGCCTGGCTTTATGTGCGCGCGAGGGTGCGGAGGTGGAGAGCAGGGTGCGTGCGGCCGGACCCGAATTTCCGTTTCCGTTGTTTCGCAGGGGCCCTGCTGTGGGATGGAGTCAAGCGCATTCGAGGTGCAGTGACTCGTGTCAGTTCGGGCGGTACACTCCAAAACGGATCGGGAGGGGGACGCGGCGTTGTGGACGTCGGATGTGGACGGGTCGATCGAATAAAGGAACTGCTCGAGGGCGGAGTGCGCCTGCTGCCGCTTCGCTGCACTGCCCTTGTGCATCGTCCTTGGACACGAGAGGAGAACCACATGGGTCTGTGGACGGGGCGTGGCAGCGACCGGGACCTGCATGCGTCGTCGACGGAGCAAGGGGTGGCGCGGCGGATCGTCGCGAACGGTGGTGCCGCGCCGTGAGGGGGCGGCGCGATGCGGGCGACCACTGCGACGGGCGCATGACTGGTGTTTGCGGAGAGGGCGGCGCGGGCCTTGGCGCAGGCAGCGGCTGGCGAGGTGGTCGTCGGCTGGAAGCTGCTGGCAGTGGCACCGCCCGGCATCAGGCGACGGGCGTTGCCGGCGCCCAGCAGCTTGCTTTCTCACCACGCGGTCCCGACACCAAGTCCGCCTGGTGTTCCTCGCGGAGGACATGGGACCGACCAGCGTACGCCCACAACTCATTCGTACCGTCGCGACAGATGAAGGGCCTTGTCGTGCGCGTCGCACACAGGGATTTGTTCACACCAGGCGGCGCTCGGCGTCCACAGACAATAATACAAGTCGAATGGCACAACCGACTTCCTCATTTGTGCTCCATCCATCCATCGATCCCCTCCCTCCGTTCACCCCCGCCGAATGTCTTCCAGCCTCCGCGTTCCGAATGGGGTGTACCTGCATCGTGAGTGCTCGTCCTAGCATTCGTGATGGATTTGCACAAATTCGGACCACTGCACCGCTTTTTTTGAGCCCATACCACCTCGAGGCCCGTCCACGGCTGGACCAGAAGCACGCCAGGGATTCTCAAGAACACGGTGCTCAGGGGTTTGCGCAGAGGCGCTACAAGGGCTACATTTCCAGCGCTATGTGCCACTTGCTGGAAGCCTATTGTTCTGCTTTGTCCTCTTCACTCTCCGACCGTCTCCAGCCGCCGGCCCTGGTCCTCCTGCCCGGCTCACTTCCGTTCATGAAATGCCTAGACTAACTGCGCCTGGGACAGGCCTTCTCGGATGCACTGGCGCTCAGGGTCCGCAGGAGAAGGGCGCCGCAACACAGGAGCCGGCTCGTGCTTCTGTGTCTCACTACCAGGCGAACGAACGGGGGAAGCACCCTACTTCATCTCTCCGTCGCACGAGGCGGTCGCAGCGTCTCCGAGGCCCACATCCGACATCGAAGCGAGCCGAGGGGAAGGCACGACGCCTCGGACATTCTCCTGGTCTGACTCGCGCGCCACCCGCGCCCCTGCAATTGATTCCGGGAGGCACGCAGATGAAGCCAGAAGGAGTGTATTTTGCGTCTATTCGCCCCATGAAACCCGCGCACTGGGCCCCTGCGGGCCGGAAACAGCCCCACGCCGCCGCCTGCCCGCGACCACTGTGTGGTCGTGGGTCGTGGGCCGATCGAGCTCAGCTGGTTGCATGCCCCTTCCACGACCCGCCCACCAACCGTTAACCCCGCTTAGAACCCCGCTTCGGACGCCGCCGGAACGTCTCTGGAGCCTGAAATCCCCGCCGCCGATGCCGAGCGGTGGAGGCTGGCCGCCGCCTTGCACGCGTCCACCGCCGCTTCACGCGTCCGCCGCCACCCGCGCCACGGTCCCACCGCGCCGCCGCGCGACCCACGCCGGCACGTCCGCGACCGCCGCGCGCGGGCGCTCCTTGTACGCCATCAGGAAGCCCTGCAGCGTCGCCATCGAGAACGCGCGCGGGGGCACCGCCGCCGCGAACGCGGCCGCGAGCGCTGCGACCTCCTCGGGGGCGAGCGGGTCACCGGACGCGGACCCGTGGGGTGCGGCCTTCTCGTCCTCGGGCGACTGAGACGCGGAGGTGGGCGCGGGCGGGGCGGTGGCGGTGGGCGCGGGCGGCGGTGTGGTGTCAGGGCGTGCGGCGCTCGGGCTCTGTGCCTCGTCCGCGATGCGTTCGCGCGGTGCGGAGGAGGGGGACGGGACGGGCGTGGCGTAGAAGCGCTTGAAGAGCTCCTCGGCCTGGTACGCGCTCGCGAGCTTGAACTCGACGTGGAGGTCGAGCCGGCCAGGGCGGAGGAGCGCCGGGTCGAGCGCCGAGATGTCGTTCGTCGTCGCGAACAGGATGCGGCCCTCCTGCGCGGCGATGCCGTCGAGCGCGTTGAGCAGGCCGCTGAGGGTCACTCGGTTTACGTCCTCTTCCTTTCCGGAAGACCTCGAGGCCGGGGCGTCGGTGGGCCCGTCGCGCGGAGCGGCTTCGGGGTCAGCAATGTCGCGCTTCATGGTGCGCGTAAACGCAGCGTCGATGTCCTCGATGAGGACCACACATGATCGTGGAAGGTGCGAAGTGAGCGCTTTGAGGCTGTTGTCGTCCAGTCCCGCCACGGTGAGTGAAAGGATGTAAACATGCAGGCCGAGCTCTCCGGCGATACAGTGGATGAGCGACGTCTTGCCGGCTCCGGGCGCTCCGTAAAGGAGGTAACCGCGACGGTGGGGATGCCTGGTGTTCCGTGTCATCCAAAGTGACGGCATGTGGTTAGATGCGGCGCGTGACGGCCCGAGTGAGTGTCCGTACCTCGGTCGGCATACCACTGTTTGCTCGCCAGAAAGTCGCGTGCATCGTGGAGGACGAGTTCCATAACACCTGGGTCTAGAATGACCGAGACCAACGGACGCTTATCTTGTGTGGCGACGTGCTTCCACTCGTCGTGTCTGTGCGGCACCCGGTGAGCGCTCGTGTCGACGGAAAGCATATACAGGAAAGAGTAAGACCGACCCGTCAGAGACGTAGACATGCATCGCGCATTCATTCGCTTTTTTGTACCCTCGTCTTGCCTCGAGAAGGATGTCCCGGAGGATATCGGAACGCCAGGACAGGACGCTAACCTCAATGAGCACGCGTATGGGATGAGCGAGAAGACAACCCACCGGAGCTCAAGCATATCCTTTGGCCTCTTGTAATAGCTCGAGGCTTCTTCTTGGGAGCGGCTGACGCGGACGAAATGCCTCTTGTACCAGAACGAGTAAGTCATGTCGCGGGCGGGAACGAAAGCGATGGGCTCTTCGCCGTCCTCTTTTCTCCCAAGTCGTCCGAGCTTGGTCATATTCTAGGTTGAAAAAGCATGCGCTGACTTCGACGTTCCGTGCGTGTTCTGTGGACCTTCGGTCAGTGTGATCCTCGACCGCGATGGGGAACTGGACTGACGGAACACTTTCCGCTGAGATAGCCAATGCATGATCCAGTCTACATGCGGATCCAAACGTGAGCCGACTGAACGGAAAGAGGCCGCCCAGGAGGACACGGACCTGAGGCATCATCGTCAAATGCAAAGACGGCTGTTACCCACATGCGCTCGACAGCCTTTGTCCAGAGATCCTTGAGCGAGCGGCGGATGGTCTCAAAGAATGCGCCGATCACCAGGAGGATCAACCAATCTCGAATGGCCGCCGTGGACAGCAGCACCAGAATCGCCTCTGGGAGGCTGCCGGGCGCCTTCATCTGGGTCGGCGTTTGCCTCGTGTTGTTGGCTTCTGCGGTTGGATCGGACTGGCCTCCGGGGCGATCAGATCTCGACTGGAGCGCTGCGAGGACAGTCTGGATTATATCTGAGGTGTCCATGGTGGGGGAGGGAGGGACGATGGAAGGGATGGTCAAAGAGGCGAGTTATATATTCGCCTCACAGACCATCTGGAGAGCGCCTGGCTGCGAGTCAGGTCTACCCGACGGATCCGAGCGTCCAGCCACAATGACTGTGCGCAGAAGCGGTGAGCAACACACACACCGACCTTCGCCGAAGGTCGCGTAGGTGTTTCCCAGAAGTGCAAAGCATGCCCTAGTGTTGTAAAATTGCTAACGCGACCATGCCTCCATTGGATAAAGTGCCCGCTCAAGGAGTGCGGCGTCCACAACACATGGTCAGACCTGCTGAACATGGCCATTAGCGCGCGGTTGGCATGACGTGGGAAACAAAGGACACGAGCCACGCACCGCCCACCCGCCAAAATAGATCCAAGCAAGCGTGTGTTGGTGGGTCGGGAGGCGGGCATAGGCAAGGCGGAGGACGCCGCACAAACTCCGTGGCGAGGCTGACGTAATGCGCGAGGTCCGCGTGGCAGTGTCGCGCACGGACCTGCCCTGAATGGCTGGCCCCGCGTCCGCGATCGCGCTCCCCACTTGGCTTCACCCCGCCTCTCCCACCGCCCTCGCTGCACCATACCCGTTTCCTCATACCCCCAAAAGCTCAAGCAGCACCTTAATTCTTCTTGTCTACTCTCTCTTCCTTCCACCAGCCAT